TATACGTATTGTACTTAAACCCGATGTACCTAGGTACTACATAACATGTCCACTATAATATATCCACTATGATATGTCCACTATAATATGTACCTATACCATGTACCTATGTATGCTCTATGATAGGTAACATATCGGTAGTAGTGTAAGGGATGTGTCTAGGCTACCAGGTATATACGCACATAAATTACTCCTTACTACATAAGTTAGCGAGAGTCGTATTAGACATTTCTAATGCGGAGAAGTGTCAGGCCATAAACCCGAACGATGATCGACAACTGTTCAACATTTGCATTGTATATTAGAATATTCCGCATGTCCGTCCTATTGGGATATGATAACCATATGCATGGCCAGATATATGCCAATATACAGACACGTATGCATGTACGTGTGGCTTTTGTGTAACACGGAGCCGCCTTCGCATTAGACTTCCATTTTTTAAAAGACGGTAAACTGGTCGCAGTATCGTAGTAGAGTTTGCTACCCTCTAGTGTAAACTACCTAATCCTACAGGTATACACTAATTTTTTTTTAACTTACCCTACCTATTATATCTTACTCTACCTTACCTTCCTCTAGTTTAGATTCTATCGGATACCACTTATACCACGCACCCGCCATTCCCCCTCGGCCCTAATCCGTTTAGCCCTCTTCGTAAACACGAACCATTTACGTACATCTACGGTATTTGCCACGCTTCTTGCTCTATACCATAATCCACTAATTCTGATATCCATATATTTCCTTATACTGCCTCCTACATACGTAGAATGGTCACCGGCTGCTACACATAAGTAACTTATCTTCAGTGATGAACATGTTATTAGTTTCTTATGCATCCTGCAGCCATGCGCGTTATTGCAAGCACCAGCTTATTAGCTGGTACCTAGTTAGGTATCCATCGAGGCACCTGCCACGTAAAGGATTGAACTGGGTTGGGTATGCCTCTGAACATCACTAGCAGCGCCACATCCGAATAATCTATTCGACGCCGTTGCGAATGTTCCAGTTGTTCCCACCCAAATATTACTTACCCTAGGTACTTAGTCTATAGTCTTAGTATACCTAACTCACTTACACTAAGTAGTTGCTAAAAAGTAAAAGAAGACTTAACCTAATTCCCCTCTCGTGGTAATTTAGAAGAGGTATTCTTAACACCGAGACATATACCGAAACATATAAGTGCGTCTTTTGGACCAACTACTGTACATAGAACGTGATTCTTATACGGAGGCTTTGCTCCGGGCGGAAATTACTCTGTGCTACCAGCCGGTTCCAGAACTTCGAAAGAGATATCCAAATCTAAAATGAGGGTTGTAGGATTGTTTTACTTGCTGCTGTAAGTGAAAAGCTGAAGACGCATACAAAGTTGTACATAAGTACATAAACATCTTTATTATTCAATACCGTAGGTTTGGTTTTACACGAACACCCGGTGGGTTGTGTTACCTGGTTACACGCCCAAGAGGTACGTACGTTACTTAAAGCGGTAAGGTTGCAGCAATACATACTGGTGGATAGGCCGAACAGATGCCCCCCGGAGGAAGCTCGCATGTGATCCGTCCCGTATAGTCCGTAAGATCTACAAGAGCGGTTACCAGAATAATATGCCGACGCCAGCCTGGTTGCCCTATTTCGTTACACAACTCAGCCTCACTTTCCTGCTTTGGTATATCTTTCCCTCTAATCCCTTTGCCCTCATGATTATCATGTACACCTCTAGGTTCGTAAGTGATCGTCCTTGCCACTGGATTATGCAGTCCAAATACGCCCAAAACATCCACACTCTCTAGTGACCAGCCGACTTGAACCCACGCACCTATCTGGTAGATCTTGGTGCTTAATTGTAGCAAAATACGAGCTCGAGGTTGCTAATTTGGGAAGTGATTTACAACATGGCAGTCTCCTGATACTTCACTACAATATATCGCTTTTGAAGCTTGATGGATTGTCAACCTTCCGGCCAAGTTAATTAGATTCGTAAGCTTGCCTCGACGGGTAAGAAGATACCTTGGGAGGCCTCGGAATATTCCATGGTGTCTTCTACCGCACCTTAGGGTACAAGTAGATGGCCTTGCGACCTCACTAGCTATCACTATCCGCCTCGCCTACTATTAGCTGGTGACTATCTCTCACCTCCGAAGCTTCTTGGCCATTGTGGCGAGCTGTAGCGTAGACAGCTAAGTGTTATCAATTCATTCCTAAGTAGCTATTCAGGAACAATTTCGATAGTGCGAGATGCGCTTTATTGGTGATTGATTAGATAGGTAGGTACCTATTGTAAAACAACTCGCAGTGCCATATTATCAGTAGTAGTAAAACATCATGACTTAACTTAACGTACTATGCATCTCTAAAGTCTACTTGGGTTGCTATTTTCAGAATCCATTTGAAACGTGTCTGATTCTCATTTTCCAAAGTTAATTAATACCTTTGCTATTTCGCCTTTCTCTCCATCTTGCTAGCCTTAACTCCAAAGCCGTCTTGTGCGTTGAACTGGTTCTAACTTACTCTGGAAGGGAGCGGAAATTAACAAACAACCACGTGGAACCAACTGTGATTGGTATGTGAATCGTGGGGGAGGCTCAGACGAAGCACACTTGTAATGCAGGCTAAAACAAGCGCTTCAACTCCTGACGTGGATCTGACATCTAGATAAGGTGGCGTAAGACAACGGCTTTCCCGTTTGTCTGGGATACACCTGGATGTTTACGTTACTCAATCGTCAGCCACAGGACCGCAACCTTGCTCTGGTCGACCAAGCGCTTAAAAGCCAAGATGGAAGTTTAGAACTCATCCAGTTAAGCTTATATCCCGGTAAAGCAAGACTGCACGATCGGCCGCATCAGACGGCTCATTGTGGCGACTCAATGGTTGATTTTCTATAGGGCTCTCGCACAAAAATTAGTAGAGGCTAACGGTTAATATTATCACTCATAAGCCTAACGTGGCCACTAACGAGATACAACTATCTAGCTATTGAGGCTAACTAGCGGTTTCGCGTAGGCGAGCTGATTACCGTATAGCATATTCTTAGGTTAACAAAGTCATGCCATTTAATCCCAGTTCGGGATACGCCCCGAAGAGTTATATGAATAAGGTTAAGCTAATCCCGGCTTATGGTAAGCTACGTGAACGGCTAAGATACGTTTGATCTTATGCGACCCGCGTCGACCCGCGTATCTTTCTAGGTAGGGCCGAAAAGGGCGACTTTGGGCTAGACAAGTCTAGGGGTATTGATCCGCAGAACTTCGGACGGTTCACCCATGTAGCTATGCTAAAAAAGAATTCGCGGTAATTTTGATCGGTTTGCCATGCCACCTGATCCGCTGGTACCGTCTTACCGGGTCGAGCATTCCCCTGTGCGAATGAATGGGTGTTGGAGTTGGACCCCTCAGAGGCTCAGACTTTTACTCTTCACATCAACTTGGGTGAGTTGGCTCAACGCGTTCCAACCGGAGCGGTCCGTAGCGATAGTTTATAAATACGAGGAAAAGTCGGAGGACCTCCGGGGCCGAATATTTCACGTGGATTTGTCGTGTGTTGTTGTCTCTGGGCGGACAGTGGCATGACTTTCCCGGTATTCGGGAGTGGTCCGGTCAGCTGACATAACGGGATCACGGTCCGCCAATCGCTACGCGGGATCCGCCGGCCACCTATCGTATGGTCCGAAATACATCGTAGCACCGAATCTTAACGACTCTTCTAGCCCTCGTACTTATGCGGTAGGTGCTGCACTAATCAGTTCATCATCATATTTCATCTCATGCTTTTGTTCGGCACAGCTCATTTAAGGACGAGAATCTCAAAAAAGATTTTTTTTTTTTTCATTAATAAGACTCGGAGCCGGACCGGGCCCGGCCTTATGAATGTATACTTTAGTAGGTTAACTATTATGCATTGTGCAGAGTTGTAAATATCTAGGTAGGTTAGGTGCTTGTAAAATCAATTGATGCTGAAAACTACTGTATGTATTTCTCTCCATAAACTAATGGGGGTTTGACACGTCTGTAAATATGAAGACCATAATTAAAATAAGTACAATTTACTTTTTAAGATGAGGTTTTATTAAAATTAACTATAAAGACATATTTCAATAGAAATTTAGAACGGATGTCTTAAAAGATAATGCTGTGCATAGGGGAAAGCGACAGTAGTATGTCATAGAAGAATAAACACATTGCAATCAACGGATGTAGTGCATGTTCTGAAGTGTGAACCCGACACAATTTTTACTCCATAAATCTAGTGCTAGGATATGTTCAATCAAAACGTAGTAAAAAGCAAATGTCTTGCCTTATGAGGAAGGCCCCTCATTGCTCGGACCAACAACAATTTTGTACTTTCTACTCAATTTTTTTTGTGTCCTGTTCCCACTTGGGGACATAGATATAGTCACTAAGCTGATAGAATTAGGTACTTGAGCAGTACGAGAATGGGCCAACAGATAGCGGACGAATAAGTCTAAGACTAGTGAGTATCTAACGAATATCTTCCCATGGGCATTACGCTATAGATTAGTATTAGTTGGAGGGTATACGTCGTGTGGCTGAGAATTCCATCTTGCCTGTGTCTTAGGGTCTCATGCCTGAATGTCAGGTAACCTTAATGTTTATATCAATATAATGATAAATATGAATTGGAGCCATGGGTATGTCATATCATGATGAATCTCAAATAGGTAATATAAGGCAAACGGGGACTTCATAGCCTGAAAAGTTTGAAACTTGAGCATATTAATACTTAAAGGGCCATATCAGGGCTATTATGACGACAGCTAGTGCTATTAACTAGCCATAATGGAGTCTGGGTAAATTAGGTACCCAATACTATAGCCATCACACATTTTTGGTTTCGGCATATCGGCCTCGTCAAACTAGTTTTACCATATTCGAGAATGCCAGTAGTCAGTTAACTATGATGTATTTAAACATCAGGGAACTCCGTTGCCTATGGTATAGTACACAGCCGCTTGTAACCGGAGCACTAGCAATCCCTTAATCCTTCTTTAATGGAAGAACCTTCTCCTCGATTCCGTCCTTGGTAATGATGACTACTTGCAGCGCATCACCGACTTCAATATGACGCTCAACTGCCGAGTCGAAGGCATCCTTTACTAGTATTTCCACCTCCTCCCTCGGTAGTGGTACGCGCTCTCGTTCCTGTAGGTCGTGTCCGGTGCCGCTTCCAGGCACATATTGGTTCTTGAAGTTGACCTGATTGTCGAGGAAGGGCATGATCAGACTGCCCGCGGCACCGCCGGCTCGGCACTGCTCGCGCTCGTAGCTGCCAACGGGGTCGTAGCTGTATACGGCACCTTTACCCTCCTCGTCGATACCGCCTAGGATAGCGTAGACGTAGTATGGGAAGAAGCGCTTCTGATACATGATGGTAGACAGGCGTTTGGCGCAGGCGTTGACGGACATGGGTTTGCCGTGGCGGTACCGGTACATTTTGCAAATAGCGTCGAGCCGCTCCTTTAGAGCCTCGCCGTCTGCTGCGAACCCGACCACGGACAGCAGAATGTTGGCATCGCTCTGCGACGAGTTGGACCCACCGATCTTGAATACCTTGGGTGAGTACCGCGTGTTGATGCTGTAGCCTGACGTTAGACGGGTGTCGCCGGCCATGATAGTGAAGTCGGCGCCGGCGATGGCGAGAGTGGAGCCACCGTTGTCGGTGTATCTACGACATGGAAAGTTAGATTAAGCTTCTTAGAAGAGAGGGTTCAAACGAGCAAAATCTTAGAATATTGAAATATCTTACGGGTTGAAACGGTGTTCCCGCAAACCATCGATGGCATCTTTAGGAACTTCGGCAAACGAGTAGTTGGGCCCGTTCAAGACGGGATTCTGGCTGAACATGGCCATCTTGGTAATTCTCGTTATCGTATTATCCGGATAGTACTATGTGTAAGTATTTATCGGCCGTTATTATTATAGAGTTGAATGCGGGTGGTTTGGCGTGGTGGATTGTGGTGATAGAAGGCTATCTGGGGAAGCTAGTTTAATGGGCTGAAGTTGAGCTTTGATGATGTTTCCATTCAAGGCCCGCGCGTCGAGCTTGCAGCCTTGCTGGCTGATGGCAGTACCTAATACTATAGCTAGCCCACTTTGACAGGGGTAGCTTTTTGATGACTAAGTTAACTGCTACTTAACGCTAGAGGGGGGGACCCACCTAATTTTTAGATAGGGGAAACAGCCATCTGCATCATCAATTTAATTGTACCGCTTTTGCGACAATCACTCCTTTTTGCTCAAACGTTGGTCTTTTTGTAGTTTTGTGTAAACATTTCATCTGTATCACACTCTCGTTCAGAATCGACTGTAATGGTCCGCGTTATTTTCCTTTTTAGATAATATCGTCCTCGAAAATGGCACGCAATATCCGCCAGCAGGCCCTGCAGAAGATTGCTGTACTTTCGGCCACGAGTTCCACCACCTCTTTTGACAAATCCGACCTCGATCGACTATGTAGGGCTACAAACATCCGTGGGAAGGGAAAAGAAGGCGCCAATGGCTCAGCTAGGGGTTACCCGTCCTCGTTGGCTCGTGTTCCCATGGTAAAGTACCTCGGAATATGAAGAGACAAATGGTTGTCATAGTAGCTAACTGAATATCTTAAGACTATACGTGAATTTGAAGTACTCGTTTCCCTCTGCAAAGCCGCACCGATGGTCCAGAGCAGCCAAAGTGCTCAGAAGCTAGCTAGCCAATTAATACCCTATATCCTCGAGGCACACTCCCAGACTTTTCTTCCATCGCCTGCTTTTAGCAAGATCGAACCGTCCCCTATCGAAGCCTTAACTTCACACGTCACCGCCGCTCTACTCTCACTAGGGAACAACTACGATGATTTACACGAGACCGTGTCTGACAATATTTGGGCTCTCCTGGCTGCAATGGCCACAACTGTAAAGGGCACAGTTCCACTGAAAATAAACGGAGATGCTCAACCGAACTTAGATGATGCTATCCATATTGCAACTGTAGCTATTTCTTTGCTAGGGTTTCTTGATGCTGCTTCTGCTCAAGCTAATTTCTGGAGGAGTGGTGGAAGATTGGCTCTCATTAGGAAGATTAGCAATCTACTCTCCGAATCTTTCTTAACTGCTGTCGATGCTGCATTTTCTACTATTCGGAATGCCCATATATCGGAGCGTAACGCTAAGGACTGGAAGAGAATACTCCGGCATTACGCCAATCAGGGACGACCTTTAGGTTCTATGCTACTTCAGAGGAGCTTCATGTGGCTCTTAGTCTCTGCTACTTCGCTTCTAATCGCGGATGTCAAGCTCCTCAGAACCTTTCATATCCTCGATTTATTTATGTCTAAGGATGGCATGTCAAAGCTAGGCTCTGCAAGTAGTCCAGATCCCGATTTTCAATCAATTGAGCTATATGCGAGCATCGCGCAGGAGGAGATGGACCGCCTTGAAGATAGTGCTGATTTCATTGAGCTCGGTTCATCCGCCCAGCAGAGATTAGCTTGTGCCGTCAGAGCCGCCGCAATCATTAGTTATTTGAACTGTTCTATATTACATGAGGATGCGGCGGACTCTGAGCTTCTCATGGGTTGGCTACAGGAATCTTTGGATAATCCAATGCAAATGGCAGACGAGATGTTGGCATCGACCGTGTTTCGTTCGATGGCTATACTTTCCAAAATCTCGCCGAACTTTGCTCCTACTGTGGTTCGACTACTGCCGCGTTTCATCGTGCGGACTACGCCCTCTAGCAGTATCGTTGCTACTGCATCGAAATGCTTGGCGTTTACTTTACGTCTGCTGTCCCAAGATGCGGTTATTACCACGCTATACACCCTTGGAAATGTGCTAAGCCCAGATACGGATCATAATGTTCCAAATGGGTCTGCTGGCGATCTCGGTGGGTTGTCAAGCGTGTACCAAGGTAGACAATCTACGGGTAGTGATATATCGCTCCAAATTCATGGGGACGAAGATACTACATTAGTATACGCGAATATCGTCCAAGCGATATGCAGCATTGCAGAGATGTGCGATGATGAAAAGATCACAGCTCTCGCACAGGCGATGCTCTTGCAAAAGTTAACTAAGGTCAACCAGTCGGTCGACTGTCACATCGTTACTGGAGCAAGTATCTTGTCTCTAAATGGAGGACAGCTGGAGTTCAGATCTCTTCTTAGATTATATTCTAAGCTCTGCCATAATGCGTCTGCTGAAGATAACGCTATTATCCTTGATGCTGTAAGACTTACAATTATATGGGTTTATACTAAGCCGCTAACGAATGTCTACAGGTTAGGAAAGCTCGAAATCACATATCGGAAAATGTGAAGCATGATTCTCCGCTATATGATATCTACTGGGACCATATACTAGAGGAATTGATCTCTAAGGGAGATATACATCAGTCCCAGCATATGAAGGAATCTGACGTCGAGTTCGCAGCCCGCGAAATTGCTCAACTTCTCCAACCTCTTGCAATACTAATGTCGAGGCATGAATTCACCACCGAGCTTCCCGGCCAAGATGATGATAGACACTCTCTGATTCGAGATGTCTGGTTCAATATTGTGGTACATGGCTTTACATCTCTGACAGAGAGGGGCAAGGAGTATATTAATGAATTGCGCATCATGGCCATACACTCACCACCTCTAGTGGCCGAACAACGAGGGGAACAGGTTGAGAGTGACATCGAGCTTAACACTGTCCTTCGTCGAGCTAACACTTCAGATCGGGAGGCAAAACAAAAGAGGCAACTTACAGAGCTTGTGCCCTCAAGAATCACACAGATAAAAAGCCTGAGTTACAGGAAGGTTATGTTCTTGCATGCCGCGTATTTGGTTGAGAGCTTGAGGGCTGATTCTGGCGATTGTACCAAGACACTCTCATACTTCTTGGAACCTAGCATGCGTAATGAAGATGTACGCGGTGTTATGGAAGGTATCACGGCCGTCGTGATGGAGAAGTATTTGATGAAGACTCTGGAAGCAAAGCTGCCAACCTTTTCGGCTCTCTATGCGGCCTCCCAACTCGCAGCAATTTTCTGTGGGTGTTGTCATCGTATTCAACGTGTTCAGCAAGCTGCATTCTATTGTGCGGACAAGTTCGTTCGTGAGATTCCATCGTCTCTGTGTCAAAAATCGTCGTTGTTTGCTCTCCTCGAGCTGTTGTCTCTTATGTGGATAAGTTGCCTCGAAGCCGAGACAGAAATGTATGATCCGCGGTCGGTATTTACATCTCGCCTGGGAAACGTTACTGTCGAACTTTCTGATGACTATACTTTCAGAAAAGCCACGCTTAATAATCTCTACATGAGAGCTAAATCGTGGGTCTCAATGGCAGTCAACCTAGCTCCTTCCGATGTGAAAGGCTTGCTTCAGACCTATTTGTCCGAGTTCGAAGACGAGGGAGCGTATGGGCATATGTCGCTTGGCCGGTCATTTGCAGTGGAAATGGGCTCCTCAATTCCAGCAACGGATCAGAGATTAACTTCTCTGGATCCTGTTGGTCAGACCGCAATAAACACGGCATCTCATTTCGTTGCTCAATACACAACCCGTCAAGAATACAGATATGGCGAAGCACTACCCAGCCATGGCAAAGATTTAATAAGTGCCATGCCCATGACGCGACGAGATTCGTTCATTAGATCTGCCCCATCAGATCGCGCCGACGCTGTTACGGCGTTGGCTCACGTGGGATCACGTCTTACCGGCAAGAAGGTCACACCTCTCCACGATGTGAGAGATATCCTCCGACGAGCAGCAGCTCTACTCTGCCGCAGTGGGGGGGATGAGAGTGCCATTACACATTACCTTGTTAGCATTCCCTTCAAAATCTTTACTAAAGAGTCCATCAACTTTGGCGTATCTCTCTGGCTGGGCGTCATAAACGAGAATCCTAGGATGGAGTCTCGAATACTTGCCGAGATCGCGCAGCAATGGGAAATCGCCATTCACAATAAACTTGGGCTGTTCAACCCTACTCTGATGTAAGATGGGCCCCGAGACGATGCGTACCAATACTAACCTTATCAGGCACCCAGATCCATTCTTTCTTAAGGAGGAATTCGCTCCAAGCGATAACGAAGGCCTTGCGAGGCGCCGGCAGCAGGTACATAGTATGCTTGCTCCGCATACTCGCCTGATACAATTTTTTAGCAGTCACTTCAATGCTACCCGATTAGGTAGCCCGGATATGCACAGAATCTTTATCCGTATGCTTGACTCGACACTCGATGCTCTGAAAAATTCTGTCTCTCACCCAATGGCCAGAGAGATTCGCCTAAGAATTGTTCTTTTTAGCTTAAGAGTGCTAAGAGTGAGCACTGCTGTCCGTCCGTTGGTTCAATGGCGACTCAAAGACAAAATCCTATCTGCGGGGTTGAGTTGGTTTAAGTTCGCACCAAAATGGTCCTTTGGCAGTAATATTCTTCAGCTAAAGACCGAAGTCCGCTTGATAACTGATGTTTTGAGTGCTCTCAAGACAGTCTCCTACGTCGGGGCTCAGGCCGTTGGGAACTTTAAGGCTCTAACCCAAAAAGAGACGTTATTTCAAGTTCTACTTGAGAGTGAACAGACCAGATTAAATGTTTGGGTTCACCCACTTGGCGAAAATCACCAACGGCCACATCTAACGCACCGTACTGGGACGGCACTCGAAGTAGGTTTATGGCCATTTAAATTAATGAGGCATAGAAAGCTAATTCGCAAGTCTACACTCAAACCACTTGTTCGCTTAGCATGGACCGAACATCCTTCTCTAGCGATAGAGCTAGTCAACCGATTTTCGATTCCAGCCGTGCATAATGAGGTTCGCTGGCTGTTGTTAAACTTCCCGGCTAAGGCTATCTCAGAGCCCGAGGCTCTCCCCATCTTATTGGGAGGTGAACTGCCATCTGATGTTGGGTTCCAGCTTAAGGTATGAACCATATGACCTTCCCGCCTTTCGTATAATAACCCACTAACCTGTGTAGTATTTACTCTTCTGGGCTCCTGTAAACCCGGTAACCGCTGTTACTTATTTCTTGCCTTCCTATCGAAACCATCCGTTTCTGATCCAGTATGCCATGAGAGCCTTGGAACATCACTCAGTCGATGTTACATTTTTCTATGTACCGCAAATTGTACAAGGTCTTCGATTTGATGCTCTTGGTTACGTGGAGCGTTACATTATTGAAACAGCCCAGTTCTCTCAACTGTTCGCACATCAGATTATCTGGAATATGAAGGCAAACTCTTATAAAGACGATGACGCTATGATTGTAAGTTTTGCTACCCTAAAATCCGGCAGCCTTATACTAACATACTACTAGCCCGATGCCATAAAGCCTGCTCTAGATAAGGTGATGGAAAAGATGGTCAACAGCTTTTCTGACGAGGATCGAAATTTTTACGAGAGAGAATTTACGTTCTTTGACGAGGTCACCAGTATATCTGGCAAGCTTAAGCCTCTAATTAAGCGTGACAAGCCGGAGAAGAAGCAAAAGATCGAAGAAGAGCTTCGAAAGATTAAAGTTGATGTTGGTGTTTACTTGCCCAGTAACCCTGATGGCGTTGTCATCGGCATTGACCGTAAATCTGGCAAACCGCTCCAATCACACGCAAAGGCACCATTCATGGCTACATTCCGCATCCAAAAAGCGAAAGGCGGCGTGGAGGAAACAGAAGAAGTTGCTCAAGAGATGAGCAAGACGGGCCAACCCCCAGCTGAGACCACAATCGAGGTCTGGCAGAGCGCTATCTTCAAGGTTGGTGATGACTGTCGACAAGATGTGTTGGCCTTACAGATGATTGCGGCGTTCCGCGGTATCTTCCATAGCGTCGGGCTCGATGTTTATGTTTTCCCTTACCGTGTAACTGCTACTGCTCCAGGTTGTGGTGTTATCGACGTCTTGCCAAACTCAATTTCCCGAGATATGCTGGGCCGAGAAGCCGTCAATGGACTATACGATTATTTCATCAGCAAATACGGCAACGAAGATTCGCTCCGCTTCCAGCATGCGCGTAACAATTTCGTAAAGAGCATGGCTGCTTACAGCATAATATCCTTCCTCCTGCAGTTCAAGGATCGCCACAATGGTAATATCATGATCGACGACGCTGGCCATATCTTGCACATCGACTTCGGGTTTTGTTTTGATATCGCTCCTGGTGGTGTGCGGTTTGAGCGTGCGCCCTTCAAGCTCACAGGTGAAATGCTGGCTGTGATGGGAGGCGGTACAGATCACCAGTCCTTTAAGTGGTTCGAGGAGCTGTGCGTGAAAGCTTTCTTGGCGTGTCGTCCGCATGCAGAGAAGCTGAGCCAGATCGTCTTACTCATGATGGACAGCGGGCTGCCATGTTTCAAGCCGGAGAGTGTCAAATTCTTCAAAGAACGGTTCGTACTGGAGCGTACCGAACGCGAGGCGGCCGACTTCGTGAGGGACCTGGTCAGGAGAAGTGCGGGCAGTTACAGTACCATGGTGTACGACCAATTCCAGCTCATGACCAATGGTATTCCTTACTAGTATAATAGATATAGATAAATATCCCGAAGGAGTTGGCGATCTGTGGAGGCGGCGAGCTCATTTGTTTAGTTCTAACCGGCAATTCTTGATAGTTACGATATTACCCATTTGAACTTATTATAATACTAATAGAGCAATCCTCCCTAAAAATATATATATATATTATAGAGCGCTTATAAATATTCACCGGTTGAGCCTTAGTGTGTTGAATGGCTTATCGTATTCATCGGTTCAGGACTTATATATAATTATGTAACTTGCTGAGTACCTCATATTAGGAATCGTAGCTATAACTATCCAATGCTGATATACAATATTGTAACCGTCTTTGTGGTAATCTCCCAAAGAAAGGTATGTCTAGACTCATCTGAATTTACTTGGGTAACTTTCAATTAATGAAGCTTGTTTATAGATAAGCTAAAGCTCTGGGGCTAGAGGTTCTCCTACTTTATAACGCGTGGCTTTATTGAGATGTGATTAAACTTGCGTACTTTGCTACCTAAAGGTAGTGTACTACAACCTACACTTTAGTAGGCATTCTAAACCACCTCATTAATTATTAATTATTAATCATTAATTAGAATAAAGTTGTTGGGTTGTCGCAATACCCCATAGAGTATCGCAAAATACATAGCTACGGCCGAGCTTCTTCGACGTTACATATTAACCAATGGCTGAAATGGCTCAATTCAATATTTGGTAGTACCAAGTAACTACAGCGCCCCTATCAGCTAAATGTTGATGCGTGCATACTGCAGTCACTGCAGGTATTAACTATTAGATGTTGCAGCAATATTGAACCAACCGCGGACGTGTGGGCGAGGGCTTTTGCCTGTCAGACCTATCAAGGGTAGGTGGTCTTTTATCTGAGACGGTAGTCCGTACGATATGCGAGACGTTGTAGTCCGGATACGTGCAGTGACCGCATACCAGACCCGTATCTAGAAGATCATTGCCGGGACTAGCAGGAGTAGATCCGGAGGCAGGGACACCACTATCAAGTAAGTGAATGAAACGAGCTCGGTCAGTTTCGCGATCGGCAGCGGGGAGGAAAGGATAAGATCATTGGAGGGGAAATGAGGGAACAGTTACGTCAATTATAGACGTCTTGTCTTGAACGACTTGTGGATGGATATTGTAGTTACCTAGTTAAATACATATGGAATTTGCTGTAACTTTTGGTCAAGAGAGAAAGATATGGGGATACGGGGATACGGGGTTGCATGAATATTTACGCAGCAACTTAAAGGTTACGTAGGGCGGGCCGGCCCCCCATTCATTCTTGGTCTTTCACAGGTCAAACGCGACTTATGACTTGCGACGAAGGTCTTTTATTGCAGATAGCAGGTACATTGCTAACGGGATGGTGCCGTGCTAGCTACATAATGTACATGATGTTACGAATTTCTTAGCGGGTACCTATTAAGTATCACTAATGTATCTTATCTGTAAGGACTTAAATATTCGGACCGGTTCTTGGCTGCGAACATCATCACGGACTGGAATTCGACATGTTTGGGGAACTGTCTGGGCTGTTCTGTTCGTATTCAACTTGGTTTGTATCATTTACAGTAACTATACGAAGTACGTTAATTATTCTATTTTTACAAATGTGGCAAGATGATGTAGTCATGGTAAATAATAATGGCTATACATAGGTACCTATACCATGGGATATATAAGACAGTTTTTGACTAAGATGCAGTAAGATGCGTTACCAATACCAAGGGATATCACACATAAAGCTTATTAGCTTATGCAAGATTAAATGCGGTGAATAAATGACATAACTTGCATTGTTATGGACGAGATTACTCGGTCAACGAAATACATAACTAATATATACCTATGTCGTGCAATGTTTGATAAGGTTGAGTTCGAGTTAATGCTTCTTTCGTGCATATGTACCCATGTATGTATTCAGCACGTGTTAGAATCATTGCTGGGTTTGATGGATTAGATTGGAGGAAGTCTCGGTGGACTCCGCATAATAACTGCAGATGGTACTTGCAAGATACTTCGTAGTCACCACACATCGTAGTAACACTGATTACGATTATGATAAAGCATTTTGATTGGTCCACTGGCGTAAGCAGTTCCACTTCCCAATCCAAAAAAAGAAATCGAACCAACATTTAGTTCCAGCCTATGCCCCAGTATCTCGCCTCCGTTTCTGGGCTCCTTGGCTGCTGCAGGCTTTACATATGTAGTATTGTTAAGATTGTTAAGATTGTTAAGAAACCTTCTTTTCCATGGGTTGTCCCAGAGATGTTGCACAATCTGTCATCCAAGTCTAATACACCTTATCTAAAGGTTGCCTTTCGTTCAAACAAATTGATTTACCTATCCATTATCTATTATCTATTGGAGCTACCTAGGTAGCGTCTTATTATCACTCGTTACCTACCCGAAACTATTCCTCATTTCTCTTCTTTCACTATCACTACTTATCATAAACCCTGTATCCTGTATCCTGTATCCTGTATCGATCGCATCGCATCTTGCTGAGCCCGCACCCCCTTAACCTAATCAGCTACTTTTACCTCCTATACTTTTTGACCCAGAATCCAGAACGCGTAATTGAAACGAACCTTGAAACCAGTCATCCATCTCACGCCACACTATAATCATATCATTAGCCTCGTGCTCTTTGTCGCACACGTAGCGAGGCATATTAAGGACATGCTGCGATATTAACACTTTATAACTTCTAACAAGACAACAAACATCGCAACCAATCGCGCGCATCTACCCTCATTTTGTCTTGAGCCTACCTTTTTGCTTCCCTCAGTTCCACCGTCATGGGGAAGAGATGTAAGCCTCCCCTCTAAACCGTCACGAGGTCCATATCGCAACATTGCTGACGACAGTTGCTACAAATTAGGGAGATGGGGTATCATTCTGGACGCCGGTTCCTCTGGAACGCGTTTACATATATATCGGTGGCTAGATCCTGCAAAAGCACTCAGGGAAGCATCCTATCAAGAATTACATAGTTTGCCGAATATCGTAACCAAAGATAAATGGACAAAAAAGATTAGACCAGGAATCTCAACCTTTGGCGACCATCCAGAAGACGTCGGACCTGATCACCTGCAAGACCTAGTCGAACGGGCACTGGACGTTATCCCCGTCGATAAACATGCTGATACCCCGATATTCCTCATGGCCACCGCTGGCATGCGATTATTACCTCCTACTCAACAAAGAGCGGTCATAACCGAGACTTGCTCGTATTTCCGCGCCAACACGCGATTCTCTCTTCCCGACTGCGATACGCACATTCAGGTCATTCCCGGCGAGACTGAAGGTCTATATGGATGGATAGCGGCCAATTATCTTCTGGGAGGTTTCGACGATCCTGATGGGCATGCTCATGGAAAGAATCACCATACTTATGGTTTCCTAGACATGGGTGGCGCTTCGGCGCAGATTGCTTTTGCGCCCAATGCCACTGTAGCCGAAGATCACGGGAACGATCTTAAGTTGCTGCGAATGCGAAGCTTAAATGGCGAGCCCAAGGAATACAAGGTGTTTACATCAACATGGCTTGGCTTTGGAGTCAACCAGGCGCGCCAGCGCTACGTCAAAGCCTTGGTCGACGAATTTTTAATCGATGGGGAGCACGAGGTACCTGACCCTTGTCTACCAAGAGGATTGCGAACCAACGAAAAGGGTGAGGTCATCAGGGGGAATTCAAAAGAGCTGGAATTAGTTGGTACAGGTGGATTCGATGAGTGTTTGCGGAGAACGAAGCCGCTATTGGGTAAAGACATGCCATGCGAAGACAAGCCATGCTTATTTAACGGCCAACACGTCCCGCCCATTGATTTCGATGTCAACCACTTCGTTGGAGTTTCTGAATACTGGCATACCACACACGGCGTATTCGGAAGTAAAGACGATGATACGGCCTACGATTTCAATACATATGAGAAGAAGGTATTGGAATTTTGCAGTCAGCGTTGGGAAGAAATCGAGTCGAATATCGAAGCGCGAAAGAAAGATCACGGAAAGGAAGCCCAAGAAGCCTGCTTCAAGGCATCCTGGCTTATCAGTGTATTGCACGAGGGTATCGGCATACCGAGATATGGCATAGAAAATACACCAACTCCAGGGATTAACGTCACGAAAGGAATCGGAGAGGCTGCTAAGGAGAAGGGATTTTTACACCCCTTCCAAGCCGCTGACGAAGTTAACAACATCGAGATCAGCTGGACGCTAGGAAAGATGGTGCTCTACGCGGCCGGCCAAATTCCACCCAAGGACAACTATCGTCACCCTGTGGGATTCGGGAGCAACGTAAAAGGTATCCCTTCAGACTTCCAATACGCTGGATCCAGTTTTAATGTGTCCTCGGCAATCGATGATGAGGATGATTGGGGCGATACGGCGGAAGATCTGATAGACCATGCGAAATCAAAGTCGACATCTGGGCTCTTCTTCTTCCTACTGATCTTCTTATTTATCGCTTTTCTACTTCGAAAGCGAGATAGGCGGATGCGGCTTTATGGTAAAGTTAACAAGGTACTACGCCGCCGACGCCGCCCGGGCAGCCCTCGAAAGCTTAGCCTCGGTCTCTCGGCTATCTCACACAAACTATTTGGTCGTGGATCATATAACTATGAAAGGGTTCTGGAAGAAGGTGACGCCAACCAGTTCGAACTAGGCGAAGCTTCGTCGGATGAAGGCGATAATTCCGATAGTAGCGGGGGGGCATCAAGGGTCGGTCGATCGTCAGGCCTGGCTACCCCGAAACTAAATGTCGAATCTTTTGACGACATCAAAAAGCACTCACATCCTGGAAGTGCGCTTGATCGGTCCGGGTTGGTAGTAAGAACAGAAAGTCGCGAGAGACTGTTTCCACAAATGTTAACAGCTGGACGGAGGAGTCGAGCGGGCAGTCCCACGAGGCTTAAGAGCCCCTTAATGAGCCCCTTGACGGAGGATTAATAAACTGTATATTCTATTCTTATCCTTATTGGGCAATCACCTTGTATTGTCCAGGCGGCACACTCCTTGTAGGGCTACAGGTTCGGAGTTCCCCTGGAGAGGGTTACATGGGAAAGGAGTTCCGGTAGTGACGGATTTTATGTATTATGCCTGAGACGGGCCTCGATATATGGGTTGACGAGTAAAAGCATATTGGATTCTTAGTAGATACCTTCATAGCTCGGCACGTTTGTTGTTGTTGCATACGGGGAGGTAGTTATCGAATGTTCATACACGGCCAGCTGTACTAGTGGTCACGCGTAGTTACGCAATTGATATATATTATGCAGTTGGTCTTGCTTGACTAGTGAAGTGCTCCCTGGTATGAAATTTATGTGTAGTAAATTGAAAGCCTACGAAACTTTAGATATCCCTATTTAGACATGCAGTAGCTTTTATCTATTCCAATATTGCTCGACTATAACTCAGAAGTGGCCGTGGCGTCGTCCTTCTCCATCGAGGAATCTATCCAACCTTCTATATCCGACCTCTTAGACTGGCCTGCTCCTCACAGGAGACGAATATTATACCTAACAGCCAACAGGGGTAGAAGTCCGCTATCCTTTTCTCCCCCCTCCCCGTCTCCGCTGTTTCTCGTCCTATACAATATACCTAATGCCTAAATCTCTACTTTGAGGAGTACTTGCCCCCTCAGGACCCTCTAGATAACAGGTGCCGTTAATCCTGCTCCCTTTCGAGAAACGTAGGGTCGTTCCGGACCTTATTCTCAAACTTGCGCCACCACTCTTGGAAGGCCTTTAGAGGCACGACCTCGACGCCTTCGGTGCCCACCTTCCCGCTGAACCCGGCCAAGAAGTTGAATGCGTTTTGTATTATGCGTTGTGCTAAGATCTGCGTCGACGGCTGCTGCTGCTGCTGTTGTAGCGTCGTGTGTCCGCTGCTAGAGTCCGTCGCGTGTAACTGCTGGATACGCTCGGCTACAGATGATGCGTCCTCTACGCCGATCCCGATTATCACGCCCTCGGGGTTATAGGAGGAAGAAGAAGATGAAGGTGGAGAGAGCTTGAACACGGCGCTCTCCTTGCCGGGTCCCACGCCCCCCAGGAACTTGAAGTTAGGCTCCTCTTGTCCGCTAGCTAGGGCGGTTGGATTCAGCGCGACGTAGATAGCGGCGGCAGTGCCGTCGGGGAGGGCAACGCCGGGGAGCAGGAAGACGGCGAGGTGGGCGAAGGGTTTCGGGGTGGGGTTAGCGGGGGAGGGCGCGGGGTGTGGGATCGCGTATAAGAAGGATGTGGCGCTAGGTTGGGAGGAGGGTACGGTGATAAGTGGCTGTCCGGCTGGGACGATGCCAAAGAGCGGTTGGTTTGGCTGTTGCGCCATTGTATTTTCGATCTCTAAACGATTGTTTACAGCTAAACGGATATTAATTGTTGCCTCAGAGTGGCTTAGGAAATATGTTCCGTTACGTCTTTGATCCGGGACCCTAGGAGGGTTCAACCACCTCGCGGTGAAATCGCTTGTAACATGAGGAAACGAAGGTAGAAGAAGAATTCGAGATGCGATCAGATGCTTGTAGTGGAAGCTTCAAAGAGTTACTTTGGTACCTACCTACCAAATTTCAACGTCATGGTATCGGGGGGGTGGAGGGGCAGAGATGTGCGCTAAGACTTATGCAAAATGCGCATAGTATCTAGGTATATATTGCATCCGCATCCGGTACATACATGTACCTACCTTAGGTACACAGCTTACATATAGGTACCTCCTAATGTACCTAATCTAGAATGCACCTGCAGCCTGAGACCTGTAACATACATATGTAGAAGAAGTTGTTACCTCTTGTCTCCATGTGAGGAGGTAGGAACATGCAGATAGTGAAGTAGGTACTTCCACAAAAGAGACAACGCTATTGGATCTCAAACTCATTTAGTCCAATATCAAAATCTTTAAAGACATGTCAACATGTCTAAGGTTACCTACCTATAATAGTCTTTTGAGACACCAGGCACCAAGCAAATTTACAGCAAATTTTTTTTGGATATCATCTACGACTTGAACCTCTTATAAAAGGACCTAGAACGAATTATTGCTATCTTTTCCAGCAGAACAGAACAATAATACATTTCCCACTACAACTTCACAACAATATCTACAAACCTGGGGATTTTGATATTTGGGTCAACTCTATCTTAACGACAAAACGTTCGCTTATTTCCCATAGGGCTTACAGCTCTGCTTCATCCGTATCAAGTATACATCAGACACTGAGAAAGTTAAGGGGCTCTCGACTCATTCCGAACGTATTAGCCGAGATGCCGTGTTTAATGAGTAACCTCGATATCATGAAGGAGGCTGATGCGTAAGTTAAAAGCCTCTCTTATAAAAAGAGCGGTAGACTAGAACTAAACAATTTGCGAGGGCGTACGCAGCTTCCCTTACCTAGAAAAGGAGCCTGAAGCATACAAGGCTCTTACTGACACTCTATACACTCTGGTTTGGAAGGATGGGCAGCCTCTTGGCTATATGCTTGATTCCGTTGTTACACAGCTCCTCGCCACACCGGAAGAAATCCGCGGTCCCGTAACTGTGGATGAGGCCAAACGCACGGTGCGTGCTTTCGAGCTGCCGACGGAAGCCGAAAGAACTGCGCTTGTGGCTCGCTTAATGCAGTATTGGCGGGAAAATCGTACATATGATATATTAAGGGGCTGGCGGAACGAACTGTGGCCAGTTTATGGCAGCAATGACGAGGTCCTATACAGCGCTGAGCGCAGTGGAACAGGCCTGCTAGGAATCATGCGTTACGGGGTGCATATGACAGCCTTCGTCAAGGACGACACAGCGAGCCACGGCATGAAGATATTAGTGGCTCAACGGGCAGCTAACAAGTCTACGTATCCTAGCATGCTGGACAACTCTGTCGCGGGTGGTCTTATGACTGGGGAAGATCCCTTCGAATGTATAATTCGAGAAGCGGACGAGGAAGCCGATCTGCCCGAAACGCTCATGCACGAGCGAGCCAAATTTACCGGCATGGTCACGTACATCTACATTACAGACGAACGAGCAGGCGGTGAGGCTGGTCAGATTTATCCCGAGACCCAGTGGGTCTACGATATCGAGCTACCTGCAGATTTTGTCCCTACACCCAAGGATGGCGAGGTGGCAGGCTTTTACTTGTGGACAGTCGAAGAGGTGCAAGAGAAACTTGCTCAAGGGGAGTTCAAGCCTAACTGTGCTCTCATCCTAGTCGATTTCTTCATCCGCCACAAGATCCTGACACCAGAGAACGAACCCAACTATGACGAGATAGTGAGCCGGTTACATCGCAAACTACCTTTCCCAGGCCCCCATCAAGTTGGTCCATCGACCACATAACAGTGCTCCCAGTTGCCTTTCCCTTTTGAATATCCCACTAGCGAACCAACGTGTCGTTGGCCACGACTTACTAGTAGAGTAGCTCTAGTTCATGATTTGGCCGCAATAAGCGTTCATTGGTATCTCAAGCGTAGCTGTAATATGCAATAACCATCCTCTCTACACTTTGGTCTTCAGATTAAAACTCCCATTAACTCGTGAATCAGTCGTGGTCTCGCCAATGGGCGAGTAAAGAGTGCCGTGCGATAGTAGATTATTTCTTAACTAGGAGGTAGGTGTTGTCGACACGCAACGGCGTTAACTTCTTATAGGGTCCCTCCAGCATCATTAATAACCCGCCAAATGAGATGTACGCGCGACTATAACTATGTTAGTACTGCCTGGGATAAGCAGAAAATATGAAGATTAAAACGGGATAACGAAGGGAAGAAGAAACGAGAATGCTGAGGTAAGAGAAGTCGCATACATAGTCTGACCATCAACACCATCCTCAAACTTGTAGATCTTGCCGTGGCACACGTAGTCATACATATCCGCAAGGGAAGACTCGTTGCGAACGTGGCGCCATCCTTTCTCTTCTTCCTCGTCTTTGGTACCGTCGAGTGACAGGCTAGTAGCCAGTACAACCTCGATGTTACTGCCGACGCGAAGGGGGAACAACTCGATGTTGATGTCAAGCTGCATCGTTGTCAGGTTGTCGGTGGACGTGCCACCGATACGTGCCACGCGGTCATATTTGGATTGATCGTAGGTCGTCACCGTGAAGGTGTCTTCGAAGAGTTGCGCGTCGCCCGCTGCGAGGTTCGACATTTTGAGGGAAGTTTTATTTTTGGCCTGGCTTGGTTTGATTTGGGCAATTGGGCAATTGGTTTCTAGATGGAGTTGTAGAATGAATGTGGCGGCGTATCGGGTTAGGAGGTGGGAAGAAAGTTGGATATTAAGATATGCGGAAGTATCGAGTTTTTGGCACAGTCGCTTTTTTTTTCTTTTTCCCAATGGAAGCTCTAAATGGAATTCCGCCGTTGATTGCGGGGTGCCTACTGAAAGCGGTGAAGCCTTGTATTTACAGGGGACCTTTGCGGCTCTGTTAAGAGTTAAAAACAGGTACCTAAATCTTTTTAAGGGATTATTAGTAACTAAGGACTTAGAGGGCGTGTGACGTAGTAACACTTTTTGTGACCTACGAAACTATGGGATATGTACCTACATAAGGTACCTATTCACCGAAAAAAGCTTAGAAAATACTTCCTAACCCAACCGAAATTGGAGATAAGCTGCCCAGCTTATTTTTCTCGAATCGAAGCCCAAATGCATATACCAATAAAATACACCATTTTTCCTCATTACCTCGATTTAATAACTTGATACATAAAATCGGGGGATCTTACGAACCTAATGCCGTGGCCATGTCCTTCAGGAAAAGAAATGCTGTGATTAGCAGCTCAATTTCATCTCAGTCAACCCCATCAAAGACTGAAAATATACCTATTCCCGGAGTTCGACCGTCTCTTGTTGATGGTCGACCGACTACCTCTACTGGAACCGCATCTCTAGACAGTTTACTTGCTGGACATGCTGGATTACCCCTAGGCACATCACTTCTTATCGGGGAGCATGGTACTACCGATTTTGCTGGCATACTTCTCCGTTACTATGCCGCCGAGGGTATGCTTCAGGGTCATCAAATCCACGTCCTCGGCTTACATGAAAGTTGGCGCCATGAGCTCCCGGGGCTTTTGACCGAGGACAAGAAGTCATCAAGCAAGTCAGAGACTCCGTCAGATGACAAGATGAAGATAGCTTGGAGATATGAAAGCTTATCGTCTGGGGGAGCCCCGAGGGATAGAAATGCAGCTCAGAAGCGAAGTAATTCTGCGACTGAATCTACTTCTATCTTCTGCCATTCTTTTGATCTTACCAAAAGACTGAGTCCCACCAACGTCAAGGGTCAAATCGGCTTTCATCCCGCGATGAGCATACCGGGTCTACCTTCCCGCACAAGAGAGTCAACGTCGCCTTTCAAGATGTTCATCAAGAACGTAGCTCATAAACTAGAAAATTCGCCGCCGTCTTGGATCCATCGCGTCATAGTACCAAGTCTCTTATCCCCGACGGGGTACGCTGGCTCGTCTGCTCGACCCGAAGAAGTCTTGCAGTTTTTACACGCGCTTAGAGCGTTATTAAGACAGTACTCAGGAAAACTGACAGCTATTATAACTTTGCCGCTATCACTTTACCCTAGGACTACAGGACTTACACGTTGGATGGAGTTATTATCCGATGGTGTCTTTGAACTCATCCCGCTCCAGTCCAGCGCTGTTCACGCTCCTCCCCCATCTTCGAAGTCAGATTCTAAATCTGAAGAACAGACTCAGGGACTTCTTAAAGTCCATAGTCTACCGATTTTCCACGAAAAAGGCGGGGGCTCTTCTGAGGGCCATGCTGCCCATGGTGATCTATCGTTTAGCTTGAGTCGATCTAAAGGTTTTGTGATAAAACCGTTCTATTTGCCTCCTGTTGGAGAGGACGAAGAGGAAAAGAAGAAAGGAGATTCTAGCAAAGGAAGCATAGATTTCTAAAAATTCCTCTATACGTCTACATAAGGTGAATATCTGCGATTAAATTGAGCTACTACAGTGCGATTATATAAATATGGTATTACACACTGTATTAACCCCACTTAGATCTCTCCAAATTTTCGTCGACTTCTCCAAGCTCGATGAAAAAAAAAAAAAATGAAAAAGGCTTTTAGTTTTTTCAATCTTCAACAACCACAACAGGTAAGTCGATAATTCCGCTTTTCTTAGAATACGCTATCGAAATGATTACAACAATGAATAATCTGTCAATCCACTGAAATAACAATGTTGACAACCTTCTATCTGGAAAAATATGATCTCCCAAATTATTCTACATTGCATATAACAAGCTTGATCCGTAACCAACGCTGACTCTCAAGCAGACAGATATTTATTCCCTCTGTGCAGATGGCTTCTTCCACCATAAGCTGGCCTCCTGTGAGGATATCCAAAGTCGCGGGGCGGTATCTGCTTTTCGACATAGACGATGTGATGCACCTGCGCAAGAACCACAACATCTGCTCCGTGTTCGTCGGGACGATTCCTCAGAATCCCCAGCAGAACATCTTCATGGGCCTGCCTATCGAGCTGATGCCCGAGGAGGCCCAGGTCCTCGTCGACAAGAACGTAGCATACATCGTAGACGACGCCGCGTTCCATTCCGCGTCCTTTGTTACTCTAGATGACGACGCGCGCAGAAGATACCTGCAGTCTGTCAAAGCTGAGGGCAGGAAGGCCCAGATGGCGGCTGCGGAGAGCAAGCTGAGTGCGAAGCCAAAAATAACTACTACTACTACTACTACTAAGAAAGAGAAAGAAAAGCCAAAGACTTCAGAAAATGAGGCAAGTCTCGAAGCAGATGACGAGACCAGCACCAGTCTCTTCAGCCCTCCCTCTCCGCCACCGCCAAGTGGCGTCTCTCACTCCCAACCCTCGCAAACGGAAGACCACCCCGCCTTCGCAATAACACCCACAACAAGCAGCCTTATCCTCCCCCCTTCTCCTCCCCACGTCCCCCCTAAAGGACTCTTTCCCTTCTCCGCCTCCGTGAACGTCCCGCCCTCGTACCCGCTATACGCCCATCTTCAGGACCGCGGCTACTACATGATGCCCGGCTTACGTTTTGGCTGCGATTACAACGTATACCCTGGTGACCCCCTACGTTTCCACAGTCACTTCCAGGCCGCCAGTTACGGTTGGGAAGAAGAGATTGCCGTCCTTGATCTCGTGGCCGGCGGACGACTGGGTACGAATGTCAAGAAGGGGTATTTGATTGGTGGGGCTGTGGTAGGTGATGATACGGATGAGCATCAGAAAAAGAAAGAGGGGATAGACGAAAATCCCAAAGCTCCGCGAGCCAGGGCTTTCTGTATAGAATGGGCAGCTATGTAGACGCGTACCTGAATCTAGACAGAATGCTGTCGCTATCGCTAGTCCGTAGTTATCTATTTATAACAACTACTATCCTATTGTGGGCAATATTGAGGAATTCTTGACATGAATGCAACAATCATTTTCAGATCATCTTTCAAGAATTGAATGAGTACCTAAACCCGGCTACTTAGTATAACTACCTATGTACCTAATGCATACCACACCCCTAATCAGACCAGAACTCCGAGCGTGTAATGAATAAATAAAAATGTCAAAACATAGAAACCACACCGTCTAGCTCCTGTACCCCTTCGCTGCAACATGATGCTACAACATGTTTTCCTTCATCGCTTTACATTCATCTCCGTCATATTCCTCACCCTTCTCGCTATTCCAATCCGACATCTTGGAACCAATGAAGGCGGGGGTCATCATAGGGAACTGATTAGACAGAAGGGTTTCATAGATCAAGTTCACCTCGATACTAGTTCTAACGAGTTTGCCGTGCGGATTTTGAAATAAGATAATATCATGCAAGGCAATGCTGAATAATGTTGATTATTGAATAGCGGAAGCGGAAGGACTTTCGTGCCATACAAGCGGGTCGAGAACCGACGGGATATTACAGACAAAGAGCCCACCTTGACTAAAGCCTAAGGAAGGTAATTCGGGCAGCTCAGTCGTCAGGGTACGTATATGCGGCTAAAGCTGACGACTTCCCTGCGGCAGCAGACACACTTGTCGAAGTTGTTCATTGCTAATGTGACACGGCACTCGTCACAGAGGCTGAGACAGCGACATGGCCACACAATAATCTTGCGAGGGGATGAGTGGCATACAACGCACTGAGGCCCGCCCCTACCGTCATCACTGTTGTTGCCATCTTGAAGCTCACTTTCACGGGCGGCTTCGGTCCGCCTCGTAACGATTAGGTCCTCGAGGAGCTCGGCTTCCTCCTCGTCCGAGAGCTTGCCTTTGCTAGGCCGCTGTGGGAAGAAGAGGCGCCCGCGCTGGTTTTGCTGCATGCGCGCGTACTTAGAGCGCGTGATAATCTGATCACTACTTAGGTGGGCGGCAAGGGCATGGGCTTCGCGACGCTCCTCTGGGCTTCTGGGATGAAGCAGCCTGGCAAGATCGCCCATGGCTAAGGGCTGGTCAAAAGGAGTTGTCTCCCGAGAGAGCGAAAAGTGCTGAGATGCTTGTGTGGGCGTCCTCTGCCCGTCGTTTTCCTCGAATTTATCCTCATCAACCCACTGACCCTGCTCATCTTCATCGCCAGCGACACTATGCATCATGCTCGTCGTATCCCAATCACCGTCGTTTTCATCCGGCTCCCAGTCGCCGCTCGTATCCACGGATCCCCATAGATCACCATGTTTCCATGAATTGTATAATCTTGTGTCTAGTTCCTCATCCGGCATGTTAGCTGTCTCAGGGGCCATCCTAAGACGTCTTCGTACTTCGGCCTCCACGTCGGCAGTCTCGTCATTATAGAGCCTATTGCTCCTCCTATTTCGGCCCAGCAGCAGTGAGTGCGCTTCTGCCGGGGGTTTTCTCTCGTCTTTATTATCCTGTTTCGGCCAGCGAGAAAGCCAGACTAAGATGCGAGGTCGGGTTGTAATCCCAAGACGCGTTAGGGCTTTCAAAAGAAGCACCGCGCCCCATCGCAGCAGAAGCCTATTGATGTTCATGATGAACTCCAAGGCTAGAAGCCAACGTGAACTACGCTCAGTAGCACCAACCCCGTCCCTAGCACGTTTTTCTCCGATGCGCGTTTTGGGAATTGTCTGAGCTGCTCGTTCTCGTGCATATCCACTCGACGCTCCGAGCTGTCCGTCCTTGATTGGTACCAATCCGATAGCTCCGACAGAATCATATCGGGAAGCACTCAGACCTGATCCGGCCCATTGCATGCGTATAGACTCGAGCTCTCTCAGCCTTTCTTCTTCAAGCCATGTACGGTTTTTCAAGTTGATGCCCCGGTCTTCGTTAAGATAGACAGCTTCACTCGCCATCGTGATGACACTAAAACCTGTTCGAAGCAGCGCCGTATAGAAGTCCATTTCTCGTGAAATCCGAATATCGGAGAGCGAAATATTCGCTTGCATATTCTCATGCGCCTGTGCTAATCGTTCTCGAAACGATAAGACCCGTCCATTGACGTTCCACCGATCCGGGGGTTGCATCGCCGAAAGGACCAAAGCAATAGCATATATAGCAAGGCACGCAAGCGTACCCGTAAATACCAGAAGATGGGGGATAAAACCTATGATACAGACTGTAGGAAACCTAAAAATACCCATTGTTGATGGACTGTCGACAGAGAAATCTAAAGCTTCTATCACGATGCTTCCCATAAAGCAGATAGCCCAAAACCCCGTACTAACTAATCGGTACCGGCTCTGTAAATTAAAGACACCTAGGACGTGGCTAGTAATATGGCTCATGGCAGAGAGGAAAGCCACCAGAAGGACTTCAGGGGGCGTGTTGACCCTCTTCATTATCATGGATCTGGAGACGGCGATGCTGGCCCCTGAAGCCTGTTGGAATGTCACATTGGAACTACTACCACTTGAAAATAAACCCCAACCGAGTTGGTTGCTGATAGCGGCGTCGGCCTCGGCAAACGCCAGTGAATGCTCGAAAAGGGTCATCCCAGTCTCGACAGCCACTTGACGCCCTTGCACTGCGCATGAAATCGTCTCTAAGAAATGACTTAGGCACAGAGTCCCGAAAAGGGGCCACAGTAGAGACAGGGAGCCATGTAGCTCGTTCGAATAATCGTGATTGCTTGGAGGGACCATTTCAACAGCGCGGCAGCTGTCATAATCGGTGGCGCCCAGAAGGAAGACTGTACTGAGCCCATGTAAATATGTGGAAGGTTGTGCGAACATGAGATCTGATGTCTTGCTAGCGTTACCCCAGCGCATCTCGGCGAAATCGGGTGAAGTTTGACACTGGATGGACTGTAGGAGTTGCCGGGCTTGGTATGCGAAGAGAATGATAGGTAGAAAGCGGAGAAAGAGTCGTACGGGCCATGTCAGATACAACCTTCTTCGCGAAGCTGCAAATATGTGTGTACGGTTCAATATGATAGCCTGCAACAGCGCTAGACGTCAGAAATCGCTTCAACGTCAAAATCGGAGGGAAACAGACCATGGCAATACAGCAGAGCGCCCATTTGCTCGTAGCATAGCTAAAGACGCTACCTAAACCCTTCGTTCCATCGGCGGAGAACTTGGAGACCAATACAGCGGGGTCCTGATCTTCGTTTTCTAATACTTCTGCTACATTAGCGGCAGCTTCGGAGGCTTGGGTAAGCATATGGGCGGCGGTAGTCGTCGAGAGAAAAAAGTCGGATGTCGTTGGGTCGGCTATGACTCGTTGCCCAAAGCCATCAACAGCATCGGGAAAGGATATGATGCCAAGCTTGGTCAACATCCTAGGCCCAGCAAGAATCAGGTCCTCAAGCGACGGTGCGAATCTTGTTACGTTATTGACGGAATACCTGAGGTGCTGGGCCGTCCAAGAAGTCAAATTATACCAGATGCTTGAATTATCAAGGAACGTAGGTGCCGGGACGGCGGTCGCGCCTGGAGAGGCCATTTAGCTGGGGAGGTTTATCTGGGGTATGCGAGAGGCGGCCAATAACTCCGAATCGCCCGCGACGAGATCTGACTTAGGCACGTTGCTTCCAATCAGAGAGGACAGTAATTAGGTCATTCAGAAGCTCCGAAACACTGGAATTAGCCAATGCATACTTGCTGCAAACACATGACGACTTCCCGTCATGCATGCATTTGTTGAGATATCGTGAGTTTCTTTGAAATTTACATATATATATGAGGTAAGTGTATGTAAGTTTTAAGTTGGTATTAAAGAGACGATATCCGAAATGTTCCAGAATCTAGACAAGGTTCAACGGCTATCAATAAGCGGCGCTCCTGCCATCACACCTTAACATCAGGTAAATTAGCGGGTAGGTGCATATCTTAAAGTGTGCAGGTGCCCGCCGATGAATGCTAGGTAGGTGTTTGTACATATACATGGGTACCCAATCTACATGTAGGTACCTAACGACATATGTAGTTCCAGAAGTGCTAAAAATAGATTCTGGTCAGCTTATGTACCTAGGTAGCTATACATCTATTGAAGTCGATGCATACCTAGGTACCTAGGTATTAATTGATAGCTTACATGTAGGTACCTAGGCATTTAAAGGTGCTTCTTGTATTTATTATAAGTATTGGTTCATGAATAGCTCTATTTCGCACACCACTGCGCCTATATTTTAGGCTCGGTATACCTAAAACACTAGCGCGTAGGCAAGAGATGTTTAAGACCTTAGCAGCTCAGTTGTTCACACCAACGTCCATACGATCCACTTCCTTTACGGATTCGTAATCACCACGAGTAACGGTTACTTTTGCTAACATCTTTAGCTTCTGCCGTCTGCCATTATGGCATATCCTTTCCTTCCAAGAGGTCCTATTAAGTTTCCACACTATTAACAGCATGTAACAGACGCTATAGGAATTCACGTGGGTGAGGATGGCTTCTTCTTGGGAAGTTATACTCCCAGCTCAATATTTCATCATCACCTAACCAGCCCAGTATGGGGGTTTCTGTCATATCCCTGAAGTCACCTCTCAATCTAGATCCCATCCGCCGGTTGGTAGATGTTCTACATCATGGGTAGTTGAGCTTAAGAGACCTTTTTTCCTTGATCAACCGTCTCATTTAAAGCCTGGATGAGGACGCGGTTCGCATTGCGGCATGCTACAAGGCTTCTCTCGACCATTTTGTTGTAGAGCATAGCGTCCGCAGCGGGCAGTTGACCCTTGAACCAGACGTTGGTTACTTCATCCCTTGTCGGTAAGTATGCGACACAACACGCTGCAAATATCTTGTGATATGAGGCAACATCTGGATCAAGGACGATACTTGGCTGGCTCTTCTCGTCCTGAGCTGCTAAAGCCGCAACGCCTCCTGCAACAGTATCCACGCAGTCAATGCCAGCGTCCGCAATAGCCGCAGAGGCGACGGTTATACAACCACTTAAGACATTCATCATATCCCAACCTTCGTCTCTGTCGTAATCGGGAGAGTCACGATTCTGGTCTCCTTCAATTATGGTAACGATGATGTCGACACCACTTTTAGGCCAACGATCCGCGATAATTGCGCCTCGTAATGCTGTTTCTAGATGGACTCCGAGATCCCTCTCACTTGAGTCGCGTAGGTAACCTCGTCTTTGTCTTGTCGCGAAAGGTGCATATTTGACGTGCGTCGAAAGGATGATATGAGGAGAGAAAGGCGCTGATCGCGGAAGTGCTCGAGGTCCATGGACAGTGCAGGTAAGCTTCAAGCTCGTGCCTGAAGGACGGATTACAAATGGGTCTTCAATTTCTAGATATGCAGATCCTGAAGCAGAAGGAGTGACTCCTGTTTTCAGAACTTATACGCAATTCAAATTAGACAGCTAATACACACACGGACATACAGGGCGACTTACAGATCTTTCGAACGGCATTGTCCCCGGGACGCTTTGCTACTCTTTTCCCTTGAGGCGTATCGTAGACAGGAGGGGTCGTTTGGCCTACTGGACCATTAATTCGTCTTCGGTCAGCCATGATGGGAAAGTTATAACGCTCCTAAATGTTTTGTTGTTAAGAAGCTCCAAATGTCGCACTTCAATGAGCTTGCAGAAAGCTTAGTAGCACTGAAAATTCCATGCAACCTTGAGCGCAAAACTGCCCCACCATATCCACTAACCCCATGAATCCCTGCACTGTGCACCTGCTTGAAGCACTGACCAATCGGTTATTAATTTTCCGTTATCCGAAGATTTTCTTGAACTCGACCTCAAAACCGAAATTTCTTTCTTCCCACACTCTTAAAAAATGCAAGCAAGAACCTGATGCTCAACCACCCAACGCATGTGTCTACAAGCACAATCAGCCATGAGCGTTATGGATTTACGACTTGAACTTGAGAAGCAGTCCTAAAGAGATTTCGCATTTTACTAGGCGATGGTATTCAAAACGAGTTTACCCGGTAAATCTAAGTCTACCGTCGCTAATGGCTGGAATCTCGAACCCGACCTTCGCAAATATTTGGTAAGTTTCTTTTACTTTCCTTTTCGACCCCTAGACAGACTTTTCTTTCTTAGTAGGTCATTCTGCTACTGATGAACCCAATTCCACTGTTCTCCGCGATCACCTGAGCAACTGAACAAACATGCACTACCATCTGAAGCATAATCAGCCATTGAAATTGTCATTATCAGCTTTGGTTCTTTGACTAATTGTCGTCTTAGGAAAAATAGTAAACAACGGCTTAAATTCTAACAGAAATCGCGACCAGTAATATACAGTTAAGGTAAGCAGGTTCTGAAATTTTATTTTGACGTTATTCTTGTCCATGATGAAAAAAATTTTATCAGTTCTGCTTCTGAAGCGCTGTGATGATACCCATATACCAAAAAATTTATTCTGATTGAATACCCTTCTACCTTCTTCTTGAGTCTTGAAAATAGCACAAGCTAACAGAGAAGTAGTTTATAGTAAAGCCGTATCCTAGACCTGACCTCCGATATAGCTAGCCTACAATCATACTGTGTGTTAAATGTAAGTTACGATAGACTTCCTTACGTGGCGCGTTCTGTCATGATGAAAACTGTTTATCCATTCAACTATCTCACATCGAGTCGAGCCTCCCTCCCGCACCATAGCCTATTCTTCTGGATATGCGAGGATTGGTTGTGGAGTTGTCCATTGGCAACCCGGCTTTCTGCTAGGGTTTGTCGGATGTCATGATTGCTTCCGTGCTTTTGACTTCTGTGTTTCGTCTTGAGGCATAGATTTCGAAGGCCGATTCGAGTGAATGAGTAAACCGGTTGTCTGAACTCATTTACACGCAAGCTACCATGTAGTTTAGAATATCGTGCATAGTCCCGGCTGACTTTTCTCAGCAATAGATGCATATTGAACACGGTTAAGCCCATAGTTGCTTAGTCGAGCTATGGGTGAAGTATATCTCGTAGAGTTCCTGTCTTTTAGACCATAAGGTAAGGCATATGATCTGGGCTCAAATATGTTATTATGGCATGTTTGCCCTTGGCCCTATCTTACTCTCTTCACGTAAATTTCAATAGATGAAATATAAGTCTTGAATTATCTAAATTTCTATGATTTCTTGTGAATTACAAAAGGGCTGGCTTGGTGGTTAGGGAAGATAAGGGTGTCTGCTACTATGACATTTTCTCTCCTGCCAGCAGCGAATACGATAACCTCGGCAATATCATCAGGTGTTAGAGCTTCACCTCCACTGGTTGGAATATTAGTATATGTGAGATCACTCAATCGAATGTAGTTACTTACGCATAGACAGCATCAGCCTTGCTCTTGTCGCCATAGAATCGAACTAGAGAGAATTCCTAGGAGATCATTATATCAGCGCCGGAATAGCTGCATATGCTACTAGATAGGAATGTTTAACATACCGTCTCGACTTGACCGGGATCGATCTCAATTACGCGGACGCGCGAGGCAACAAGCTCCTTGCGTAAGGAATCGGTGAAGCTGCGGACGGCAGCCTTAGTCGCGCAGTAAATGCCGCCGCCCGGGTAGGGTTCGCGGCCGGCGATGCTACCAACATTGATAATATCTCCGTGGCCACCGTCGGGCCGCTTAAGGAAGATGGGTAATACAGCTTGGGTCAGGTTGATTAGGCCCGTGACGTTAGTCGCGAACATGATGTTAATGTCCTCCTCGGCAATCTCAGGGGCGCGTGCTACGCCTTTAACAAGGCCGCTGGTTTTAGGACGGTTAGTTAATGAGCGCAAAGTTGCTTCCATACCAATATATCAAATACTGAAGACATATCCACGTTCATCTCCCATTCTATTCTTATACCTGGCTTAAATATAACCCTAGTCTTACTCCGTAGGTGTCCCTCGTTCAAAAATGAAAGCAGGTACTTACGCATTATTCACTAATACATCGATATTGCGGAACTCCTCCGGCAGGCCGGCGACAAAGCCGCGGACCTCATCGGCGTTGCTTACATCGAGCTTGACAGGCAAGACGCGGACACCAGAGCCGACCTCCTTTGCGATATCGTCGGCGAGCTGACGCAAATTCTCAATGCGACGCGCCGTGACGACGAGCTTTAGATCCTTAGGCGATGTCCGCGCAAATTCTAGCGCAGTACTACGTCCAATACCAGACGACGCACCAGTAATCACGATGGTCTTGCCCTCGAGGCGCTTTGCTACAGCTGAGGACATGGCGCTTCTCTTGACGAGGCTTATGCGATGGTTATAGAGGGGTTGTAAGAGAGATGCTCTTGGAGAAGACGAGAGTGTGAAGCGTCCTAAGTGCCGAAGCGTAGAGAAACCTGTTCGCAGGGTGGGCATAAGGTAGTCTCAAGTAGAAACTTTAAGGGGGATAGAAAAAGGTGCGAGCTTTATGAAGTGGACAAGCTATAAGAGAATACTACAGTGTAAGTGCGGTAAGATGCCGAATAGCAGCGATGATGTGCTCAACCCCACCATAGCTAGTTTCTACTGCCCCGCCGTTACAACTTCCGTATCGGAACCCCTCGGTTGAGCTAACGCCGTCCTTTATGTCAGTTGGTAAGCTTCAGAATTTGACATTACAGAACTTGAGCGTATTTCTATATTACCTATATAGTATTACTCTTAAATAGCAGCAATTCAACGCTCGTTGATCGGCAATAAAAAAGCGCACTCTATCTGTCGAAATTTCTAAAGCATAATAAGCGTGAAGGAAAAAATATTTCTAAAATGATCCGTGTAGAAATATGCATTCAAATTTAAATTTTACCACATGCTATAAAAAATTAAGGAATAATGCAAAAAAGTTAATTTATGCTTGAAAGGCCCCGCCGAGGATTGAACTCAGGTCTCAGGAAATTTGTACGAATCAAAATCCTGCGTGCTAACCACTACACTACGCGGCCGATGAAAACTTGTTTCTAAAGCGCAATTATGTACTAAGCAAGAGGCCTTACGTAATGTAATGTAGAGCTTCTTCCCAGTTCAAATAGCTCCACTAACGCCTTAAAAAAATAATCAAGTAGCCGAGTTGTTTACTCTCTCCTCCAAGAGGCCTTGATTTTTTTACGTACTGATAGAATAATCAATATATTTCTACGATTCTCCCTACCTACGCTTAGAATATTCTAGCCCTTGTCTATGGGTTCTTGGTTATCATTTTGTAAACCATTGTCATTATATACGACCAACTTATATGAGTGTATTTTTAGTAGCTGGGTACCTAATGATCTAGCAAATCCTCATGTACCATTGCTATCTACTTGGGCAATTCATGTATGAAATATAGAAGAGGAGACGTGTTCTTCTTTCTTGAGAGGTAGGCTCGTAAAACTTGATCAGCGATGAAGTAGATTACAAGGTGCTAGTTACTGGGTAAAAGATAGCAGGGCTAAAGAAAAGACCCAACTATGAAGAAACTGACATTTAAATTGGTACACAGATGTAACCGTATATACAGTAAAAAGGGAATTAGAGAACACATCAATACGCCATAATTACGAAAGCTATACACGATGATGACGACACGGCCAAGATACGCAGCTTGTGCTGGTATCGAGAGACGAGCAACAGCATATAAAAGGACTTCCCGCTGGTACCTTGAGATACTCGATATCTTGAATAATTCCTACTAGATATTTAATCTAACTGTATTATTATATAACTATTATAGTTGCGAACATTTATTAAGCTCTAAGCAGACCGGTGACCTTCGACGTTGGCGTCTCGGAGTGGCTTACGCCTAGGGCCCGGCTTGGCGGTGTGCGAGCGAAGTTCTTGGCCAACATGTACGACGTTATTGTTAAAAACCTCCGGCTTGGCGGCAAGGCGTAGTTTAGGGAGAAGTTCGGCGCGCTCGGCGAGCAGGTGCATATCTGTTATCCACGGCACGGGTTACGAGCTACGGATCTTTAGTAGGTTGTGAAGTTCTTTGAGGAATAAGTTTGGTGGTTTAATACCTAATCTTACCAAGTTGATAGATCAATCTTAATTAATCTTATAACAAGATATATTTTGTTAGTTATATCTCTTTAACCTATAACTTTTATCTTCGGCTTACCTCCGAGACTTCAAGCCTTTTCACCGTCTTTCTTTGCTATTAATGTCTGTCACGAGGCAATTATTTCCAAATTATCCTAGGACTAGGTAGGCCATATCTGTTTGAAATGGGTTCTTATTGAATGATGAACGAACGGTTATGATGTCAGTGTAGAGAATAGGTATATTTCGCAGTTATATTTCAGTCAGCATAGGCTCTTACTACTGACCGACTTGAGCTGAGTGGGTAAGGCTTTCACAGCGATGCAACCTAACATACTACAATCATATTTCGCGAATCACAATTTCAACTAGAAAAAATTCCGAGATTCCGAGTTAGCGCATGAATGGATGGATGTAGGTATGTCAGACAAATCCAAATATGATATCTGAGCGCTCATTTTCTGCCGTATTTCCGTATCACTCCTATATATTCAGATTGCGGATTAGTAAATGAATTGGCCTAGTTCAATCCGGCAATCCTTTTCCGGGAAGTCCTACGATACAATACAATGTAGTTGACTACTTTCGGCGTCGCTCGGAATCGCTAGGATTGAGGCTGCAGACTAGAAATCTTAACAAGGTATTCTGCAGCGGATCAGATTCGGCATCTTCCAGTGGCAGGGTAAAGGCCTCACCGGCTGACCCATTGCATTTGTGACCGATGGGGTCTTTAGGGAGAAGGGACCGAGCCACCACCACGCGCGCGTCGTTGACGACGCTGAACACTATGCTTCTAGAGCGGAAATAACTATACTCAGGGGTATAGTACCCTAGGTAATCTGCTCTCTTGTCACAATTAGTAGACGGCGGGTCTAGACTATGCGGTGTCATACCTCCGAGCTTTTGGTGTTTTTACCAGGCAAGGCTGCAGTAGGGGTGTCGGGCGATGCCCATGATGATGAGGTTGATTATGTGTCCACCGATAAAAGTTAGCAATAGCTATCAAGGGGAATCGAGTATAAAAGTCGTAGAGATTTCCCTTCTCCTAAACAATTTGCGAATTACCATCCACAGACGACAAGGAATCCTAGGCCACCACAAACTTTCTGTTTATCTCTCTGTCGTATCAACTTTTCCTGGCAAGATATATAATTTCTCAAGATGAAGTATTCAAAGACACTTGCAAGTGCTGGACTATTTCATCTGGCCCTTGGCCTTCCAAGGCCTCAGTAAGTAGTATCTGAAATGTCTTATAGAGGACAGCACTGATATCTATTATAGGATGACATACGAGGAAAATCAAGGGGATGTTGGTGGTGTCAACCCGCCTATTCCAACCTACAGCGGTGCACCCGTAGGAAACCTCCGCGGTTCAACGAACCTTCAAGGAGGCATTGCATCGCGTCCACCTGTCGACGGGGGCGACTCGGCCGTTGTGAAGGATCCGCAGCTCGTGGGTGGCCAGGAGGCTGATGCTAAACTTGGTCTCTACCTGGACTTCAACAGCGCCGACTACCCTAATGGTCCACAACCCATTCGCGGTGGTCTGGGAGAAACTGACCCCGGGCCGCGCACGTACGAGTATGAGAAACTAAATCCCGATACTTACGCACCACCTTCGACGGATAAAGGCACTGTACCCCAAGCTATGTGGCCTCTTGGTCTAAGTCATAACTTATTCGGCTCGGGCGAGGAGTCCGGTTGGGCTCGGCAGCAGAACCAAGACGTACTGCCCGTGGCTACTCAGATGGCGGGCGTCGATATGCGTCTTGCACCAAATGCGTATCGAGAACTGCATTGGCATACTTCCGGTGAATGGTATGGAGCCTTCTAGTTGTCTATTAACTCTTTCTTAAGACTTGAAGCTGACATTTTGACCTATAACTAGGGCCCTGGTCTTGAAAGGTTCGGTTCGCGTAGCCGCCATCGATACTGATGGAGCCTCTTTCGTCGACGACGTCACAGCTGGAGACGTGTGGTTCTTCCCGCAGGGTGTTCCTCACAGTTTACAGGCCTTACACGAGGGTGCCGAGTTCTTGTTGGTCTTTGACAGCGGTACCTTCTCCGAGACAGACACCTTCCTTGCTACCGAGATGCTCATGCGCACACCCGTATCTGTCTGGGCAAAGGACCTTCAAACCGACGTCAGCTCGTTCGACAATATCCCCGACGCAGAGAAATATGTGAGTTACCCATTTCCCTAGAACTGGAATGGTTATAATCACCATTAAAAGGTTCATCGCAGAGGAATCTCAGCTAACCAAGGACGATAGATCTTCAATGGCACCCCTGCTCCGGCCAACATCTCAGAGCAGAATATAACGTCTTCAGCTGGCGCTCTCTGGGGCCCTTCAGGATACACTTACCACTGGTCGCAACAAGAATTCCACAACACCACCGGCGGATCCGTCAAGATCTTAGACCCAATAACCTTCCCCGTAGCGGACATGTTCTCCGCCGCGCTCGTAGTCCTCGAGCCCGGCGCAATGCGCGAGGTACACTGGCACACCGAGAGCGACGAATGGTCGTACTTCCTCCAAGGCTCCGCCCGCATTACCATCTACGAAGCGCCCGCCGCCTCTGCGACCTTCGACTTCACCGCCGGCGACGTCGGCTATATCCAGAAGTCGGCCGGGCACTACGTCGAGAACACGGGCACGGAAGACGTCATCTTCCTAGAGGTGTTGCAAGCTAAGAAATTTTCCGACATCAGCGCTGCCCAGTGGCTCGCGTTGACGCCGCGCCAGGTTATCAAGGACACGCTTAACCTGTCGGATGCGGTGCTGGATGCTATACCTAAAGAGAAGACTCTCATCAAGTCTGGGAATCCTAACATGACTGCTATTGCGGGTGGCGGCCAGAACTTTTAGGGTGTCAAGAAGAACGCCATTTGATATGCAGATGTAAACTTTTGGGAAAGGGGGTGCGTGGTCTGGTGAAGGTATTTAATAGTTGAACGTTGAGAAGGATGGCTGATCACTAGTCGATCATATAGACGTTGGAATTCCTATATTTTATGTTAATATGTAAGCGTGATCTTCTTTAATAAAATACAACTTATCTAAGAGGTACCCTACCAAGATATAGGGTGATACATAGCACTGCTACTTTGCACGATCGGGGCTAAATATATTCACAAGTATACAATCAACAGCTGACCAGTACCTGAAAAGTCAAGCAGCAGAAACCCAGGCAACGATATAACCACCTAAGGTACATTTGTTGAGGTACCTGCCCGCGAAGTAAAAGATATATATCTAAATTACAAACAATCCATCAACCGACGCCCCTCGCTTGGGTGACTTGAGGTTAGAGAAAACCCCACTGTGGTGTCTTATGCTGGACCGTTCTTCCAAATAAGAACGTGACTTGACAGCAGATGCCTAACGATGCCGGTTTTTCGTAGGTCTTGGATTCGAATCCTCTGCCCCTATCCGAGGGGATTCGAATCTGGGACTGAGCTTTTTTTGAATTTGCTTTTTTTTGCCTCTATTTTTCTTTTCTCTTTTTACTTTTTGTTGCACCCCCCTCCCCCTTTTCCATATCCATTCCATCCTAATTTACCCCCTTATTCATTCAGATTCGTTCGCCCACCAAGGAAATCTGCTCAAACACTAACCCTGAATCTTGCCAAACAACCCAGCCAAAGTCGCAAACTTAATAGAGAGGCTGCTGATAGGATACGTAGCAAGGTTCCAGACATCAGCTCCCCAATTACTCGTGTCGAAGATGGCGGCCCATCCGCGAGGGTCATTTTCAGCAATTGTCGAAAAAAGACCAGCCCAGTGCGTAAGGTCAGCAATTATCAAGATCCCGATGTGTAGCTGCAACAGGCGCTTATTAGGCGGCGATGCAATGAGAATGATTAGACCGTATAGCATCATATTAAGAAGGTAGCCCGTGGCCATCGATGGCATAATTAGAGATGGGATAGGGAGGCCATTTTGTGCATTAGATGAAAGCTCAAATATGGGATGACGCGAGGCATAATTTGAAAACATGCCATATGTTCTATACATGTTAACTATGGGTGTTTTACGAAATATGAAAGAACCAGGAGACGTACATCGCAACTGGTTCTAGATAGAGGAAAAATATGCGGGGGATAGTCGGAAGAAGGGACGCAGTTGTTGCCATTGTATTATAGGTTTTCGGGTACTTAAAAATATACTAGGCAAAATATATCGTTGGAGATATGTGTAATATGTTGCTTGAACTTATCTGTTCTCGGTGATAGAATGTCTTGAATACAGGCAAGAAAATACTACAGATGAGATCGAAAACAGGTAGAGAGAACTTCAGCGGTCAAACAGAAGTTCTTATAGACCTACCTTAGAAGATATCCCGAGAAACCGTGGGCAGCATTAACCACGACAAGAGTGGGGATATATGCAGCTTATGTCGACACCGTCGCGTTGCGGTATGGGGTCTTCACCGAGCCCCGCCTCACGGTCCAGTCGCGTATTCAGGTGACTCATTAGAGCCGAATAAAGGTGGTATTCGAAAGGACCTCGGGGATCTTGGCAGCCCGAGGCGACTCATGCTCACTGACAACGTAATGATCCTTCGCGTATAATACTGCCAATGAAAGGCATTCGTTGATGCTATGGATCTTCTTAGATATAAACTAACCCTCGAGCTATATCACCGATATCTTCTTTTCGTAAGGCCAATCTGTTTTCTCAATATCCTACCTGGTCCTCTCTTGTCATAGCACACTACTTTATAATAGGTACCGATAGAAGATTTGCTGGCTCGTCTTCCTATTAGTCTTCGCTCTCTTGGCTGAGGATGGCATAAGGGTTGATAGAGGGTGATGTTTTGATATCTCTTTGGCGTCCTTTGCGCGGTAATAACTCTGGATCTTGCCTCTGTCTTTTTTTCGACACTGTAGAATCCTCCGAAGGCTCTGCTATTTCGATACTTGGGATTCCGAGCATGTCTGTGATGACTCGGAGTCCCTCTGCGTTACCAAACTTAGACAGTAGATCAGACATGTGTTCAATAGTAGGCCATTCTCCAACAAGAGGAAGTAGTGTGAGACGGTCGTGTAATTGACGCGCTGGCGCTGGGAGATCTTGACTCATAAAGACAACGACATCTAAGATCTGTTTAGTTATTCTCAGCGAGTACAAGCAGGCTTGGACTTGGGCTGTGAAATGTATCAAGTCCCACGAGTATTCCTCCAGAAATTTAAACCCGCTCATTATCTTGCTGACAAGTTCAGCTGTGAGAGAGGAACGTTGCTCTGACGTGGACCATTCAATATCCTGGTATACCGCAAACGCCAACCACTGCAATGAAGATGGCAAGGCCTCTGCTAGTTTATCTAAGACTGTTAGAAGTTGAGTACAATTGTCGACCGTCTCTTCAAGGCTAGGAATCTCAATTTGCCGCCCAGTTAATGACGTCGATGGATCTAAGGTACGATACTCGATAATTTTACTATATCGTTGACGTGTTAAGCTCTGAAGAATACTGTACCCTATTTGGCGAGTGTTTGTGCTACTTGTCCATGCGCTTCTCTTATCATGGTTTTCAACCATGATTGGAAGGAAAATGGAAAGCGTTTCTGGACCTCGCAATGTCTTCTCATCTAATTCCGTAGATTTTTCTTCAGTCGACTCTAAAAGTAAAATTTGAATGACGACTTCCGATATTCTTGGGTCTAGGCCGGAGAGCATAGCAAGTACTGGATGATGGATTGGTATATATTCCTTTCCTTCAAGCTCGTCCACAAAAGCCTGATACTCCGGGGAATGTAGCGTGTCTTCATGGCTGTCCCGAACTTTCTGTACGGCTGCGTCGAAGCTCATCCAGCCCTTTTGCTTTTCAAAGGCAACGCGAGGCAGACCGCCAAGATTTGTCAGGCCTAGCCGGTCATTGATATTATGAAGTGATATCTTCATTGCTACCATACCGGCTTCCTTCGAGGTAGGATCGACTGGAACGACATCCCAAAAGAATGATACACACCCATTAAGCCCAAGGTCTTGTATGAGTAAGTCGGAGTCGTTTGTCAGCAAAGTGCCACCATTCTCGCGAATATCTTGTGCACAGAATATATCAGCTTCTCCAGGGACGACTACGACCAAAGGACCCCAGTCTTTGGTAGCCTTTAAAGCCTCGAGAACCGCCGGGACCATAAAAGGAGGTTTTGGTAATGAATCAGACGAAGATCGAGGGAATTGCAGTGTTAAGGTTGTACTGGCTCTTACATCTTTAAATGCGTTTTCTGGTGTCGTAGGTGACCCAAATGGCTGAGAAGACACCAATGCTTTCATACGCTGCGATTGGTTTAAGAGCCGCTCTCGTCTCACTTCCCACTTGCTTGGGGGCAAGTATCCATCAAAATATATCTTCCTTCTATTCATAAAATGTCAGTCATTGAGGTATCTAGTTAAACCTCAAAATTGACTTACATATTTATATTATGGCTCTTCAACTCGTCAAGCCAGCCTATTACCATACGGCTAAGGAGGGAATATGGGGGATGGCAGACAAATCCGCTTGTAGATGGCCGTTGACGGCAAACTGCCTCAGAGATGCGGTGAACGAGAGCTGGCCCGTCAATAACGACGGTATCACCACTTAATGGTGAGAAGACTCCATATCGTTGTATGGCTTGGGTGAACCCACGAATACCCATCGCGATGCGATAAGCCTTGAGCTGATTCTTCAAGGTAAAGTATTTTCACTAATATCCAGAATCATCTATAGTGTATCACTTCATTTTGATATATACGTCGTTGTCGATCAACCCTAAACCTGTTTATTAAATTAGGATAAAAAGCGTGATCGAAGACGGGCCACTGCAGAAAGCTTCACTGAAGAAGGTTGGTGGAGATAATGAACCTGAGTTATTGTATATCGGTACCTAAGTCTCTAGTTAATCCAAAAAATTCTTTAAACCAATTAGAGCTTAATAAAAGTCAATTGGGCACAGGTATTTGATATCCGCGTTCCAATAAGATTTTAGCCTAGCACCTGATATTTACGGCGCCTCCCGAGGAAGGAGCGAATCATAAAACGATAAAATGTAGATGTAACAACGGTCACAGTTCGGATGAGGGTAATAACTACCTCTTAGTATTGGAAGTGCCTGCCTTAGAAGTACTCTGATGTCAAAATGCCTTGGTTACCGTGCATGCAGCCAATATGTACCTAGTGAAGGCCCCGGTCAAATTAGGTCTATGCTCTTTTTTACTTCTTATCGGATCCCACCTACGACCCACATAAAACCATCTTTCTTCATTCCTCCACCAAAACTTTTCTTCCCTTTTCACCATCCACAGAATGCGAGGAACATTAGTATTCTCGGGCACGTCGTGCCCAGCTCTCACCGGCAAAATATGTGAGAACCTGGGCATGGCTCCGGCTGAGGCCGACCTATCTCAATTTTCAAATGTGTGTTATCCTTCCCCAATGCCTCGAAGTCCAACGGGCTAGGAAAAAGAAAATAGGGTTGGGCAACGTTGTAACGGTAGAGCTGCCCACTGACCTTTCCATCACAACCTGTAGGGCGAAACAAGCGTCCGAATTCTGACCAGTGTCCGAGACAAGGATGTCTTCGTTGTGCAATCCGGAAGCCCTACAATTAATGACACTATCATGGAATTACTCATCATGATCTCCGCCTGTAAGGGTGGCTCTGCGAACAAGATCACTGGTGAGTTTCTCAAAGCTGCAGCGAGGAAAATATCCCCGGGTCACATTATAGACATGAATAGGGATTATTCTACTTGCTAACTACATGGCCTTCTCAGCTGTTCTCCCGTACTTCCCGTACAGTCGCCAGTCCAAGAAGAAATCACACCGGGGAGCTATCACCGCTCGTATGCTAGCAAATTTGCTTCACGTAGCTGGTGTCAAGCATGTTATCACCGTCGATCTACACGCCTCTCAGATGCAAGGATTCTTCAAGTGTCCTGTTGACAACCTACATGCCGAGCCCCTTATTGCACGCTGGATTCGATTGAATATTCCTAATTGGAAGGAAGCTGTCGTCGTATCCAAGAATGCTGGTGGCACGAAGAGGGTAACCTCGTTAGCCGATGCGTTGAAACTCAACTTCGGATTAGTTACTACGGACCGCAAACGCGCCCCTAATATGTCCGCAAGTATGATTATGAACCGGCTTGATGGATGGGACAACCCCCCTGGCTATATCAATGGCGTCCAGCGTTCAAGAGCTATTTCGGAAGATAGGGACTCAGATGGTAACGGCTCAGCAAGGTCATCGCGAGTTACTGGCGAATCTCAAGGTTCTCCTAAACGTGTAACTGCGCCTCCGCTGCGGACTAATAGTTTAACGCGGTCGCCTTATACACGTGCATACACGCCTTCTCAAACGTCTCCTATTGAGGAGTTGAAAGATGAAGAGGAGAACGTGGATGAGGTCCAGGTCTATAACGACCAACGTGCCCCAGAAGTGACTCATGGAAGATTAGTCCAGGGTCATGTTGTACCAGACGATTTTGAATCGTCCCCTCAGTCAGATGGCAGTGCAGATGGGAGCCAATCTTATCAAGGCGGCGATGATGACCCTATGACTATGTCTCATGCTTCTTCTTTCTTTGCGCCTGAACCGCATGCACTCGGCGGCTCGGGTGACGTTGGAGCATCATCTGACGAGGAGGAAGAGAAACTCCGAGATCCCAAGATCGAGCATATGATCACACTGGTCGGCAACGTTAAGGACCGCCCAGTCCTGATTGTGGATGACATGATTGACAAAGCCGGTTCGTGGATTGCTGCGGCTGAGACAGTTGTTAAGCGGGGCAAAGCAAAGAAGGTATATTGCATGGCTACTCATGGAGTATTTGGAGCAGACTGTCTCGAGCAGCTGCAAGCTTGCGACTGTATCGATCAAATCATCGTAACTAACAGTTTTCCAATATCGGACCGGAGAGCTAAAAACTCAAGTAAGTTGGTCATTCTTGACCTTTCCTTTCTGTTGTCCGAAGCTATTCGAAGAAATCACTACGGCGAATCTATCTCGCCTCTGTTCCAGCATATGGCCGATTAGATAACCTGGAATGTTACGATTGTTATGAATTAGACTGCTATATACTCGCAGTAGTGTACTATTCATAAAAAGGTTGATAGGTGAGGCTGCGGGTTATTCGGTATGGCGTCTGGTTGGAGGCGAAATAAGGTTCTATTACGGCTTTTAGGAATCACGGCTAGCGTTATGCGATTAAATCAGATACCACATTAAGATTGTCACGACAGGTATGTTGTTCGATGGAGTCTCGCGTGCGCCAATACTATGCTCTCTGAATTGTTTCCCCTTTGCACAATCCCCAGCGGTGCTATCCTCGGATAGCCAGGGCTTAACGTCCCTCTAGGACAAGCCTCTGAACGGAACGTTGGTAGATCAAGCTGTCCTTTTTGGGACTTCACGATTCTAGAAGGCCGGTCACTCAGATATTTTTTATCACGTCCGTTTCGATGGATAGTGGGTGTTTGGCAAGAGAAATTTTCGGACATGTCAGAATATTTTATCTAGGTTAGACTAGGCCAAGTTAGGTGTATTGCTAAGTATACTCAATCTAATAGCTATCATGCAATATATTACGATTGTTCAATATGTCCTGGTTTGTCATACCTGGTGGTTATCATGACCTTTGGACAGGTTGACGAGGTTAAAGCATGGTGAAGTTAGTGCCCACTTACTTTCGTTAGTCTAAGGAATAATAAAATGAAGATACAGCGTAAACTAATGGATTATAAAGATATCTAATATAGGTTAGGTACCTAAGGCAATTGAACACCCATAAGGAATAGCAAGTGAGAGCAATATAGTAAAACGAGTTAATCAGAAAGTCATTAATTTGAATAGCCAATTTTTGTTTAACGCCGTTTATAGCAAAAGGAAGCTATTAGAGTATGCGATTGTACAAGCATTACATTATCCCGTAATATGAGGCCCGGACGCCACTCATTCAGCTGGCATTCAACACATCAATGTTATGAAACCCGCTTACACAACTAGTCGACAAGTAGCAAGAGAGATCCATAGTATCCTTCCCCTGTTACATATCCCCTGGACGTCATTACTCGTACACTATCCGATCTGCCACTATAGAGCAGAGCTTACAGTTTTAAACATACAAACTTATGCGGATAGCTATAACTATGATTAACTAGTTCGTTGCAGAACTCGAGAAGATACTTGGTCCATGTATCTCCTCTAATAGTTCTGTGAATTGCTTTCCCTCCGTCTTTTCGCTTTCCGCGTTGGCATCCTCCAGCAGATTCTCTACAGCTTGCCCATTTTTGCCGGCAGTTCTGATGATTCTCCACGCACGCCGGAACTCGTCTCGAATGGACACAATGCCATTATGAGTTACAGTCCGAGCGACATTGTGCTCAAGTTCGAACGGGTCTTCGATTGCAAAGAGGTATCGATGACGAACTTCCTTCAATTCTTTTGGTTTGCTCAGTGGTACCAGGGCACCTTCCGTAGAATTAAATTGCCCAATTTGTGTGTTGGTTATAGCTTGCTGTCCGATGCCGTCTATAGGTGATTTCACCTCGTTGTTAACCCCCGCTTTGGCTGGGTCTGGAAGAGCACCTGTCTCTAACTGCAGGACTGTTTTCGCTCCTGTCCAACCTTTTTTTTGTTTTGAGAGCCGCCCTCCATGCGTTCGCAAACTCAATACGTCCCGGCCCCAGTCGAAACCACGTTTGCGAGTAGTGCTCATTACGTGATTCTGCGCGTAGTACTCGAAAAATCCTCTTAGCAATGATCCGAGGGATTCTTGATTTTGGTTGAGATGGCCTTGATGCGCTAGCCTTTGGATCTCTTCTTCGTCCCTCCAGAATCGAACGTTCCAGCCCTTACATGTGGTAACATCCTCAAGATCTTCTACTGGTAGGTTCGGATCAGGGGGGGCGAGCTGTTGAAGATTGGGGCATACGAATGGTACTGCAACATTGACAAGGTAGTGTAATACCATTAGAACATAACCATAACTGCTCAGGGTTCCGCGATATGGTGTATTGATGCCGCGAGCCTTAGCCCAGTGCTTTACGAAGAGGACCATAGGCCTAACACGGGGGTCGGTGTAGGAGTAACAGCGTAGGAGCAAGGTATTCTGGAGGGCTAAGTGGGCTGAGAAATTGATATCGCACTGTACACCAACTCCATTCTTAGGAAACTCCAAGCTATCGTGATACCGGTCCCTTGGCTTATTTGGTGCAAGCTTGGATGGGTCAGGGAGTTGTCTAATCTTTCCGACTAGCTCCGTTGTTTTCTTGGTAGCTGGGACTACGAAGTCGAACGCATCAACTATGGGTTTATCGGTACCTAGTGTCTGGTGCAAAAAGTCTCCCTGAAGGATTTTCATGTACTCTTTAATGGCTGGAATATCCTCTTCACGGTACAGTCCTTTCTCGATGGCCCTTTCGTATTCAGTGGCAAGATGGATGCTTTTGTGCTTCCTGGCCAGTGTCCTCAGACTCTGTACTCCGGTGCAGCTTGCGAATTTTTGAACCTCATCTCTCACATGCTTATCACGGATGCCCGAAATATAGTGCTGGGAGATCTCAGGGAGGAAAGACCTATTTGATGGTGGACGAGCGGGACAAAGGCCGTTCGTGATCTGGATCGCTCTTGTGTGGTATTGTGTTGGTGACTCGTATTGATCTTGCTTAAGCTGTATAAGTTGCACCAATGGGATCTTACGAAGATGTTCAAGAGCTAAATGAAGTTCCCGATTTAGTGTAAGGGGTTCTGTACCGAAGATCTTCTTGCACGCGATATCTTTCCAGGTTTGAACAACAAATTTAGAATCTGGCCTCAATTGGATGCTCTTTTCTATCATTGCCTGCGTTTCCCAGATGGTCGCAAGTTGCTCGCCTTCCACCATCATAAAGGCACCTACGAGCGAACGGCGATTAGACGGCTCTGATGTGATATCGAAAGAGAAGGATGGGTATGCCTGTATTCGTCGTTTCAAATCCCTATCATGGAGTCCATTAATGAAGACATTGGCGACGTCATCGAGAATCTTGTAGTCGGTGTCTTTGAAATCTGTCGCATTTGATATGGTGATATCACGACCATTTAATCGTCGTAAAAGGCGTTTCGCGTTATGATAATACGCTACCAACGATTGAGAGTCGGCTTGCTTCAAGGAAGCAAGCTGCTCCTCATAGGTCCTTTCCACTGGGCCAGATCGTGTTTGTGAGTCTTGGTGCTGGCCACCAGGCGACAAATTTTCGATTTCGGCGATAGCCAGGGCAGCAATAGCACCGTCAGGGGCATCTTGATCGTCTATAACATCATCTACCGCCTCGTTACTATCGTCTATTATTCCTTTCTCCCACTTAGTTCGCGCGTCCAACAAGTCCAAACGAAGTCTTTCACCAGGCTTTTCGCAGAGCTTGATGATTGGTACTCGAGTGCGGGTGAGAAGGCGTGCACCGAAGCCATGCGCCAGTAGTGCTTTCTCAATTAGACGTGGAATAGGCGAGTCTGGTGATTCCGGCGAGGACCAGGACATAGGAGAAAGAAGACCGACGTCCATATCAGCAGCCTTCGTCGCAAATCCAGACGCAAGACTCCCAAAGCATTTGAGTTCAACTGTATAAGGCTGGAAACCCAGGTTTCCATTAATTTCGAACTCATGGCGGGTGATAACATCGCGACAAATAGCCTCTACTCGAGCACGGAAGTATTCTTTTTCAGCAATGTCGCTAGGCTCAATTTCTGCACCTGTAATCACAAAACGGCAAAGTTCATCAAGATGGGCTGATTCATTCGCAAGTTGCTGTGGATCGAAGACAGGTTGGTGCTGCCCATTTGGATGATAGAGGCAAGATTGTGAAGGGGCAGGTGCAGGCCCGCGGGCTGCGAATGAATCTGCCGATATAACGTTAACGCCCTTTGGGAAATGATTCTGCGTATATGATTGTTGCTGCCTTTGAGGTGGTTGGTGGCCGGGGACAAATGCCGATACTTGGCCAAATCTGCCTTGTTGGCGTCGCTGATTTGAAAAGGGAGGATTGGCAGCACGACCTCGGGGTTCATCATTGTATGTAGTTAAAGGAGGGCGAAACGTATCCTGTTCAGTATTCTGCCACGTAGAACGATGGTTCTTGGTATGGTGGGAATTTGCATAGGGCTTCCCATCATAGAGTGCTGGAGCTCTGGTGTCAATAGGAATAGATAGCTGGGCTCGCATCTTGCGACGCTCAGCTTGGTTTGGACGTTTCTTGCCAGATTTAGGAGGGGCCTGCGTTGAAGGAGATGACTGTCCTGCCTCCAGCCGGCCTTGTTTGGCTTTAGACCCATCCTCTAAAGAGATATCTTCTGTTCTTATAGAAGTAGCCGAGTTTTGAAGGGCATGTGTAGCCGTTCCTTCTGTATTGCTAATTATGAGGCTGCGTAGGCGGTCCTCGAGCGGACTACTACCGTCTTGGGAGGCTTGCATGGTGTGGTAGCATGAAAGTAACTATCGAGACCAAGGTAATGAGGCTGCAAGAATAGGGATGTTGCATAAGCTGATTTGAAGACAGACTTAGGTACCTCGAAACATAATCGGGATATTTTGAGTAGTTAAGCCTCATAGGAAACAGTCTCAATGGTAGGAATGTTCGTAGTGGTTGTGAGTTAGAAATCCATGCTCATGGTCATAAGTTTCTGGGGGTGCTGTTTATAGTAACCGTATGTGTAAGTTCTAAGAACTGAAGTTGTTATTAATTTGCTCGTTGCTAGGTCCTAAGAGGTCTTTGAAGGTTATCCCTAATGAGGTCCAAAAAGAACCATATCGTCAATCGTATGATTTTTGTAGTGAGAGATTAGACGTGACTAGGTCAGAAGACGGCAGGGATGGATAGCTTTCTTATGAAGGAGGCGTTTTGTAGAAAAATAGGATAAAAGTATTCATACCTAACGAAGTACAAGATAAGAGCTTTGCATTCTTGGATATCGAACTGGGCATATGCATCTACCTACATTGATAGCAACTCAATATGTAGCATCTGATTTTGATATTTGAAAGATCAATTGATTGGCTGCACCTGAAAGAGAATTGGCAGTATTGGCAGTATTGGCAGTATTTGGATCTTGCCGAAGCTTTTACCCTAGTGAGATTTGTGACTTGGATCGGAGAATAAGTACTTATATGAGCCTGTTCGGGTTGTACTGATTGGGACCCTGTAGCTTTTGTTTCTACGCTATGTCTTACTTGAACTACTTGGGTTGGCTATCACTGAAAGTTACTCAAGTGACGTTATAAGTACTTTATAAGTAGTAGCCCCACAGAGTCCACCTTCCCCGTCCTCTCTTGGCAAGCGGCTCTCCAGGTCCTGGTTGCCTTTGTTCTAAAATTGCCTGCGTTCAAATGACAAAACAAAGCTACGTACCTCTGAAAAAAATCAGGTAGGCAGGGTAGGTACATCCATACCGTTGCTGCCTTGGTACATATTATATGTACCTAAGGCAGACAAGCAAGGCATTGAAACTGGCAGCCTCTACCGCATTAGATCCACAGCTGATTCCGACTTCAACTTCCTCTATTCTGTCTATTCATTATTCACTTCATCTCATCCATCCTCCATTCACTTGGCATTTTCTCCTGCCACCTTGCAGCTTGTCTTTTTTTTGAGAAAAATATTCATCTTGCAACCCCGATTAAGGTTGCGCACCTTTCTGGAATAATATTTTCCATCATTTTTCCTTAACATTTGATACGAGCGCGACATTCGATTCGTATGTTAATATCTTGATCCAAATCAGCCTTCGTCTCTCGACTGCCTCATCGTCTTCTAGTATATTCCTCGATTCACCGATGCTCGTTTATAAAACATAGCGCAATAAATCACGACTTAGGACGTCTTCGATACTTATCGAGGCCCGCTAGTTAGAGGGTGCTAACTTCTGACATCGCTGCTATGAGTGCAACGCCCTCGCCCTCCGGTGGCCCTAACGGCCAGAAACCAACCCCTCCTCCTGGCGCGCCACCGCTGCGAAGGCCACGAAACACTGCGAATCCCCTCGTTCCTAGAAAAAAGCCCGCAAACCGACCACCTCCTTCGACCCTCGCTAGAGGTTCTACACCAAATGCTGCACCGCGACCTGTCAGTAAGCCTCAGCAATTCCAAGCCCAGGGCAAGCCGGGGCAACTGAACTTCGATGTATTGCGTACACAGAATGGCGGGTGGTCTCAGCCTACGCCGCCTGGCGCCCAAGATTACCCTCTTTATGTCACAAAGAAGTCTCTGAAGGAAGGATTACGCTTCCATGTTATGCGATTCGCTCCGCATGGCGGCAAGCTTGCAAAGCCTGATGGTCCTGGAGTCGACCCTACTAATCAGGATGAGTTTACTCGTCCTGTTACGTTGCACCGACGCGATCCCAAACAGCCGCCGCCCGGTCGCGAAGTGAAAGAGGAAGTTCCTATGGAAGAGGACACGGTCGATACTGCTGAAGCCGAAAGACTTGCGCAGGTGAAAGCAGAGAGGGAAGCACAACGCGCAGCCGATAATGCCCAGAAAGCACCGGTTGTTAAGGATGCAAACCCGAAGGCCAAACAGCAGAAAGAACAGAAAAAGCCTGGCCTACAAATTCACTACGCACCCCGTACCGAAGAGCAGAAAAAGCAAGCCGAAATTCGATACGAGGAGGCGCTGCCGTGGCACTTGGAGGATGCTGATGGAAAGAATGTTTGGGTTGGCCAGTATGAGGCACCTTTGTCTGACTGCAAAGTTGCTTTCAAGATTCACAACGGAGGATTTCGTATGATACCTCTGGAAAAATGGTACAAGTTTCAGTCAAAACGTGGTTCATTCAAAATAATGTCCATCGAGGAAGCGGAGAAGGCCATGAACAAGAAGGTCGCTCTTGGTCGTTGGGCGGTAAGAGATACTCAGCGCCAAGAAGCTGAGAGGGCTATGGCAGAATCTCGAGCTATTGTCAACGGCCGCGTGGCGGTCAAACAAGAAAGCGGTACATTCAAACAAGCTTCACGCCAGGAGAAGATGGATCATGATGACATCGACGTTTCGGGAGACGAATTCCAGGATGATGATGAGACTGCTGGATACGAACCTGAGCGAGACGAGGACACTAAGCATGCTAATAGTCGAATCCGCCGTGACCAGCTCAATGCCAATCTTTTCGGCGACGCAGACGAGGTCAAGGTCGAAAAAGAAGAAGACGAGGAGAAGAAGGAAGAGCAGGAACGAAAGCTCTTCGGAAAATCCCTTAAGAAGGCTTTGAAGCGACGTGATAAACAATTCCAGTACGACAGCGACTCCTCTAAAGAGAGAGACCCTTTTGCTTCCTCAGACGTAAGTACTTGCTAGTCGGTTTATTGGTCAACGAAAATTAATCAAACTATAGGACGAGTCAGATTCCGATTCTGAAAACGAGAAGGATGATGAAGATAAAGATAAGAAAGCCGAGAAGGATAAAGATAAGGATGCTGGAGTGTCATCCAAAGGGACCAATACCCCCCAAGGGAAAAAGGCAGCTGCCGAGGCAGCAAAGAAGGGCAAGTCTCTCAAGCGAGCCGGGTCTCCATTAGGTTCGGATTCTAGTGGCACTGAATCTACCCGGAAGAAGAAGAAGACTACACATGATAGTCGCGGAAATACCCCATTACCCCGTCGCGGGAAGCCCGGTGCCGGCTCTACTAGCGATGGTGAAGGCACGGCTGGTGAGATGTCGGACGGTGCAGGAGGCAAGAAGAAGCGGCTTGGCCCGTCAGCTGCAGGTGGGAAGCACAGCACAAAAGGCACCCCCGCGGGATCCCGAGCCGGTAGTCCTACTCCGGCCCAAGTAGCTGCCACCAAAGGGTCATCAGGTGGTACTCGAGCTAGTTCTCCCAGCGCTCTTGCTCAGAGCTCGACACCAGGAGGAATTGCAGACCCTATCACTGCCCAGGAGATTATCGATGCCCTACCACCGCTCCCCCATGGTATTACTATCGTCCTACTCCTGAAGAAATTCCAGGATCGTTTAGATAAACCTGGGTTTATGCAGAGGAAAGACTGGCTTAAGTTGGTGAAAGAGAATGCCAACTTCAACACAGCCGAGAAACTACTTCGCCGGAAGGCTTAGATCGCTCCCCGGGATGGGGTAATTTTACCCTACAGTTTATCTGCGGGAAGTGTTATACTGAACAGGATTACATTTCATGATTTTTGCAGCCCCCAAATCGTTAGCCTAAAGCTGTAGAGCTTTGGAAGATGCATTGCGTTAGATATGGCATTGCGCCGATAGTGAATGAGAGGTCGGAGGGGGTTTATCTCCGCTGCTGGAGACAGGATCGTTATGGAAAGGGAGTGGGTTAGATAGTATGCCCCCTAGATTTCCTGCAAATATGCCTTAGGGTCTCGTATCATTTCATTTCTACGCGAGGGCTAGCATGACGGTAAAAATGGACTACATGTCAATCCGTAGATATTAAGTTATACAATCTGCGTTGCGCTATAGCTCACTGCATTGACGTCCCTAGACAGTTGGTATCTCACTAATTCAACTCTTAAACATAGCTCCTGCTCCATGCATGATTGTAGATTTACCTAGTAAATGCTTATTACTCGTCCATCTGCCACGAATATTCTAAGCCCTTGTTCCTCTCCCGCCTGTTGATAGCCTTGAACCTTTCTGCTTCAAATCCGTTCCCCCTATCGACACCATCCCATCGGTACCCCGGCCGTATGCCGTATCGATTCGGCGTCCATGCGCCCTGGTATGTCGGCTTGCCCTTTATCTTCCTCGTCTTCCCACCTCCACCTCCCGCCCCCTTAGGCTCTATAAACTGCGCCATGCTATCACCCCACCGCACCTGCTCCTTCATCTCACGATTCATATCCTCATCGTCGGCGTGCCGCGCCACCGTCATAACCTTGGCGTCCTCGAGGTCTTCGCGTCGCCGCCGCGCCGCCTCGATCTGGACTTCTCCGCGCAGGGCCTCCGTCTTAGCGGCTTCGCGAGCCGCGGCCTCGGCGGCCTCCCGTCGTAGCTCTGCCCGCTTCATGCTCACGTCTACACGTCGCCCCGTCGCGTCCCGGTATATCGTTTCTACTTCGCCGCCTTTGCCCTTCTTGTGGCCACCCTCTCGCTCGTATTCTTCCCGCTCGGCGCGTCGTCGTGCTTCGAGCTGTGCGGCGACCGCGGATGCACTTTGCAGGCCTGCGTGCGTGCCGTCTGACATCATGACTGCGGGGGCGTCTGACGCGTCCTCGTCGGCTGCAGCTGCGGCTGTCTCGGCGGCGGCGGAGGCGAGGATGGCGTCTGCTTCCCTTGCTGCTTCGGTGTCTTGAGCTTGGGCTTGGGCTCCTATATTGCTAGATGCGCTGCCGCCGACGGGTTTCCACGCGGATTTCTTCGCCCGCCGGAACTCGGCACTGGTCCCGGCTACTACTGCGGAGCCATTTTCGTCATCGTCATCGTTTTCGCCGCGGTTCGCGCGTGTCCAGCCGGATTCGGTTTCGTCGGCGATTATGAGGCCTGTGGAGTCGTCTTTTTGCTTGCGCTTGCGCTTCTTGGAGGGTTTGGGGTCGGCGATGAGGTAGTGCGTTGCGAGATAGTTGGATAGATCTGATGGCATTGTGGTGGGTTAGGGGGAGGTTTAGAGGAGTAGTGATCGTTTTTCGGGAGGTGTTTATGGGAGTTTAGTGGAGATAGGGTTGTGTTTTTATAGAAGTATTCGAAATAATAGATTTCCCGAAAAGAAGAGTAGGAATTGCTTAGGAGTAATGGGATTTTTGTAATTGAGAAATAGGTAGGTACATGATGTTGAAGCTTGGAACTTTAGATGTTGCGATAAGAGATAACGGCTTAAATATCATGGTTACAATGATTATTTTCTTAAGACAATATCTACCTGTTTATTTTTTTTTACTGCTTAAGAGAATCTTTTTCATCCAAAGTTCTTACTACTTCTCTTTTAGACCTTTTAAACCTTCCCGCCTCTTTAGCCTTAGTCACAGCTGCTATAATAACATATCAATTTCCCTACTCCCTAATCTCACCAAGCGGATAGATTCTTGAAGCGTGGACTGCTTCATTGTCCAAATCGAAAAGCGACAAAGTCGTTTAGTAGTTGAGCCTATTGCGGGAACACCTACGTAGGTAGGTATTATAATATATTGGTATTTGTTTCACGTATGTTAGTTATTTCTAAATCTAGCATGTCTATTAAACTGAACGTTTAGCAACACTTCACGATAGATTTAATTGAGATACCTTTATATCAGGAATCTATCAATCATAACTAGTAACAATCAATCACAAACTCATCTTCTTACGGCCCCTTATCTCGATCAAATGATTTCAGAAACAGCATCGTTATGATTTGCCCTCATCTTCGCCATATGCACCACGTTACTAGACTGGTACTGTAGTTTGTTTTGGGGGCTTTTTCTTTTTCTTTTTTTTTTTTAAAAAAAAAATATAGATTAATTAATTACAAGATGATTTAAAAACTACTAATTAGTATGTATCCTATTATATAATTATCCCATTTTCGAACCTATTATAGTGTCTCCATTTAGGAGATTTGTTTCTCGGTTTCTAAGTAATATAGCATCCAAAGGCGCACGATATAACTGCCAGACATGGCTTTTCCCTTGCTAAGTGGGCGTGGTTGGCATTCATGGCTCCGTTAGCAGTTCTCTTCTCGGCTGATTAACTTTCCTATGCTTTAGCAAATACCTTGCGGCATGCGTTTCGTCCTCGTAATCGTAAGGGCAGTGAGCTGCGTAAAATGCTTCCCAGTCGTCTTGCCAATATAAATCAGTTGGTGTTACCGGCCTGGGCCGAGGTGGCTCTTTTCCATTGATTAACAACTTGTATTGCCTCCACACTTCCTGGCGATCGTTAAATAGCCGTTTAGCCACGGCCTCCGTACAGATATGCCCAAATTCAACCTCGGGTACCTGATAGGGGGCTCTGGATTCTTCCTTTGCCACACTATCCATATCAACCCTGATACAGTTCTTAGTATATTCTCTTACGTATGAGAAGTATTCGCCAGGAAGTCCTTCGAAATTCGCCATGGGCCATGCACCGTAGCCCATACAGCCGATGTCCCAGGAATCGTAAGGGTATTGAACGGTTAATGAGAACAATGCGTCAACTTCTTCAATGGGAATAAATCGCCAGGCTTCGCGCCCATATGAAACTGGGTCTCGTTCTGTATCCGCATCTAGGGAATTTGGCGCTGATGACCTCGCCGATTTCCGGACGAGGTGGTCGTCGAAGTCTGATAAGCTCCATTCAACGACATATATCTTTTCAAGCCTAGGTAGTAATCGAAGTGTTCTCAAAACGCAATCCTCCGTGTCATATTCATAGCCTGGGGTTAATAGGGGGGGTGCCATATCTATTGCTAGTTTTCGAACTTGCTGTAAGCTCTGTGTATCAAAATTTCCAGTGCCCCATGAGCCATTATCTAATAGATTGAAGTACTCTCTTGTTTTATCATATTTGAGGCAGAGCACATCGTTCTTGAAGTTGAACCAAGTCATTGGTGGGTGGTTACGAGACGCGAACGCAAGCTGGTATCCAGCATTGATTAGCACGCGTCGCGATTCTACACACGTATGAAGAAGCGCCGGAATAGGTGCTTTACTATAGAGGTAGCTCTTCCCGAGGAGCTCATATGCGACATCTGGATGTTCGAATAACCAATGAATAGGAATCTCGGGAGTTAACTGAGAGGGCTCCCATGGACGTTGTACTGGACGCGAGGTTGAAAACCCGTAACACTCCAATTTCCTCTGCGACCGAAGATCTTTATACGACAAGATTCGATCGCGCCAGTTCCGAGCAAAATAGGTTAAGGATGGATGTAGTTTAATCTGACACGGAGCTAAGTCGTTGAACCGCTCCTCGAAGTCATCTATGTCTTCATGCTGTTGCGAAACATGGACGATGCGGCTCGGTGTAGCCAAGAGGAACACTTCGTGTCGGATTTCCGGAGGGAGAGAAGAGAATAAACGAAATGAATTAATAGTCATGTTAATTTGGGGAGCTTCAGCGAATGTATATAACTGGAGTATATAACTTAGGTACGGTACCTAATGAACTTGTTAGTTCTCTTAGTACCTAATATAGTAGGTATGGGTAGGTATGTATGGGTGGTAATGTACGATGCGCGACGAAGGATGGGTAAACTAGTAGGTTGAGAACCTTGAATTGAGATAATTTATATTCCCTGACCGTGCGCAGGGCACAGACGCAGCACCCAAATGACAATATCTATTGATGCAATAGCCTTCTCCTGAGTTGAATATTTACTTTTATAATAATTATACTATGTATACCTATACTTGACACTACGACAATACTATATCATTTAGGGGAGAACGAGCTGTTAACTAACCTAGTTGATTCAACTCGCAACTTAATAAATGAATGATTTTCTATACGGGTTGCAGTCCTTAATCCTTGGCTACCGCGGGGCTTCGATTCTAGAAGTTAGAATAGTTATCGTAATGATAATTTAGCCATCACACCGGTCTATAGGTAGTCTTTTGAATCCCGCATCCGACCCCCGAACACCGTGCTATAGCTCCGTCGTTAAGAAGGAAACCAGAATACGTTCCACTATTTATCGAAAATAAAGGCACCGGAATCATTCGATCCCGAAACACGTCCTCACAGCTCTCTTATAAATGTACCTAAATATATAGTTTGACTAATTGCCTCTTCATATCACAACATGCTATGAAACTATAGCATTCGACCCATACACCAACCAAGCTTCTATACGCATTGTGAGCCATGGGCTCCATAGGTTACTCAGTGCCTCAAGAGGCTCAAAGACTCTTCCAAGATGGCATCCTTAACAACCCCCTAATGGAAGGTCTCCCACAGGAGTTGCAGTCGTTGAGCAAAACTGTTCATTTTGAAGGATCCGCCAAGCCCAGTATCCCTATCAACTGGCGGTTCGCTGAGAGCATCTCAGCGATTAAGGCTTTTGAGGCAACCATGCTGACCTATCTTATTACTAAGAAATACAATGTCGCGCCCTCTAACGTCAGTATAAACACGTAAGTGGTATCCCTTATTATATAAATAGGGGGGAATACTAGATAGCTAAAACTTATCGATAGAGACCACGCTTCGCTCTTTTTCATGTCCCCATTCGTTGCACGCGTCGTCAAAGACGGCAGCCCAGCGCGGATAAACCTGTTCTCGAAAGAAATTTCGAAATGGTTCCCTAACCATGACCTACATAGGGCTGCGGGTTCCCACCATAGGACTCTTGCCACAAACATCTACAAGACGAAAGACGGGCAGTTCTACCACATCCACGGTAGGGATACACTTTAAATGGCCTTACCTCGGAGTTAGCTTGAGTGTTTACTTATAGCGTAAGCATTGTTTAGGTAGTATGAACCCCAACCCTACACTCACAGCACTGGGGCTACCATTCAATGGGGAAGAGAATGACACATACGACTCCGCGGTGAAGAGGATTCAAGGCATTATGTCACAGTTCGACTCTGCGGCACTAGATGAGCTCATAAACGAGCAGTACCGCCAAGCGGGCACGATCGTATGGACGTCCGACGAGTACTTTGCAAGCGAGCACGGCCAGGCATCCGGTAAGATCGGGCTGTACGAAACGATTAAGGACTCCAATTCCTCGCAGTCAGCGGCATGGTGGCCCGACAACGCGAGCTACCCGTCCTCTGCGAAGCGGCCGCTCGCCGGCCTCAAAGTCGTCGACTTGGCCCGCGTCATTGCTGGTCCCACAATCACGCGCTCGCTTGCGGAGATGGGCGCCAGCGTGATGCGAGTTACGTCGCCTAACATTACGGATATCTCTGCCCTACACCAGGATCTCAACTGGGGCAAATGGAATTGTTTTCTGAACCTGAAAAATGAAGCGGATAAGGAGAAACTCAGGGCGCTAATCCAGGAGGCCGACGTTGTTGTTGATGGATATCGGCCGGGTGTGATGGAGAGGCTTGGCTTCGGGCGCCAGGCTATTTTCGATATGGTTAAGGATCGTTCCCGCGGTATTATTGTCGTTCGGGAGAACTGCTACGGCTGGCATGGCTCCTGGGCTCATCGGAGCGGTTGGCAGCAGATTAGTGACGCGGTATGTACCTGGCATGATGGCTTTAGATGTGACCTGTCAATATTTATTACTCACTCTAATTAATATAGTGCTGCGGTGTTTCGATGTCGTATGGCAGAGCCATGGGCAATGATGAACCAGTAACACCGGTATTCCCGAATTCGGACTACTGGTAAGTACGGCCAACCTGGCCTATGAATTCTCCCTATGATAATATTATGCTAATATGTTATAGTACCGGTATCTGTGGGAGTATCGCTGTTTTAGAAGCGCTCGTTCGACGAGCTGAACATGGAGGTAGTTATGGTGTCGACGTAAGTTGGTTCTTCCGCTTCCTTTTCTCTTTCTCCCGGCTACGTCCCTGCTGCTTACCAGTTCTCTCCTCTATCAGGTAGCACTCAACTACTACTCCCAATGGCTAGTCCGTTCCGTCGGGACCTACGACGACGAGACGTGGAAAGAAGTGTGGAAGAGACACGGGTCACCAGTATTCCGCCATTACCATGCAATGCCACACTCACTACCAGCAATACTAAAGTTGCTATACCAACACGATTCCCAGGTTCTTTTTAACCCTGCCTTTTTTCAGGAGCGGGAAGCGAAGAATATAGGGGCTACATTCGTCCAAGTCAAGCCCGTCATACAGTTTGCTGATGGGGCTGTCGATCTAGGATACCATATCGGCACGCGTGGGAATGGTGTGGATGAGCCTATCTGGCCTGATAACTTAACGGTTGAGATTGTGCGTAGTAAAGACTAAAATGTGTACGTGTTATGTTAGTAGACTCTTTTCAATATAATTAAATGACAGGACAGTACTACTTACCATGGCTATATTTTGTGATAGGGACTTATTAAACATTTAACCCTACCTATATTCATTTTAGCCCCCCTTAAGCCGTATAGGAAGCTGGATGGGATGTATCACGTGTTTTACATATCTAAGGCACGTTACCTAATGTTACCTAATATAATATCGCACGGGCCACAATCACAATCACATACACACACACAGACACACAATTTTTAACAATTCTCTCAAAATATTATCACCGCAATAAGCACACTTCACCCTTGCGCAAAAATTCGACTTATAGATTTCAAATCTCATCCACAGGTCTGAAGTGAAAGGAAATGCAAGTGGCATGTATTGGTATTAAAAATGATATCTCATACAATGCATTGTACTCTGCGTACTAAAACAGACAAGCCATTCTGCCACTTGGACCGTTCTTTCGCATGATAATTTCATGAGCTAGTCCATCCATTCACCAAATCAAAAAGAAAAGAAAAAAAAAGAATATACAATGCGCCAAGCCATCCTTCTCCGACCATCACATCCGATAGTTAGAGTTAAGCTCAACATCACCTAATGGATGAATAGGTAGGATATCCATGAAACAATGGTCCGTTGCCATCTGAAATATGCATGCTTGGGCAACAACGAAGCCATATTAGAAGTCTAATGCCACAGCTCTTGCGACAGAAAAAAAAACACAGAATCATATCGGTCGTATCGAGTAATACCAAGAAGCTTTCCACCATACGACACAAAGGCGCTGCGCCGTACTAATTGTCCCAAGCTGAGAGTAGGTAGAATGCAAACGAAGAAGAAGGACAACAAGCAGTGCCGAGAAAAGGAATAATCGATGCAGTCAGAGTACCACGAAGTTGGCCATACGATCTAGAAGCGAGTTGCGATATACTTTATACAAGTTCAAAACCGTCATCTTCGATGATGTCAGATTCTTGTGCCGCTGGTGTGTGGTTCCTTCGACGGAGATTCTGCCGGGCTTTTCGACCCCTTAGAGCATCCCCGTTGTTGTCAAGGATTTCGTACTCCTTTTCCACGAATTTTTCCGTCTCCTTCGGGTTCGTCTTCACGAATACGTCCAGCGTCAGTGGTTTACCCGGACTTTCAACCCTATCGAAGCTATAAAGGACGTTATCCGAAATACTAGAGCCTCGTCGGGTCTGAGATGATGGTAAGAGATCATAGAGGGATTGCGAGACATTGGATGGGTCGTGTAGTTCTTCTAATGCGTCTATCTTGGCACGCGAGTAGCTCGATCGGAGGTCATATCGATCCTTATCACGCGGTTTGACGATGTTCTGGCTTGCTAAGCGATTGGAGTGGCTGATTTGTTAATATTGGATTACAGGGCGCATAATACACGATTACTGATTATAACTTACTGGAGAGTTCCCTCAGGCCGAAGTTTCTCACGTTGGCTTTCGCTCCCTGTGATGATTGCATCTTCTACCCAGCTGTACTTGCACCCAGCCGAAGGTCGAGATCCCCGCGACCACTTTTCTACGCGCTCCTTGAACCGCTTCGAGTCCTGAGCAAAGCTTCGGAGGTCTCGGGCTTGGTCGAAAGCCATGATAAAAAGCGATTTGATCGTGCGGATACGATAGTCAACAACGATTAGTATATTATAAAGTTGCCTGTGATGGAAATAGGCTACCGTCTGGAGTAGGTCTATCTCCGAGGAAGATGGCTTATCGGGTGTGAGAAAGAACTTGGTATTTCAAGGTTGACAACGGTGTCGACTTGCAAGGATTATATATTTAAGGCAAAAGCGATGATACAGGGACGAAGGTTATTTGGTGAACAATGGATATTGGATAATAGAAGAATGGTTATTCGTAGGTTCAAGAGCAGGATGGAAATATGTCAAGAGAATGGATGGCTTAGTGCTTTCTAGAAAAGAAGAGATCTGGAAGATGACTGAGTCACGACGGACGGATGACGATTAGGTAAGATGGTGGTAGGTCTTGTGTTTCTTGTTGGTTTCGCTGTTTGCGAGTTGAGAAATTGCTTTGTCTCTGTATGACGGTACAGTGGTGAAAGAAGCACAGGAGGAAGGTAAGCAGGTGAGTTCCCGTTCAAGTGACGGGAAAGCGTGGCTTATTCGTTTCTTGCGATATCAAAGTCGGGAAAGGCTCGAGCAAGACAAAGGCCGGGTGACTCAGTAGGATAAGGGGGCTACGGCCAAAGGGGTACACCGCGATAATGATGCGATGGCTCAGTTGCGATTGCGGGTTAGTCGTTATCGTTATCGATACCAACAGACTGCTTAGCCTCAATGGGGACGGAGACGGGGACGATGACGCAGCGTGGAGCGAAGTACTTATCAAGTATACCTAGATAAGACAGACAACGAGTTTGGACGATGCAAAATCGAAACAGGACAAATCTAATATCGAGTTCAGAGTTGCTGAAATATTAAGAAGTCTATTGAGAGCAAGAGGGAAGAAAAGATAAAAATCATTAAATGAGAGAGGGAATTATGAGGTTTAATAAGGAGGATGGATACCTTACGTAGGTACCTTCTCAGCCATCTCCAGCTCCTTATCGTGGCCTTAGTTAGACTTAGCGCATGGTATGCAATTTACACAGAGGTATACTACCTAGGTAACTATGTAGAGAATAAGTTACTAGGTTAGGTTACGACCTAATCATCAGCTTTACTACATCCATATCCATCCGCACCTTTCTTGTTCATCTGTTGACTACTTTGAAGGTATGGGAAGTCGAGAATGGGGGAGCCTTATTCATTATTGCATGGCCCTTTCATGGGTTTGGGTGCGCGTGTGACAACGAGGTACTTAGGTACCTACCTAGGTACCGTTCCTAAACCTCCGATCGCGTATCAGCAATTTCTAGGTACCTCTGTAGATTACCTTTTACGAAGTACCTAACGGAATACATGCTTATTATTAGAGAGAGCTGGTGACCTTCTAGCGTTTTGCTAAGAATGGATTTGATTGATCGAAGAACTTCTTGTTCACATTTAGGTGTGTGACGAATTTAGGCGGCTATTCGAATGAAATCGACCTGTTCCAAGAGGTTCTCTTAGTTCCCAGTTCCTAACTCTTAACATAGGTACCGAGCTATACTAGGTACCTAAGGCAGTACCTTATACAAGGCTCGACCTGCTTCACCTTTATTCAGCTCGTGCTCCCAGCTCTGCCATGTCATTTGCTGATCAGCCTGTCTTTTGTATGACCACATCCAAACACTAGTTCGCTCCAGTCGATGGACTCGACTATGTGTGCAACAATAGTGTACACCTTTTATTGCTATCCCGTTTTTCGGATGCATGATATTATTTGTTGCCTGCGAGGCAATCTGCCTATCATGCAGGATGCAGTGTCTCACTTTTTACCTTTACTTACTCTACTCTATGCCTTGAGAGATCGGCAAATAGACTTTGTTATGTATGCGCTATGTAAGTATGGCCCCCGCCTCCACATGCCCGGTCCTGCATGGCTTTGCGATAAGACGACATGGGCAAATCAGAAAGCCCATGTGCCTGTCTCTATGGGTGATAAAGGGAGGGAGGTGTCTAGAGAGAGAGAGAGATGAATTGCAGCTTCGCGCTGCTGTGTGTACATATATAGCTCAGTATGTCCATTTTCAGAGCCACGGATTTACTATCAAGACACCCATTTCTACGTTTATGATTAATTCTTGTTCAAGTTTCGTCCAACCTCGATGTATTAGTCGGCTCATTGGTTGTTTGTGATCATAAATGGCTACATGTAGTCAAAATGTACCCCGCTTGGCGCATTAGTTGAATAGACTGTAATTCTAGGAATTCCCAATCAACACGATATAATTGGCAAATACTAAAAGAACATCTACAGGTACGAAATGAAGCTAAACGGAGATGAAGCGCACCAACGAAATGAAGGGTGAAACCTACCTAAGGTATCTAAGGTGCTTCGGGGCGACGCGGCCGTTCGGAGAGCTGCTGGCAAGCTACAGTAGCCTTCTAAAGCCGATAAGGCAGGCCTTAGTGGGGTATGTAGACAGCGTCATTGATAGCGCTTAACAATTAAATCAAGATGACATAATCCGAGGTAGCCGAGTCTCGTGGAAGAGGTGTGTTGACCTCATTTTCGGGACCTTACTCATTCAACTTAGGGTCATATGATTGATATTCTGATTTGAGCTGACAGGCTTGTGGCTTAGATAGGATATGTGATTACGGCAGATGAAGTTATGAAATCATCCCGAATAGGAGGTTAAACCCCTTGTCGTCTAGCAAGAATCGTGAATCGTGCAGCGTCAAATATGTCATTTTCCATTTTCCAATTCCCAATTCCCAATTCCCAATTCCCAATTCCCAATTCCCAACAAGAGCCTAAACAGTTTCGTTCTTATATATTAATAAAAATATTATATTAATGCGACTATTGCGGGATATCTACGTCATAGTTGATAATAGTACTGTTTTTTACCACTGGTTATCTAGGTACATGTACCTATTAAATTCCCAATGACTGCCAAGGATCGTGTACCTTAGAAGTTTAAGGCTGCTATACAAAATTGCCATGCTTCTCCTCACCTAATCGTCCGGTATGAGATAAGTGAAAACCAATATCTACCTCTTAGTAAGCGTTGAATTTATGCTATTATTTAAGCTATTATTGATTTAAATCTCATTGTCTCGTGAATGGTGTCATACATAGTGTCTGAACAACTCCTTAATCATCACATTGTATCTGCCTCATCTTGTAGGGGTAGTCGCACCTTCTGAACTCGGTATATATGAGATAACTCAATTCAAGTATGTATCCTGAAGAGAAGCTGTTAGACTTACTCAGTTTTGATGTCACCCCCTTTGTCTAATTGACGACAAAGCTGTAGCCTCATCGAGAATTCTCATGCCGCATTCAGCAGTTCCTTTTAGTGAAGATGTCCGGTTTGAGTTATCGAGCCTTCATCCATTTCTACTCCTTGATATATAGGTAGTCACTTTTCAACTATCTACCATTCGAGCATGGTATAATTATCTCCAAGCTATCTACTTCAGCGGCTTTTTTTACATTAGCATCACTTAGCTCTACTTAAAGTCTAACATAGGTATACACCAACTTTGAATATACTATAGCTATAATAGCGATAAGTCAGCATGGATTATCTCAAGGAGAATAATATTTCGTGGTGGACCGTACGTAAATACCCTCTACTCTCACAAAATAAAATGGACTGACATATAAAAAGGTTCCTTTTGCCTTTTTTCTAGGTTTATTTCCACGGATATACTTTTCGATCCTTGGATCTGGAAGCACAATTTATGACCCGAAGAATCCTCGGAGATTTGTGACATCCCTCAGAAAGTCGGTAGCATTGAACGCTGCGGTAAGTGTCGCCAATTGTAGAGATTATATTTCTCAATAGCCGATAATAGCTGCTTTGGGTCTAGTTAATGCTGATTATATTGCAGACTATAGCGCGCATAGAGCGTTCCGAAAATGCTTTGAATAATGCATTCGAAAACCTACCACTGCTTACTGTTGCAGTTCTCGCTGCAAATTTAAAGCAGCTGGATCTTGAAACTCGCAATTTACTCTCACTCTTTTACATCGCGAATAGAATCCTCTACACCTGGGTATATATTTGGGGGCAGGAGTATGATTGGATACCTCCTCTGACCCGAACTTTACTGTGGTTTTGCGGAAACTTTACCCTTGGATATCTGTATCTCTTGCCAGGAATCCAGCAGGACGGGTTTGAAAAAGAACGCAGCTACTGGCTTACGGAAGCCGTTAAACTACCACCTGGTCACACATTAGCCCAAATTAGAGATAACTTCGTACGTAACATCGAGAATTCTTCCCCCCTTTAGCTAGTCTCTGGAGCTAATATTTCTGCATCAGAACCCCTAAGGAGTTGTTGCTCTAGATACGTGCTTTGGCTCCTAGGTTGCTCGCCCAAATGAGTAATTATTGACCTCTTGTTGTAAGGACGGTACAACCTGGACTGCCTACTAGAAACAGAGCTTTGAATCTATAAGAATCAACTACAACTAATCTTAGCTCACCAAGATACGCATACCTAGGAGCAATATTTTCGAAAAAGTAAAACATATTCATTTTACTGTTATTGGAAGCTTATTATGCCTGAAGAAACCTTTTAACTGACGGATATAGTATAAGAAGAACAAAGCAGAAAGCATTCCCAATCCAACAGGCGCCATCTTCTATGTTTCTAAGCGTTAGCTAGTTATCTAGCCTAGATTTTATGTACCTTACTACTCTTATTTACATTCATCTATTTCGTAATAGGGGATACTGGGGCAATACTTGCTAAGAATCATGTGCAATTGGTAACTTTAGTTAATATAAGTAGTTTGGAACTATCATTTACAATATCGCGATGTAATACGTCAAGAGCTAATTGTGTATTTGGAACCTTCCTATTACTACCTACTAGAGTGAAGTCCTTATACTACTGTAGCGCGTCAAACAAAGATCTACCTCTTAGTATAACCAACTAATTAGTTTACATATAGTTCTACCCATGTAGCTACGGGATCTCTATAGATAGCGTCTTCATATAATTGAGCTCGTGATGATTTAGACCCGGGGAGTAAGCACATCAGATTAAGAGCAATCCTCGTACCCTCGTAGTTAAGGTATCTCGTGAATATAGCCTCGATTGCTAACAGAACTCTCGATGAGCCTAGAAACGAATTGCTTTCTCTCGAACATGCCATACAGTGGATTGCCATTACACGAGCTTTGACGATATCAACCCCTGCATTAACGCAACGTCTTGGCGCGGATAGTAATGGTCAACCTTGCTCAAATTGGTAGTTGACCTTCTATGCAGACCTTTTCCGTCTTTAAGCCGTGGTCTTCATAGTGACATCGTCCCATTACACTAGGCATTATAGATACCTGGAATCCTATCAGAACACCTTTGTGGGGCAAACCTCGTATTGTGAATTATGGTTGCATAGGAGAGGATGATTCTAAACTCGGTATAGTAGACCGCGAATAGAGCTGTAATTACATATAAACGATATCATGGTCGCGTAGCCTATGTGGAAAAAGCTAGTTTAGTGGTATCTTCACGCGTCGTGACTGAGGCGGAAGATGCGTTTCTTAAGCCTTGCTTTGGCCCTCTCCGGGGGTGCCGCCGCTCTGAACCGTAGGGCTGATAGCACCACGAATACCGCTCGTATCTCAAAGAGCTTTATCGTTGAATATGCACCTGTGGGTTATCCCACTGAAATTACGATACTATATACCTGTAGCTCTCTGAACTAACTATCATACTTCAAGGGTCAAGCAAGTAGACGAGATGGGCTTGCTTCCGCTGAAGGCATCAAGATTGTCAAATCTTTCAACAGCCCAGTCTTTTCCGGCGCTAGCATCGAAACCGACTCTTACAACATCAATAAGCTTGAGGGAATACCTGGCGTACTGCGCGTCTGGCCGAATGAGAGGGTCTATCTGAACCCAGACGAGCCAAAAATCCTCGATAGTCTTCCAACTAACTTCAACTATACCACCCACAACGTGACTGGGGTTAGCAAGCTTCATGAAGCCGGTATCTATGGAAAAGGTGCAAAGGTTGGAATTGTTGACTCTGGAACGTGGTAAGTATTTGTTCCTTATCTCCTAAAAGTCACTTAGGAGTAATATTGACTATTTGACTAAGGTACAACCACACAGCTGTAAGTCAACAGCTTCTATCTGCTCAAGTCCAAGTCCATTCATGGCTAATAATTGATTAGCTCGGTGGTGGCTTTGGCCCTGGCTTTAAAGTAGCCGGTGGATGGGACTTCGTCGGTGATGGTAGGAATAATTAAAATACCCAGAGTACCCGTTGACTGCAAAATTGACGTAATATCTAGATTGGCCTAGCGAAGAGAAGAAACCCGACGACGATCCTCTTGACGTATTCGGCCACGGAACTCATGTCGCTGGAATCATCGCAGCAAAGGCCGATTCGTAAGCACTCCTTTTCCTTTACGACTAGCTATGCGGAGTATACCGGGCACTAATCTTACACTTCTCTAGGTGGACAGGTGTTGCCCCTGAGGCGACTCTGTATTCGTACAAGGTGTTTCCTGGAGGTGTAAGTTTTAAAAATCGGTACATATAAGGGTAGGTGTGAAGTTAACTTATAGGACTCTAGGACTATACCGACACCGCCACACTAATCGATGCATTTTTACGAGCATACGATGACGAGGTCGATATCGTGACCGCCAGCATTGGTTCTCCTGGTGGCTGGTCGACTCATGCCTGGGCTGAAGTAGCCTCCCGTCTCGTAGATGAAGGTATTCTTGTCACAATCGCAGCTGGAAACTCTGGAGACCAAGGCCCCTTCTATGGAAGCACCGGTTCATCCGGCACCAATGTTATCGCAGTTGCGTCAGTAGAGACGGAGGTGTTCCCTGAATTTCCCTTCGGAGCCAACTTCACAATCGACGGAGTTACCAATACTACCACTCTCGGCTATCTCCCCTCAACTTTTTACTTCCCGTCTAAAGTGGTAGGATGGCCCATCGTACCCCTCTCTTTCAATACTTCCGATCCTGCGGAAGCATGTCAACCTTACCCTGAAGGTACTCAGAACCTGACGGGTAAAATACCAATCGTAAGACGTGGTACTTGCACGTTCGCTATGAAACAAGGCCATCTGGCTGCTCTGGGGGCGGAATATATGCTATTTTATAACAATGAGAGTCCATTGATTCAACCGGGAACGACCGACGACGAGACACTCATCGCATTGGTCATTGCAGAAATTGGAGAAGCTATTATCGACGCTGTTAAGAATAACGGTACCGTGACGGCAGATTTCTCTGTGAACCCAGAGAACCCAATTGGCTACGCAAACCCCTCTGCCAACAAGCCCAACATCTTTACGCAATGGGGACCCTCTTATGACCTAGATCTTAAGCCGGATATTGCTGCGCCTGGTGGTAATATATTTAGCACCTACCTCGATGGCAACTATGCAATTATGAGCGGGACGTCAATGGCGACCCCGTATGTTGCTGGTATCGCAGCTCTTTACATCGGGGCTTTCGGAGGTCGCAGTGTCCATGGTAAAGGCTTTGCGCATAGCCTTCGCAGGAAGATTATCTCCAGTGGGGCAGCTCTACCTTGGTTTGATGGCTCGGATCAAGACTATGGCTTTACTGCCAGTGTTGCGCAGGTAGGTAATGGGTTAGTTAACGGATTCAAGGTTGTGAATTACAGCACGGATGTCGATTATGAGAAATTCAACCTTAACGACACCGCGAACTTCAAAGAATCGCACCCAGTTACCGTGACAAATAATGGCGCCCGCGATATCAGCTACAGTTTTACTACGGAGAGTGCTGGTGGAATTGAGGTTATCGGTTGGTTTTCCGATGCTGGATCGAGAAGAGTGAAGAAGTTCAACGAGTTGGAGCCCAAAGACCTTTCTGTCGATGTACACTTACCTGAAGGTTTTACCCTCAAAGCCGGAGAGAGCAAAACCGTTACGTACGTTCATCTCACCCCTGGATTTTGCGAGTACTATAACTAACTAATATAATACCCATGTAGTGTCAACTTCGTTAATCCTGAGGGTTCGGGTTGGAACTCATCGGGTCTCCCCCTGTATAGTGGGAAGGTAATATTATCATCAAGCGCTGGAGAACAGCTTTCTTTCCCGTACCTAGGTCAGCAATATGTCCTTAGATATATGGGATGCCAATACTGACCGTTCCCAGGACTCGGTACCGATCTAAAAACTGAACTAGGTTCTGTCTATTATCCAGGGTACCCCTTTTCGAGATCTGGGCCCTACAGTGAGGATATAAAAGTCAAACCATAGTACGATGATATTATTATAGATTCATCATCGCGTTACTAACAGGTACGGATAGCTACACGTTCAACGTCAGTCGATTTTCTCAAGACTTCCCAAAGATATATTCGCAGGTTATATGGGGCAGCAAGCAGGTTCGCTGGGATGTAAGTTGTTACCCTACTTGTAGTATAGTTATCATTTAGGTAGGTATTCTAACTACTTGCTAGATATACGAGGCTGGCTGGAATGAGAGCCAGTGGTCTTATCCACCTGTTGAGGGTGAAAATGGCTACATCGGACCTGCCGCATCTTGGAACGGCGATGGTGGAGTCTTCGACGACCGGTATTACGACCCGAACGACACTTTTACCTACCCTCGGACCGATATCCTGCGCGGAGGGTGGGATCACACATGGTTTGGAAAACTTGGTAACGGTAGTCAGATTGCAAATGGTAACTACACGTAAGTGACTCTACGCTGGAAAGACTCATTTGAAGTTAGTCAAATTACTTACTGATAATAATTTCTCTGTAGGTGGCGATTTGCTACACTCAAGCCGTTAGGAGACCCGACTGTTTCAGAAGACTGGGATATTTTCAAGACTCCCGAAATCTCCGTCCGCGGACACTACTAGGCAAACAATGAGAAGTTTTGTTCAAGAACAAAGTACCGACTAGATATTTACTCAAGTCGTATATGTGTACCCTAAAGACTTAGACAGGTCTTAGGACTACACGGTGGGTTAGGATCTTCTCTCGTGTTATTCTTTAACTAGTATTAAATCAAGTTGCTGGAAGGGTATATATGCTACTTGAATTACCTGGGTAACTAAGGAGAAGAAAACTAAATCAATTCGTTTTATTTCCGCACATCATATAAAATGTGTTTCTAAGATATTACGAATAACTGTACGGGGGTAATTGTAACCGATAGGCTCGTTCTCTGGTTAGTTTGTAATCTATACCGTGTGACTTTGAATCTTTAGTAAACTTGGAAGCAGACTTATACACGGTTGACCAATCGCATGTAAATGAAACTCGATTTAATAAGGTAACTATAAGAATGCGCATAAACCTAATATTAATCGGTAAGAACGCCTTAGGCTAGGTAGCAGGGAGTAATTCTGGGCAAAGGTATGATTTTTAGCGTTTGCAGGAAGTACCGTAGTATATTTCGAGGGGTTTGTTCATATCAATCTTTCTCTCTCTCTCCCTCTCTCTCCCCCCCCCCGGTGCTCAGATGCTTAGGTAATCATAGTAATAATAGGATAATCCAGCACTCCGCTAACATCTCAACATGCACTAATGCTAATGGAGCATCACTATTTTCCTACATGGAAGGCAAAACATTAAACAGCTAATACGTAAGAGGCCGTGTCAATAATACTGCGTAGATAAAAGAGTCATAAGATTGAGAATTCTCCGATGACTGGGTATCACTCTCGCTAGATTTACGTGATCATGACGAGTTGTCCGTTGCGTCGCTCCTTTAGATTGTTCGGCTTGGATTTGGTTGTTAGATATCATCTCCCTAACAGCAATGAGTTAACATGTGCTACCTCTGCGGTTGGAACGGTGCGCTTGTTTTCTCCCAGTTTTCATTGCAAACTCTTCGCATTAACCTTCTTGGTGCTTGACGACCGGTCATTAGTTCGAAAGCCTCCATGGCCATTTCCCCCACAACCTCTAAGCCATCAATAATCACCCACGACGTGTCCCCTTCTTCGCGAATCTTACGAACCTGAACCACTAGTGGTGTTATCAAGGGTTCATACGCTAACTGTGTAAAACATTTACGTTAGAATATAAAAGCCAAGAGATGGGCAATAGAATGGTTGTTACCTCAATCACTACACCACCAGTAGGACTTCTTAACCATTGCGAAGGCATTCTGAAGTCTACCGGTGGATTGTCGTCTGTACCCGATGCTGGAATGCAGGATACGATCATCGTTGGCTGCTGATATTGCTTCGGCCATGGATCATTGGCTGACCCGATGACCCGACATATCTTCTCTCCTTCATTCTGGCGGGATAGAAGTCTCTGCTCTATGGCGTACATGTTGAAATGCATCGCAACTTCTTCTGCTTTTATCCTTGTCCTATTGTGAATGAATATCATCCGACAGCCTAATTTGATTAGAGCATAGATAGCTGCTCGAGCCATTCCACCCGCTCCTATTACTAGAGCCGTCGTCCGAGACGGCTGTACCGAGTTTCGAGGACTGATAGCTCTACGTATGCAAGTCATGATTGCACTCCAATCTGTATTGTCCCCATAGAACCTGTTGGCATATCCAGCTCTATTTCGAGCATTAGCATGGTCTAAAATTGAGTCGGTATCCCCACGTAGTGGTAAAAGCGTATTAACCGCGCCGATTGCGATAGCATGGGTGCTGAGATGATCAAGGCGGGGCATCATAGCAACCTTGAAGGGTGCCGTTAACGAAGCGCCGCCAAAACCGGGCTCGCGCCGAATCCGGTCGACTTCTTCAAGTGAAGTACAGCGTCTAGCGTTAAAAGTGTGCGGCATCATATAATGTTCATATGCTGCGCGGTGCATCGAGGGCGATGCCGAATAATAAACATTTAACCCCAAAGTATAGAAATTGAGTGGCTGTAAGATTCCTTTTCGAAAAAGGTCCCGTAACGTACCCCGTGTTGTACTTACGCCAATCATCTGTTCCCGCGAGGACTTCTCGAGAGAATCATGTCCGATTGGATTTAGTATGTCTCCCTGGAAAGGTAGTACCACGCCGAACACCGAAAAGTCGTAGGCAATTAGGCAAGGTTTAGGATCTGGTAAGGCATTGATTTTATCGATGAAAATTTGCCGGAGTTCATCGTTTCTATCCACGGAACAGAACCGGGCCATGCGGACAATCTGACACCCAAACTGTTGAGCAAGCAAATAACGTTCGACAAAGGAGTCATCATTCCACTTTGGAGCTCCAAATCCTTTCATAACGTAATTCCCGATGATTTTTGTCCTGCCTCGCATGGCGAGAATATGGGAGATTAGCCCTGGACTTCTTTGGAGGTCAAGACTTAAATACTCGACACCAAGTCGAAGCCCATGAAGCATCAATTCAAGGTCCATAGTATCTCTTTCTTCGAGGGGTCTCTTACGTTCTTCGCGAGGATTTTCTTCGACGGAGTAAATGATTGGAAGGTCCAGTTTACGGCGGATTAAGGCTACCTGGATTGCAATAAGGTCGAGCACGTTGGTCGGCCAGGTATCAATTATTAGTTCCACAGCCTCTGCAGGAGCTTCCAATTCGGCTATATCAATATCCATGCTGATTAACGACGACAGTCGAAGGCAGAAGACAAACGTATGAGTTCGATACTCTGGGGGTATTGCCTTCATCGAGAATGGATTTGCTATCCATGATCGTGTCAAACCTTGACCAAAGATATGATCGAGAAAGTTTTTGAAGTCTTGTTTCGCCTCTACAAGCTTTGCGGTGCTTGTAGACGCAGAACGATAGGGGCAGTCCTCTGTTACCTGACCTTCACCACTGGGGTCAAAAATATTGAAGTACTCCAAATTAGAGAAATCACGATGTTTCTGGTCAGTGGTGAGTAGGTATTCTGCATCCGCCACTGTGAGCTTTAATAACTTGTATAGATCCTCTTTATCGCGATGGATGTAGATGATAGGATTCGTCTCAATGTAGTCCTTCAGGATCTCCTCAATATCAGATGATAACGTGCCCGTGCCACATTCTATAACACAATTCGCCTGATTCAGCTCGAGCATTCGGGCGAGTACGATCGCCATCTGCTGGTTAAACGTTTCTCGTCCATATTTTTGCAAGAAAGTAGCTCTGGTACATCTTGTCGATTGTTCAAAAAAGTGATCCTCAGTAATAAGTCGACGGCCGAGATACTTGGCAGCGATAAACCCCAACGTCCGTTTTCCAGCACCGCGACAACCCACCAGGATGACCGAGGAATCGGTAGGGAAGACTCTGCGTTTTGTCCTAGACGTAGAGATTATAGGTTCATCAAGAATCATATTCGATCCCGTTGTCGCCATCCTAACAACCTGGTTTTCAAGCTCCCGATACACGATTTAAGTGTGCTTGTCGCTATATGCTGTTCAATAAAATACAGCCCGTGTTAATAGGTGAGAATCTAGGATAGTAGGCTCTTCATATGAGGCTAAAAGCGAGTCTCAATGCTGTTTGATGAAAACAGACACGATGAGAGTATCTGGTAACATCAGCAATGAAATATCTTGCAAGTCTGTAAGAACTCTTATAGTTCAAGTTTAATTCACTTGCGAAGTAAATCGTACGAGAGCATCTCGATTGCTGAAATAAGAACAAATGGGGATGAGCCCATGAGGTGAGTGAGTTTACATTGTGAGTTTAGGTACAGGTCGACTAACGGCAAGGGTGTCGGCATTAGAAGCGGAAAGTTAGTCCTGAGCTTCTACCACATGGCAATCCCGGGCTTATTAGCCACACCGAAGAGCCACGATACCTGGGTACCTAAGGAAGCCACAAAGAAAAGCATTGTTGGGGTCCATTTGGTCTATAGGTGCTGGAGAAATAAACCCCGCGCCGACAGTGAGCAGGTGGTCCCGACTCAAGCTGGGTGCTTACCTTAGGTACCTACATAACATGTATCCTAGGTAGGTACTGTACCTAATCTGATCTCTGTACATAATTATTTCACTTCTCACTTCACAATTACAACAAAAACATAAATACGAAATATATCGACAATTCTTTATTTCTTCTCACTCTTCTTATCGCTCTCGACCTATACTCTCAATGATCTCTCAATTTTGCCTCATTGTCTTATAAGAGCTCTTATGTCGTCATAAAAGGGCGCATACAAGTCTCCATCGTACCCTAACGGTTCGGGGGAAAAAAAAAGGAGACCCTCTACTCTACGGAGAGGAGGGTGACCTGAAGCTGGTTTGGAACTAGCGGTGTCTACCTCGGGGCGTATGGTGGAGGCTATGAGTGATGGGGAGAGCGATGACGGCAAGCGAGCGTCGAAAAAGCGCAAGGCTAGTCGGGCTTGCGACCGCTGCAACTCTCAACATCAGCCATGCGATAATGCCGCCCCGAAGTGCAGCGTTTGTGTGCGCGCAGGCACAGATTGTACTTACAACAGACCCGTGCGAAAAAGAGGTCCTCGTAGTGGGTACACCGGCCAGAATGGCGAACGTCTGTGGGCCATAGTCCTTCAGGCACGGCCCGAACTCGAGGATGTCGTTTTACAGGTCCTGCGCGGCGGTACGTATGGAGGTACTGGTGTTCCTAATTTGGACTATTATAAGAACAACGACAACCAGGCGGAATTGGTTAATAGATTCAACGAGAGTCGACTCGGTAGATTTCTACAGAATGGAGAATCCCCTGACCTGTTTTTACCTCCTCTGGACCGACGCGTCTCACCGACCATCTCTAAAGTGCGCAATGAGATGGGTTTTACTCAATCCTCAAATTCTCATCGTCAGCCTGACATGACCAGGGATATTCCTGGCCTGTCTAATAGATCGGTCTCGTCTGTTTCAGGCCCTCAGCCCAGTTCAACAAACCCTCATGGCGCCCCTCAAGATCCTGGCGACATTTATATTCAGAGCCAGGATATTCGAAAACGGGCTTTCCACCCTAATCAAAACCAGATACACAGTTATAATATAGGCTTTTCTGAAGATGGACCTCAGAATTTCAACTTAGATCGCGCACCGTCAGTTTTGGCACCTCAAGATTCTACACCTTTTGGATCGAATGGCTCCACTGATGAATACGGAGAGAACTCGCGGCATACGAGCGAGCGTTTAGTACCGGAGAGGCAAACGAGTGTTAACATGGCAATGGGTCTTTCTCAACATTCACAATCTATTGAATCAAGCAATCCGCTCCCTATAACACAGCAAACCGATGAACTCCACTTAGATGAGACTTCTCGATGGTAATGGTGACCGACTCCTTATATATATGCCTCTTTTAATCTAACTTCACATAGGCTCGACTCAACACCATTCGACACATTACGAAATCTAGGGTTTGCCCCTGGGGAGAGCATGGCAGAAGATTTCCTCGAGCTATGCGAGAACCCCGACCCTGTCGATCATACACCAGCCACCTCAGCCGACCAAGATGAAGACGAAGAGGCTGTCTGGCGTCGACTAGTAATGCGGGGGAGATTCATATGATCAGATATCCGGTTTTATATACTATGGATAAGATAGAAGACTAATCGTGGGATCCGACTAATCGCAACGTGAGCCCTGCGGTTACTCCAGTATTGAACGACTATACGTTCTACATCGTTATTAGATTCTAAAGGTGGGTGCAATGACAGGAACGACCATTTTCGCTAAGCTGGCACTATTAGCCTGCATGCTAACATAGCGCTCAGACTCTGAGCTATGGTGTCCCCTTCGTGGTGATCTATCAGGACTTATGTCTAACTCTGAGTTCTTTCAACACATGGGCCTCAGTAGATATCCAATACATGTATCTATTGACCTCTAGATCTGGCGGGCCAACCCGCGCTTCATGCAGTTCACAGGTTGTAAACGGTTGATTGGTTATAGAATGGCGGTAACGATAGATCAATTGGCAGAGCAATGGATGCTCAAGGTGGTTCATTAAACCCCAGTTCATATCGGCCGAGATTAAGCTATCGCAGGCCATACATATTAGTATATACCCCTTTAATACAGATCATAATGTCCACCTGGTCTAACTTTTTGAAGATACTGATTTAGGATTTGACGGCAAAGCTTCCCTATAGGGGCCCCGCCAAGAGAGTAATCATTCTGCGTTGGCGGATCACCATCCGCACTACCGCGATTATACCCAATTCCTAAAAGAACCAATATCAAGTATTCTCTCCAAATGCTTAGTCAAGCGTCTTGGCTATTAGACATTAACGTGCACCCAACGCGAAATAATACAGGCCTAGGATACTTCTAATGTGATGTTAATCTTTCTACGTAGAGCACGATCTTTCTACAACGAAAATGGGGTGACTCATAGGTGCCGGGAAGCTTATACCAGAAGTCATTATATATCACCTACGTATGCATACTCTACGGCAGTGGACGTTTCTTGGGGCAAGATCATCCATAGTGACCTAACTCATATATCAATCTCTTAGATTTATGCGCCTTCGAACCCGGCTTTGTTTAATGCAAATACACCCTACTTATAGATCCCTGGATACAATATTGAGCCTGACCTTCCAAGCATTTATGTAGGGAGAGGCCTTTCTAAAGGCATAGTGCTGTGAAGTACGGATGTCCCTTTCAAAAGTTTTTACCATAGGAAGACCCTTGTCACCCCCGGCAAGCTTTGACCAAGCTTGGCAACAACTGCTCACCTTTTTAACATGTGTATCTTGTTTTACTCTACTATTTCAATAAGATATAACTTTCTTAAACTAAATTCTAAAATTCCCCAAAAATGTAAATTATGAATATAAAAGACTTGCTTTTAATATAATAGTTTTTTATTTTATTTTAGATTTATATTTGGCTGTAAAACCTAGTAGTAAACCTTAGGGATAATAATGTATACATCTTTAAATCACCCGACAGCTGCTGGCCAAGTATCAAACAGCTGGCGACAATCTTGACAGGGGTTCCCTATGGTAAAAACTTTTGAAAGGGACATCCGTACCTAGTACAGATAGTAGAGTTTTGATAAATACAACTTAAGAGGATAACTTACGATATATAAACAAACCTTTACGCTAAATCTATATCTAATAGTGACATCATGTAGATTAAAATAGATTACTCAAAGATGAGATTTCGTTGATGATTACGAGACTTATTCTTAGGGGAAGGTTTTACTCCTCCCATACGAGTTGTCTCGTAACTATACCAGCTAACTTTCTTTACTGGAAACGATCTCAAAAACTTCGTAATACATCTCGATATGTGAATGCATCTACTTCATAAACTGCAATTACTCGTTGCGTTATCGCACGACTAGAAGTGGCCTTGTGATAACTTGGTAGACCATGATTAAGACTCATGAGTCTTATTGAAATGGTAAAACACAGAACAGTTCAACGCTCACTAAACTTGGATATAAATACATTAAATTAAGCGAATGTTCAATCTTGGAACCAATATACGCTTGCTCGCCCGGGACTAAGACGCAACCCCCTAATACATTTTGAAATTAGTCAAGGAAATCTCCAGGAACATCGGGACCTAGTGAATCACAATTAGCATTGTCATGCCGTATAGTCGGAAGCTAGGATTAAATACTTACCCCACACGTGTAAGCTTCCAGGGCCGGCCTGTGAGCGATGTGTGGGCTCAGAGGCGGTCACCAAGTCACCGTCGACGTAGTGCTCCATGATGAAGCCGTGCGGGTCGTACCTAGTCTAGTCAGTTTGGACTTCAAATCAAAGGAGGAAAAATGTGAATAAATATGTATGTACCAGTAGTCGAAGATCTGACTGCCAAGGACGTGTCTCCCAACACCCCAGCAGTTCTTGTAACCCCTCTCTCGTAGCCAGTCATGACCCAGGACTTGAGTATCGAAGTCGTGCGTCTCAAAAGAAGAGTGGTGAACTCTGTACGGGGTACCTTCGGCAAAGAAAAAGACGTGATGATCTACCGGTTCGTCTCCTCTATCTATCCGGTAAAATACCGTCCGGTCAACCTTCTCAGCGTCGTGAATGAGCTGTTTCTATTAGTCGCGAATTACCTAAACATTACTACTATAAGGGGTTCATACATCGCTGGCTATGAGGTTAAAATGGTCGCAGTAGAACTTGTAAGCCTTTGCGAAGTTCGTCGATCTCACACCGAAATGACCGAGCTTGTGTACCGGAGCGGGCCGCTTCTCGAATCGCTGGAACCTTCCTGCAGGTCTGTTCTTTTCGATAGGCTATGTAATTATTAGTATTAGAACGTGGGGCTAACCTGCGGAACTCTTACGTAGTTGACGGGTTCGTGTGGTAGAGGGATTTCTAGCATCTGAGCAGAGGTCTGGCCGTGGACTAAGTGAAACGGAAACCCGTCGACCGGATCATAGAAAGTTACGCCTTTGCCCCCACCCGGCGCATCCGATAAATCGTATACCTTGGTGGCTTTAGGTAGGGTCTCAGATGCGATCTTTAAATCTTCCTCTGACTCGACGACGAAACCCGCACCACCAAATTCAGCCTTGTCTGCCTTAATGGAGCAAAGCACCCACGGTTCCGTCCCGTACCCCCTCCAGTAGATCTTGTCATCCGATACCCTCTTCTCCTCAGTGAAACCGAAGTCTTTCAAGAAGGTAATAGCCTTGTCCATATCTGTGTACTTATAGTACACGTGTGCTATGCGCACGAGCTGTATCTTTCTCGGGGCCGCCATGTTGGATAGTTGTAACCTTATCTCTTTCTTAGTTTATGGTTTTGTCGTCGAGAGATATCCTATTGCTGTTAATAGCTCGCTCTAGGTTGGACTCTGGGCTGGAGTTATAAGTGAAGCTACAAGGGGGTTTCTCCGAAATGTACGACGGCTAAGCACATATTATATACGACCGACATGTACGCTTGAAACGGTTAAAGTCGGGGAGGAGAGTGGAGGAGTCCGTCTACGGATATAGCGGCGGATCAATGTCCCTACATGTGCCTACCTTAAGCTCCTGTGTAAGTCTAAAGACTAGGCATTAAAGGAGCATTTTGGCTTTCCGTTGTCCGAAGCCACAGTCTAGACAACTAGGACTGTGTGATAGGTTACCTACCTAGGTACCTATACCCAACCAGGCTCAGCTCCACAGCCGCGGCCCCGCATGGGTGTTGGATGTTTCTGCCATGGAACACGTTCGGCAGTTATAAGTTGCTGAGTGCCTGTGGGGTTCTTCACTTGGAAGATCCCGAGTTATGGACATAACTAGGGTACCTAATGCAGCTATAGAAGGCCTAGTGTACGAGATCCAAACTAATCCCCGCTCGGCTGAGACTCAGGGGGTTTTCCTATGGGGATATATTTGCGTGGTTTCGAACGCCAAGTGTGTTACTAGCTGCATATTTCGCAGCTCGAGTTTGCTTATTGTAGATTAGAAATAGGTTGGCGAGGCATATAATGCTGATGTAATGTTCGGAGCAGCGCGTTCGGTTTGTTAAAGCCGACGTCAACGATGCTACGCTGTATATGGTTTTTAATATCCATCACAAAAGTTGGGGACTTGGAGATACGAGAAGCGACGAAAATAAAGAGTTGGAGAAAGAGAGTGTGTGCAGCTGATAAAAAGGACTAATGACGTTGCTGACGGACCGTTATGTTTATTCGCTTACCCCTCCGAAAGCTCTCCGATCTGAAGCTTAGCAGGAGATCTCTCTTCTGTGCAACGGGGAATGGTGAGGAATCATAGGTGGAATCGGTGGTAATTCTATGTCCGGATTGCCAAGCCAAGGTACCTTACCTACCTGCTTACATCATTTCTTACTTCATACTCGCATCTAATCTAATCTTATCGTCTAACCGGCCACGGCAAGACTCCGTCATACCGTCATACCGTCATACCTTCATTTCAATCATTGCTTTATCCATATCAACTTTATATCATTACCCGGTCCCAATCCCCGAACTCCCGTCGTACCCAACAATACATAATTTTAAATATTCCAATCATGTCAAAGAAGCTCTCCAAACAGCCAACATTTCCAGGCACAACGCCCATTACCCTACCATCCATCCTCACCGACGGTCAGCCCTTGCCGCGCGCCATCGTCTTCGATCTCGACTATACGCTATGGCCCTTCTGGGTCGACACCCACGTCTACCCGCCGCTCCGGCCTAATCTCGCGCACAACGCCTGCACCGACAAGATCGGCGAGACCTTCGCATTCTATGATGACATACCTTCCGTCCTACACGGCCTAGCCCGCGCGGGCATCAAACTCGGCGTCGCGAGCCGGACCCACGCTCCGGACCTCGGGCGCGAAATGCTCAAGCTGTTGCACATACCACCCGCAAGCAGCGTGCTAGATGAAAGTGGTGCGGATGGGGGGTCGGGGAGTAGTAACAAGAAGGACAAGGTGAGGAAGGCGATCGAATTCTTCGACGCAGGGTTGGAGATCTACCCCAGTAGTAAGATACAACATTTCAAGGCGCTAGGCAAGAGGACGGGTATCCCGCACACCGAGATGCTGTTCTTTGACGACGAAAGCCGCAACAGAGATACGGAGTCTCTAGGCGTTACCATGTGGCTGGTCAGGGACGGCGTTACGTGGAATGAAGTCGTAGAAGGGATTAAGGAGTGGAGGAGGCGAAAAGGTGTCCAACCAGCATCGTGAGTCGTAGTTTCAACCAACGTTTAGAGGCATTGGTCACCGGCAGATGATATATAGATTATATAGGATAGACAGAGAGGGTTGCTGGCGTTAGGAGTTGAAGATAATTCTATTTCGCTTTGTGAAAAAGTACATATATAATCCATGCGTAACTCCCTAAAAACAAAAGCGCCCCTATTCCTGTAAATACCAAGGTATGCGCCAACGATCCTTGACAATAAGACAACGCAGTACTAGGGGAAATAGGTCAGTATCCCAAGACCTTATGCAATGTATACCTCTTATGTTTATATCTTTAATCGACTCTTACGTCCAATCTCCGCTGCGAAAATTATGAATTTGACATGGGGGTCCGGCTTCGAGGTAATTAGTGACTGCATGAGCTCCTTCTATAATATAATTGTATCAAGTTTATTATTTTGCCTCGGTAACTGACAACGCTGCAATGCTTGCCGTCGGGACTTCGTCGTTAATGATAGGCTTCTCGGTAGGCGTTACGAATGACTCAGCTTCGGTAATATCACCGGCCTGGGACTCCGTGGTAGACACCAAGGTATCTTCAGCAGACTTTGGCGGGTAAGCTTTTGTGATGGTACAGACTCGCTCTCTTCGGTCAGTCCCGTTTTTAGTACCCACGGCGATACATTCGACTCGCTTGCCATCGTCGATTGGCCGCCAGTATACGGGACCTTGAGGAAGAGAAGTATAACCGTTCTCAAACTGACATATTCGTTTTACTTCGTCATCCCAAGCTGGCTCGTCAAAGAAGTCCCATTCGAGCTCGCCTCCATAAACCTTGGGAATATTCTTCATGTCCATGAAAGTTGTCAGGACAGGTAATACATCGTGGTCCTGGAGAATGAAGATCTTGGAAACAGTTACGGGATCAAACCACCGCTTGATCCAACCCCATACTGTCGAGAAGAACATAGGCGCGCCGATAATAAAGATACCTAAGAATGCAATTAGCTACTTTCACGGTTCCTACACAATATAAAACACAATTCGTAAACGTACGGTCGAGAGTCTCAGGATAGTGAGCAGTGGCCAACTGACTGGCAGCCTGCATATGGCCCTTCAAGTTCCAGAACATGCGCAGACTGACGTGGGAAATGTCGACGATGTTGGTGCTAAGGGTAATTGGAGTAGCGGGATGTGGGCGATCGATACACTCGGATGACAGAGGTTGGACGAATCTTGTCAGATGTTCGTACAGCGCAAATAATTGTAACAGCTTAGGCTGTGTCTTGCCATCCGTCTTAGCCCTGCTGTACGTCGTCTCGGTGGACTTCTCATATTTGGCAACTGCGTGTGAATCGAGATGTCGGATTTGGAATACGTAAATTGGAATGCCTCTAGAAATATTGTTAGCATATCCTGCATCGAAGTTCTTATCGGAGAAGAAATATTGCATACCGCTTATCACGTCGGCCGGTAAATCGAGGGTACTATTCTCAAGGATAAATGATCTGTTTAGAATTGTTTAAGGCTTACAAGGATCTTGGATATGACGTACAAGCTTCCTAGTCGCCTCAAACGAATCTATATCTATAGTATCGTATAGAACCTCAACTTGGTTTGCGTTACGGAACTTCTCAGTTTCGCTGAATTGAACATATGCATCTTCTGGAACGAACTTGCGCGCTCGAAGGAATCGACTAGGTTCGTAAATATATTAGATTAGCACTGTGTTTGACAGATTTAACATGATTTTTGACTTAAACGCACAGAATCGTGGCGTCGTCATGAGATGGCGGATTCCCCGGCTTATAAAGATCTTTCTCCTCTAAAAGCGTTTTGAATTCTACTAAAGCTTGCTCTTCATGCTCGGTAAGGTGTCCGAGATGTCCTTGCGGATAGCCATGTTCGACCGCCCCGGACGAGGGAACTCGGTGCATGGAAGAACCAGTGTGCTTCGTCATTGGTAGCGTTTGTCGTCGTAAGGACTAGTCGAATGATGTCTTTAGGAATACGACAGTAGCGAAGCAATACGGCAAGCGAAAGCAAGCAGTAACGGGATTTAATTGTATTATTGTAGACGCTGGTTACGATATGAAGGGCTGAAGGGCTGAAGAAGATAAATGAGGATTAGACCCCTGTCTCTTATCCTTACATCCTTACATAAGTGCATACTTACCCTAAGTAATGGTGAGATCTTATTGGTGGGTCTATGATCTAGTTATGATCTCGGGGATGGAGATTAAGATTGCCTTTCCTAGGACTTTCTTTCCTTCTTTTTCTTTTCTTACGGCATCATTAAACTTCTGACAGCTTCCCGAGTCATAACTGACTCGTCTCGGCCGAGAATCGGCAAGTACCTAAATTTGTAAGGTCCGGGTTAATAGTACCTGGGTATTATTGTAAAGTTGGAAATATATTAATTACCTAGGTACCATAGCGGGGGTGTATGGGTACAGGGAACCGTTCCCTATTTAGAAAAACGTTCCCTAAAATATTTTCATACCATAACAATTGCCTCGTTCCCTATCGTAAGAATGGTTTTTAAAAAGGGAACGGTTTTTAAATCGTGGAATTTTCGCCATTTCACGTGACTTTCACGTGAAAAGTAAGGCAAAAGTCAGAAAAGTCAAAAAAACGAAAAATTGGTCCTCAAACCTACAGTTTTTGCAATTATATAACCATAAACCTTACTATTAAAGTTAAAGTTTAAAGTATAAACGTTTAAATTAATAAAACGAGGTGGCTAATTTTATTAAATTAGTTTATTATAAAATTTTCTTTATTTTTAACTATTATAACTTTTATTTCCAAAATATTATTTTATTAAAAAAAAAAACTTTAATAAAAAAAAAAAAATTTTTTAAAAATTTTTTTTTTGTAAAAAACTTTTTTTTTTTAAATTATAAGGTAATTTTTCCCGTATTTAACCTTTCGACTAAAAGGGTTTTTTTTTTCTTTTTTTAAGTAAAATTAACAAAAATATTTTCTAAAAAAAGAACGGTTCTATAAAAAGAAATAGTTTTTAACATTAAGAATATAAGATCCAAAATGGGTCTAAAAATCCCAAATTTAAACCTATCTATTTTTGGATCCAGCTAATTAAAGGCCTGGAATTAAGGGAACGTTCCTTATTAGGGAACCGTTCCCCAAAAATAACCATTCTCTGAAAACCCCCACCTCCGCTATGGTACCTACCTATATCTACCTACCCAACCTAGGTAAATTTCTTTACCTTATTAAGTATTTAAATTAAAGCTGTGAACAAATTCGCGCGTTCTAAAGCCTCCATTTCATTATATCCTAACAGGTACGAAGTCCTGATTATGTTAGGTACAAAATATAAACGTTCCAAGTCAGCTAGTACGTCTTTAGTTAACGTCGGAGACAATTCGCCAAAAATCCCCATTCATCCTACACCACCATCTCTAAAAAAAACCAAAGTACATTCTTACATTAACTACCTAGGTACTAATGATATCTACAAGTCACTATGGAGTACATAAGCAAGGTTATGAGTTGTATTGCATAGCTAGATTCGTATGCCTTGGCCAAGATCAGCGAGCAATGACGATAACCTCGGAGTCTCCTTCGGTACAGTGGTATAAACCACCTGACTTTTCTCGGGGTATTATATGCGAATAGTGTCCTCTCTCGACCACGATCTATCACTTAATGCGGGGTGACGAACGCATTCCTCCAGCTCCCCCAGTGTAAGTCCATACCCGATTCGCTAAGCCGTAGCTTCGTCCGAAGCGGAATGTTAACACGAACAATGCCTCGTGGGTTTATCTCCAGTTACTACCGTAACGTGCGGGGTCCTATAACCGTGAAACTGAGGATATCTAGAGCCCCAGTCCTTAGGGGTTTCTTCTGTTTCGTCTTAGTGATACTAACTAACATTTGATACCTTCATTATCACTTCATCTATTCCATAAATACTTAGCACCATGACCACGCCAGACTCTCTCCCGTCAAGCCAGCGTATAGTACCCGGCTCTGTTGATCTTCCTCTTGCATCATGGCCGCCGACTATCAAAGACGAGAGCGTAGATGCACTCGCAGTGGCTTCCAAGATTCTAAGCTCCTTCAATGACTTACTCTCGAAAAAGGACCACAAAGGCCTTGCAAACCTCTTTCTAGATAACAGCTATTGGAAGGATCACCTTGGTTTGACTTGGGATTTTCATACCTTGAAGGGGAGGGGCAAGATCACATCGTTCTTAGACAAGGGCCATCACTTAAAGGATATCCAAATCGACAGGGAGCATCCGGCTAAGAATAACGGCCCAGAAATAATCCCCTTCCGGGCTGACGGGTCGGTCCGCGGCATACAATTCTTCCTACGGTCCGGTACCGAGCATGGTTTCGGTGCCGGATATGCCCGTCTCCTCCAAGAAAACGGCGAATGGAAATTTTGGACGCTTTACACAACCATGCACGAGTTCTATAACCATCCAGAGCCGGTCGGTCCCTTGCGACCACATGGTGCCATACATGGTGCCAACCCTGAGAGAAAAAACTGGCTTGAAAGAAGGCAGGATGAGATAAATTTCGTACACGGTGACCCTGACGTACTCATAATTGGTAAGCTTCTATTTTTCTGAATGCAAATCGTGATATCAGCTCATATAAATCAGGTTGCGGACAAGCCGGGCTCTCCTTACAAGCCCGACTAAAGATGATAAATGTGCCAACCCTTGCAATCGACGTGTGCGACAATGTTGGCGATAACTGGAGGAATAGATACCAGCACCTTGTCCTCCACGACGCAATATGGTACGACCATATGCCGTACATAAAATTCCCAGACTTCTGGCCCCTATTCACCCCTAAGGATAAACTGGCCCAGTTTCTACAATCATACGCTGAACAGCTCGAGCTCAACGTGTGGAATAACACGAGTCTTGAGTATAGCAGCTGGGACGAAGAAAAAAAGCAGTGGGTCGCGGTTGTCAAGCGGAAGAAGAAGGACGGGTCCGTTGAAGTTCGTGTACTGCATCCGAAGCACATTGTCCAAAGCACTGGTCATTCCGGGAAGAAGAATGTACCAACCTTTAAAGGCATGGAAAGCTTCAAGGGCGATGTGCTCTGCCATTCATCGGAATTTAAAGGTGCCAAGAGGAACGCCAAAGGAAGGAAAGCAGTTGTGATTGGTGCCTGCAACTCGGCGCTCGATATCTCTCAAGATTTCTACGAGAATGGGTACGACGTGACCATCATCCAGCGGTCATCGACAACCGTCATGAGCGTGCAAGCAGTATTAGATCTATTACTCAAACCGGGATACTACGAGGGTGGCCCTCCAACAGAGGAGGCCGACCTTCTTTCGTGGGGAAGGCCAGGAGAGATCTACAAGGCAGCCCAGGCCGACGTCAACGAGCTTCAACAAGTAGTCGACAAAGACGTCCTCGACGGTCTCAATAAGGCGGGCTTCAAGACCGACCGCGGCCCGATGAACTGCGGGTTATGGATCAAATATCTACAGCGTGGCGGGGGCTACTACATCGACGTGGGCGCCTCGCAGCTGATCATCGACGGTAAGGTGAAGGTGAAGCACGGCGTTAGTATCAGCGAGATTCTTCCGCACGGCATCAAGTTTGACGACGGAACTGAGCTGGAAGCGGACGAAATTGTATGCGCGACGGGATACCAGAACATGAGAACGGCTACCGAAGTCATCTTCGGAGAGAAGGTCGCTGGTAAGGTACCCAACGTGTTTGGCTATGATGAGGAGGGTGAGATGAGAGTCATGTGGCGACCTAGCGGTCACCCCGGCCTCTGGCTTCATGGAGGCAATCTTGCCCTGTGCCGATACTTCTCTAAACTCGTCGCCGTCCAGATTAAGGCCCAACTAGAAGGGCTATCTAAGCCGTCGTAGGCTTAAGATGGCATATGTGTATTTAATGTAGATTTATTTATGTAGGTATATATAAATTGGCTTCTATGTAGTAAATTCTGGTATTGTACGTAACTGGTAGCTACCTAATGTATAGAATCTAAGTGAAGCAATCACCACCTTAAAGTTCGGCACACTATGTACTTTTAAAACTGAGCACATAATAAGTGGGCTACGGATCCACTCGTAACATCTTGTAAGACCAGCTTGCCGCATCTTTGGACCAATCATGATGCTATTCGAGGTGTGGTGCTGTCCCGTTTGGGAAGAAACATGATGCTCCAAGCAGCTCGTTAGATGCGTAGGAAGGTCAAGGGTATTCGAATACGAGAGCACTGGCCCTGGTAATCGATTGCGTGATTCAATTGGCCAGGGCACGTATTGACATTGCTGACGGGAATTCTTAGACGCTGCTGCATCAAGATTTTACTCATCTGAAAGCGATTGTTATCTTCGACGATGGCTCTCTTTGAGAGCGGTACGCATGCGATCGCTAGTTTCTCGATGCTACTTTCAATCTTATTCGTGTGTTTGGCGCTCTTCCGAGTATGGAGTTTACGCAAAGCTCCCATCATTGTTATCTCCAACTTCCTGGGGCGGTTTAAGATAGTGGGTGAAGAAAAGCATGGCAACATGGCATTTACAGACTGACATTCATAGTAGCTTCTGTTAATTCTTCTTATTCTATCGAGTATAGGTCGTTTTGTTGCATTAGGGGATTTGACGCCTAATAGTAACTACGTCCGTGTCTCTCATGGTCTAGAGGTTGCTGCGGCTATCGCGCTCTGTGTTCTGTCACTGATAGAGCATCGGCGAAGCATTCAACCATCTAGCATAATCACTCTATACCTTACCGTGTGTATTATTCGGGATGTCCTTGAGGTATCTAGAAAATACCAAGGGCAGCGTAGTTGGCTTATGCAAGATCCAATTCTCGCGCAGATAACTCTAGAGGCTACTCTACTTGCGACCGAAAACCTACAAAAGGAACTAACGAAAGAGCACTCGGGACAGTATCTATCGCCCGAGGAAAGATCCGGAGTTTTTGGCAGGATATTCTTCTGGTGGATCAATCCAGTTCTCGTGGAAGGATATCACAATGTCCTTCAAAACTCTACTTTACCTTCTGTCGATACTAAGCTGCTATCGAAGCCCATTCGTACTGTAGCAATACGCGCATGGGAGCAAAGATGTACGTGCTTTAGTTTAGATCAAAAACTGAATGATGGCTAATTCTAAGGCGACTACGTAGTGAGACCCGAGAGCAGCATGACACTCCCAAACGTACTATTCGTGTCTCTTAAAAGGCCATTCTTGTTAGCCATACCGCCGCGACTCTTCCTTACTTTATTCCGATATTCGCAACCAATTATCATCCGTCAAAGTATCCAATATGTTACCAGAAATAAGCCGTCAAATCAGACATGGACTGCGCACAGTCTTATTACAGCTGCAGTTGTCGTCTATGTCGGCCTAGCTGTAAGCTTCCACAAAAGTTATGAAATGATCAACTACTAAGCCTATGATTAGATTTCTACTACGATTTATCAAAGTCAACTAAATAAACTAAGAGTAATGATACGGGCCGCTCTTATATCATTGATTAATGATAAAACTATGAACTCTTACGCCGAAAGTGTGAATGGGGGCAAAGTCTTGACACTTACAAGTACTGACGTGGATAACCTCGACACAATTGGCGAAATGTTCCACGAAACTTGGGGACAGGTTTTCGAAGTTGCCATCGGCATCGCGATGCTATCTTGGGAAGTCGGTTGGCTGGCCCCAGTACCCCTTTTTATCATTTTCCGTAAGTCAAAGTCACTTTGCCTAACCTTCTTGGTCACTGAAAGGTCCCTCCAGTTTGTTCTCGTGTGAGTCGGTATGTCGCGAAAAACCTACGATCTCGACAAGGCGGGTGGAATGAGGCAACGCAGAACCGCATTTCTATGACAAGTGCCGCTATCAGTGCTATTAAGAACGTCAAAATGCTTGGCCTGCAAGACGTGATATCAGAACGGATTCAAAGACTTCGACAAACTGAGCTTCATATGGCAGGCAGAGTACGATGGATGACAGTTGCTTATAACGCGTCCGCAAATGCCAATGGGATGTTCGCGCCAGTTATTACCATTGTACTCTATGCTATCTTAGCCAAGTTGAGAGGCAACCTACTGAACACTGAGACTGCATTCACAACTATTGCTATTCTAAGTATGGTGACACACCCAGCGAACATGGTTATGACAATCGTGCCTAGGGTTATTGCATCTTTTGCCAGTTTTGAGAGAATTCAAAGCTTTCTTCTTGAACCTCCTATCCAGGATTACAGGATTGAGATTATCAACTCACAAGCGACTACTGGATTAAACAACTCCGGAGATAATAACTTCCATCCTGCTCCACATCCAGCTTTCAGTGTAGTAGGGGTTTCTTTTGGGGGATCTCGCTCAGTTCTAAGCGATATTAGTTTAACCGTGCAGAAAGGGTCTATAGTCATTTGTTCCGGTTCAACAGCTGTCGGGAAGACAGCCTTAGTCTGTACTCTCCTAGGCGAGACTCCTTCGGTCGGAACTATTGCGGTATCCTCCAAACGTATTGGCTACTGCTCTCAACTACCGTGGCTACCGAATGGGACCATTAAGCAAGTTATAACTGGGTTTGAGGATTGTTCTTCTATTGCCGACGGAAGATGGTATGAGACAGTGATCGCTACTTGCTGTCTATCAAAAGACATTGAGATGCTTCCGAGTGGGGACGAAACCATCGTAGGGAGTCGAGGGGCTAATCTCTCAGGGGGTCAACGCCAGCGCCTAGTGAGTGTTTCCTCCTTCATAAACGCCATGTTCTGACATGATATAGGCCCTTGCGCGTGCAATCTTCTCCCGTTCGGAAATTCTCATTCTAGACGATCCTTTTAGTGCCCTAGATGGAAGCACCGAGCATCAAATCATCGAAAACCTGCTTAAGTCGGATGGTCTTCTCAAAACGCTTGGGGTAACGGTGGTATTGATAAGTAATTCCAGTAAATATCCCCTGAGATCCCCATTATTACTGCTAGCCTAATAACTTGACGAAGCCCAGTACTTTCGTTTAGCAGACGAGATTGTCATTCTTGAAGGTGGGCGCATTAAGGAGCAGGGCAAATGGAACGAGCTACTCTCTCGAGACCCTCAAGTATTGAAAATAATCCATCACGAGGATAACACTCATGGGAACAAGAATACCACTGTGGATAGTCCCAATCCCCTTTCGCGGCAGCAGCGATCATACGATGACACTGCTATTGACTCGAAGCGGAAAACAGGTGACTCGGCGTTGTATAGTAAGTTCAAAAACGAAGCCTAGATAAGGCAAGACGTATCTAATAAATAATAAACTGTAGGCTACTATTTAAAAGCGGCCGGAATAAGAAACTTCGCTTTCATGGTAACCTGCATCGCATCTTGCTCTTTTTTTGTTACTTTCCCCCAGTATTGGTTGAAACTGTGGACGGATTCGAGATCAAGCAATGAGTGGTTCTTTATTGGAGGATATATTACCCTAAACCTCATCGCTTGGGTTTCTACTAATGGAATTATGTGGTTCGTTGAGCTGCCTTACGAGTACCTAAGGTACATATAAAGTGACAAAACAAGACTAATATGATTCTTAGGTCTACCGTCATACTTGTTGCTCCTCATTCGGGACTTGTCTTACACTCGAAGCTACTCGAAATAATTACTCGGTAACGTGTACTGCCCTCCAAAGGCGATCAAGACACTAACTAACACATACTAGTGCACCTTTAATATACTTCTCGAAGACTGATAGCGGGTCAATCTTAAACCGGTATGCGCCATTTTGACATATTAATATTAGGAGACTGACAAACCCTAGATTCAGTCAAGATATTCAGCTTGTTGATAAGCAGCTTGCTTCTGCTTTGTCAACATTATTCGTTCGTAAGTAAAATGCATGGTTCAACGGCAAATGAATCGCTAATACTATCGTAGAGATATTCAAACTTCTTTTTCAAGTCATCTTGCTATTTGTTGTCCAAAAGCTACTAACGCTCACGCTGCCAATATGCCTCATAATTGTCTACCTCGTGCAGAAGATATATCTTCGGACATCTCGACAACTACGGCTCTTAGAGCTTGAATCAAGGTCCGCTGTTTTAATAGACTTTTTAGAGACGGTGGAAGGATTGCCTACGATACGCGCGTTTGCAGGTCAATCCAAGGCAGAGAATAAGCATCTGGAGAACCTGGACGAATCGCAGAAGCCATTTTACCTTCTTCTATGTCTTCAGTGCTGGCTCAGAATTGTTCTCGATCTGCTCATCGCGGGAATAGCTGTCGGGGTCATCGCCCTTGCTGTCACTCTCCGGACTACTACTTCAGGTGGTCAAGTCGGTGTTGCCCTAAACATTGTGCTCGTCGCCAACACTACTCTTCTCCGACTTGTTGAATCGTGGACTAATCTAGAGATATCTCTTGGGGCCATCGCTAGGATCAAGACATTAGAAGAGGAAGTCCCCCCCGAGAATCAGCCATCTGAAACTACTATACCCCCGGAGACATGGCCGTCTTCTGGCTCTGTCGAGATCCAAGATCTTACGGCCGCTTATAATGAGGAAACTACGGCGCTTAAAGACGTGTCCCTGCGGATTAAGCCTGGGCAAAAGGTGGTTGTATGCGGCCGAACCGGGAGGTAAATACTCATATGTGTACATTTCAGGGGCTGCGTACTAACTTCGTCTCTTGCAGTGGTAAAAGCTCTTTACTACTCACTCTTCTTAAGTTATTAGATACGAAATCGGGTTCAATTATAGTCGACGGCATAAATATCGGCCACGTGCCTCGTTCGACAATACGAGAACGCTGCTTTGTGACAGTACCTCAAGAGCCCTTGCTTCTCAATCAGCAAACCCTTCGATTCAATGTGGACCCAACAGAAACTCTCTCCAACGATACTATAATTGAAGCGCTCTCTAAAACGCGCTTGTGGCGCCATTTCAATTCTGCTTTGATCCCTGGTAGCCTGCACGACACCAGCTCGAGCACTCATCCGATCCTAGATCAAACACTTGCATCGCTCCCGTCTCTTTCGGTCGGACAGGGTCAGCTGCTAGCTCTAGCACGTGCACTACTACATGTATACACCATAAACACATTGTGTGCGAAACCGATAATTTTACTCGATGAGGCTACTTCATCCCTTGACTCGTCAACTGAGAAGCTGATACTCGATATTGTCCACGAAGAACTCACCTGCAAAGGCCATACTGTAATCATGGTTGCGCATAGGGTGGGTGCAGCCGTAGCCCATCTGAGGAAGGGGATAGATGTTGTGGTCTGGATGAAGGATGGAAGCATTGAGAAGATAGGGAATGCAGATGAGATTATGAACATAACAGCGCAAGTCATTACTCCCAATGCTCTTGGCGGTGAAGATGAGGAGAGCAAGTAATGCGAAGCAGGTAATTAGAAGATATATGGCAGTAGTCGACTCATTTTCTTTGAATACTAATGTTAATGGACGTCGCGTTATTTAAATGTCTAAAGAGATTGGGATAGTATATGGTGGTATGGGGCAATTAAAGATATTTAGATGCCTTAGTAACTTATGCGCTAAAATGAGACTCCTATATAGAATAAATAAGATACCTAATTGGCTTCTTCATTCCGGAATATAACTTAGAATGACACACCTGGTCCCTGTCGTAACGCTCGCGAGACTGTCCGCGAAGTCTCGTTATTCGTGTTGTACGTGCAGACCGACCAGTCATCGATCCGTGTCTGGCCCCATGCGTTCTTAGCTGATCGGTCGGGATAGCATTCTTCCCAGACGAGTCCGAAGTCCAACGTCAAACCATGGGTTAGAATACCAGTGCCTTTGCCGCTCTTGTCGCTTGTAGTCGCGCCGATGTTAAACGAGAGCTTTGTCTTGACGTCGCCCGAGCCCTCGCCACCATCCATACACGTTGACCACTCTAAGTTGGAACTGTTACCGCCGCTTACTTCGAAGTTGTCATCGAAGGTTCCTTCACCTCCAACAGCTGCCTTGGCGGTGTTATCGATCTATAGGCGCGTTAGTGGCCATACCATCATCTTAATGGGGGAAATCAAAGAGCTAAGAATGAGTAAACTCACCATGGTAGACATAGATACATTCCAAATATCAGGAGGTGCTCTTCCCGGGTTTAGCTTCCGATTCTCATATCTGAAAACCGTGTTGGCTTTCAACTGGTATAGCTGGACGCCATCCGTTGCATTGAGGTGTCCTCTATAAGTCACATCTCGGATCGCGAAGCGGTACTTGTACCACCAGGAGGTGAATTCTACAGTGAACTGACAACCAGCATATTCGTCCGTTCTACCATGTCCTTCTGTGCCAAATCGCATACCAGGAAGGCCCAGTCTGAGGCTATCTGGGAGGAATGTGATGTTCATGCTTTGTCCAGGGGCACATTGAGAAGGGGTGTCCGACACTACTCCGAGAACATACGGGAACTGCGGAGGCGGCGGGTCTCCTTCCGCGACGGCAGATATCGCCAGAAAAATGCCCGTGACGAAGCTTAGGGCCTTCATGATAAAAATTCTTTAGTAGTTGAAGTTTTTCCTGGTTCCGTTGATAAACAGTAGAGGGGTAAAATAGTAGACTGACTACGAACGTGAGATGTAACCGTGGGCATAGAGTAGTATTTTTAGATAACGTCGTAGAGCCTCCAAATGCGTCTTAAAAGATAGCTTCCGCCGGGATGATCCTGAGTTGCATCTTACCATTTCATTTATCCCAAATGCCTGCAGTCTTCCGGTCCCCAACCTTCTGGAACCGGATAATTGGCGTCAAGGATACCGGGAAAAGGAAATTTTTGACGGCTATCTTATTCGTCAACGATAAGATATCCGCAAAGATCAATGCTTAGCTGTGCATCAATTACCGGAAGTGACGTGCGATATAACTAGATACGTCCTAAATTCGTCCTTATGGATACATGAGTAGTAGTACGTAGCAGTTGATCGCCGGTGCGACCCGCAAGTCACATAGGCGCCTAGAACTTTTTCTATATAGCCGATCCTGAAGCCCTCGTAACTTCGAGGTCATTTGTTCTGGTTCATTTGAGCTATTAGTAGAATCAAACGCAGTCTAGACTTGGGTTTACGAGATCCTCCGGTTAAAGAGAATCCCCTATAATTATGACCCGGTAATTTTCGGGAGACGAGGCTTAATAATAGCCTGGTCTCGCTATAGTAACGGCTGTGAGTTCTGAGGATTGGCTAGATTTCCGTTGCCATGGCTGTAACTCATGTGAATTAGATAGATAGGTGACAGCTATTGCAAATTGAAGTTTAGTCTTTTACGTGCATCTTAAATAGTAAACGAAAACGAGTTTATGAACTGGCATGGTATTAAGTATACATCTATATAATCTGATAGTAAATATTGTGTATGTAAATGATGACCTTGTTAGAACGAGATCATACAGTGTAGAAGTAGTTCAGCCAATATATTGGATATATAGTAATTTGAGATATACGGGACTAGGGAATAGTTAGTAGGACTTGAAGTATACTAACAATAACTATAGTTAGTTAAGCCGATATTACTTTAGGAATAGGAGAGATACATTGGTAATTAAAGTAACAGCATAGACATGTGCTTTACAACATGGGAGTTAAGTCGAAGCACCGTTACTGGGGCCACCTTAGTGGGGACCACCCATTTCCCATACAAAATCAACAAAATCGTATATTCATAACTCATCCAAGAAAATAGGTAAAAATATTAGGACTTTATATTTAAATATAGTAAAGTGTTGTTATTGTGTACAAAATTTGAAAAAAAGATTGGATCAATATTCGTGGCAAAATGATTACAAATGAACACATTAACAAATACACATACAAATTTATATGTATAGCTGTTAATAATTATTAATGCTTATAACTTTGCTAATTTATATAGTAAAAATCTCATTTTTATATAATTGGATAGAGAATTTTTCAATGCAACTTTTAATATTAAAAGTAAGTGTATAGCCAATTTTTTGTGGAAGTTATGAGCCTTTATAATAAAGTATATAAAATTCCCATATATTTTTGAAAGTTTTTAATGCTAAAAAATGACCAAAAACAACATTTTTTACAATTTTACCACAGAATGGTGATAAAAAAAGTTTGAAAAAAATTATATAGGCTATTATAGTAGTAAGGAATTAGAAAATAAAGACTGGATATTTTTAGCTATTTTCTTGGATGAGTTATGAATATACGATTTTATTGATTTTGTATGGGAAATGGGTGGTCCTTACTAGGGTGGCCCCAGTAACGGTGGTTTGACTTACAACAAGTCGTACTCGATAATTGAAATTTCTAACAATATGTATTTTATTGTGCTGATATTCTGCTGATGATATTTTACGCAGAATGCCGTCAAAAAACGTGACCCATTGGAAGATCTACCTACCAAGTATGTGTAGGTAGTGAATCGATCTGTATTACCATTAGGAGGTACCGAACGTTACCTAGGTACCTCCTAAAGTCCCACAACCCACTAGCGCCACGCTTTAATTAAAGAAAACGGCCTGTTGGAATTGAGAATTAATCTCAACCAATAAGAATATAACATGGCTACTAAAAAGGCAAACATTTTTTTTAAGTTATGAATGATTGTGGATTTGTGGATATTTGAATATTTGAAAATTGGAAATACCTTTTAAGTGTAAGTAAAGAGGATACTTTAATTTCACGTATTTTTGATCGTACTGGCTGTCCTTAATTCTGGACGTTTCATTAAGACGCGGTGTCCGAAGAGCGCGAGATGCGATGCCAATTCTCTATTAAGTTTAGTATGATGCCTGCATTATGATTCACATGTTGGGGTAATTCGTACGGATCCGTAGCCAGGGACAGTAAGACGTGCTGCTTAGAAGAAGGTCAGATTCGGCAGTTACTCAATCACTCGATCCTATTCTAGTAACGTAACGAATAGAACACGTTGCTTTAGGTAACTCTTTGAGTCATTTTATTCATAATAATCCCGAGTTTCTATTTTTTTTGATGCGGGAAGTCTATGCACCCCAGTATACCACGAGGACATGCATTGCGGGATGGTGCGGAGAAAGGCTGCATCAAGAAATCTCCAATTCCCCGGATTGGATCTTAGTAGTAGGTAGGGTTACATGGTATAATGTGTTTGTTCGCATTCTCGAACTCGTGCTACTAGCGTCTTCACTAATAAGATTTACAATACAACTGTTTTCAACAAAGGACTATTCTGCGCCCCGTGGAGGTTTATTTTTTTCGTCTTCTTCACATAGTCGGCAATATTATTACTGGATATTATGAAACTAAGCCGAACAGCCGAGGTTTTTTTTTTCTTTTTCTCCTTTTTTTTATGAAAAAAAAATAAGCCTTCTAAGGTAGCCACACTATTCAGCCCAAGCTTTTTAAGACGAATAGACGACTTAATTCAGCTTCCTAACAGAAAAATGACAACGTCTCGTGCCACAAGCCTCTCATCTTTCTTTCCCGAGAATACGCCCGGATCCAATAGGTAGAGATTAAACTTCTAAGATGACCAGTTTCTTTGACGTCATAGCCACCACTGTAGGTTGTGTAATGAAAGACATTGTTTAAAAAAGATATTCAGCAAGCCAGAGACATGCTAAAGAATGCTCTTACGGAAAAGCCGTCTTAGGTCTTACACATCTAGAGCACCTCTAATTGGTCCCCTAAATAAACATTAGTGTGCTATCCTTAACAGAATTATCCTGCATATAGCAAGCCGCGTTGGAGTTAGAACACGGCTGAATACTTACCACTCCGGCTAGAGCGGGTAGGTCAAGTGCTCAAAAATTCTAATAGCCCCCTACGTCAATGTAGTCTGGGCGAATAATACAATAAGAGGTAGCTTAGTTATACAATGGGGGCTATGAGCTTACAAAGAACTGTGCACAATATGCCTTGTCATAGCCCCGGTGAATCAACATCTGTGACATGCCGGCCAACCTATAAGTATCTGCAAGCTGCTGTCAGCTAAATTAAGTTATTGATCATCGGTAAGGCTACTTGAATTTTACCGCATTTATCCAAATGGCTACTATAATAGTTCCGGTCCTCTGGGTCCTGTTAAGCTTTTTTGCATATCAAGCTAACAGTACGCCGTATGCAAAGCGACCTCGCCAATCTACGGGATGTACCGCAGACTATTTTAATAGCATTGTCCCTTCTGGTATCTCTATAGAGAGCGTCCGAGATGTCACGAGCGGGACTTTTACGGAGCAGGGAAATCTAGGCTATCCCACATTTGCATCTGGACTTCCGTCGCTCTGCGCGGTTATAGTCAAAAATGAGACGGCAAATTATCGCTTCGGAATGTTCCTTCCAGACACCTGGAACTCAAAACTCCTTGTCATTGGGGGCTATGCGTTTCTCGGCGGTATTAACTGGCTCGACATGGGAGCTGGAGTGCAATATGGCATGGCTACTCTTGCTACCGACACCGGGCATAACTCGGGCCAAGGGGATATGACATGGCCAACTACTGAACAGCTCCGAGTCAACTGGGCTTACCAGGCAATGGAGGGTTCTATAACTCTAGGCAAAACGCTCATTCAAGCATACTACAACGAGAAACAGATTACGTATTCGTATTATAGTGGATGCTCGACCGGAGGTAGGCAAGGCCTCAAGCAAATCCGTAAGTAGTACCAGCAATTATTCTAGTTACCCCTATCTACATTTCTTTGTTTCCGGAATATATATTTCCAAATATATAGGCTACTTGTGGGAAGGAATATTTGCTTACTTATTGCCTTAGAGAGAGACCCTGATATGTTTGATGGGGCCTTGATTGGGGCACCAGCATGGGATACGAAGAATTTGATGCCTTGGATTTCTAGGTTAGCGATGTGGAATCTCCCGGAGGATGCCGAAGGTAGCATTAGTGACCAAGCTCTCTTCTCGCGGCTCCAGGCAGAGGTGTTAGAACAATGCGACCCTCTGGATGGCATGCAAGATGGCATCGTTAGCTCGCTCTCGGCATGCAGAGAACAGTTTGATATTACACAGATTAGCTGTGACGTATCAACAGATAAGACCGCCTGTTGGACTCAGGCACAGATAGAAACGGCGCAGAAGATGTACAGCGACTACATTATTGAGGGCGGAGAGCTCGTTTACAAAGGGTTAGACTACAGCTCTGAGGCGGAATGGGGGACGTTCCTAATGCCAGCCAACCCGAACGACTCTAATAATGTCAGAAGAGGCTTTGATGCGCAGTACGAACGGACATTCATGGGCTATGGGAATGACTGGCAGATCACTTCATATAACGACAGCGTCGTGGATGATGCTAGAGCTCGTGATAAGAACTCGGTGCAGGCCTCCGCAGATCAATTTGACCTTGGCAGCTTTCGTGGTAAAGGCAAAATCAGTACGTATGATCCAAAGAACTGTGTCTTCCCTTTCCCGGAAACACTCCTCCGATTGCATAGAGGCGAACTGACTTTTGTAACACAGTTATGTACGGGGGGCTCGCAGACGCCACTGTACCAGTGCAACACACAACTCTGTACTACGACCGGACGATAGAAGCTATGGGAAGCGTTGATGATTTCTTCCGATACTTCCAGATTCCAGGGATGGGGCACTGCTGGGCTGGTCCCGGTAGTCCTAATTTCAACGTTCCGTGGATGATCGCTGGCGCAGGCCAGGCAGCGCAGGTACCACCTTACAATGCTGGGTCTTCGGTCCCCGGCTATAAGGACAAGGAGCACGACGCCTTATTAGCGTTGATGGACTGGGTCGAGAACGACAATGCGGTGTCCCAAATCATCGCGACGGGATTCAACTTCTCGGATTCAACTGGGCAGGCAGTTGTGATGCATAGACAACGTCCTCTTTGCGCGTTCCCACGAACGGCAACATATGATGGTCAAGGTCTTCAGAACGATGCTTCTAGTTGGCAGTGCACGTGAGCGTCTGCAGATCTTAAATGGGTGCATCACTACATACATTAGGTACCTATTCAAGCGGTACCATATTATCCTCTTACAAGCTACAGAAATGATAATAGCTAGCACTTGTGGAATACTTGTTGATTTGTGATGGAGGACACAAGAAAATGTAGGTACATATGCAATACTATGTAGAGGAGGACTGAACTAGGTAGGTATATAAGAGCACTAATAAGGAAATATTAACATGGTTAAATCTATTCAGGGGTATGTACGGAAGTCGCCTTCAAAAGTTATGTCCATACCAAGCACCTGTCAGCTTTGACCACAGCTGCCGGGCATCTGTAGCGCAGCTTGACCCACTTGGCACTCAAAAGTTATAAAGTATATTAAAATTTACCCTTTATTATATAAATAATTACACAACCAAATATATTTTTAAAATGTAGCGGCTGGTTATATTATAAATATAAAAGCTTCAAGTTATTATGGTATTTATCCTAATATTATAACTTATATATTTAAGATTAAATAAATAAATGAAAATGATGTATAAAAAGGAGTACATTTGCTATTACGGCCGACAGCTGTTGCCAAGATTCGCCAAGCTTACAGGGGCTGACCTATGGACAAAACTTTTGAAGGCGACTTCCGTACCTAGGTACATAGTGTATATATAATCAGGGGCATAATTAGGGGTATAATTAGGGGTATAATCACGTGATATTTCTGCTTACCCATGGCCCTCGGTAAGTTTCTAATACGGTATAGTTGCTTATTCCTAATCCCGAGGTTATATTATTCCATGTCTTTTTCTACCTATGGTAGCTTATCTGCATCGCGTACAGAGGAATGTCTTATTTCGCTTCTTACATGTTTACTATTTAAATGGAGTTTCTGTATACCTTAGGTACCTAACCTATACCTCGTTTCGTTAAAATAAAATCTAGAATGTCGTCAAACGAGCGGCTCCTAGCTCAGGAGGTTTTCAGATTGGCCGCTCTTCCAGACGCAGTCGAGAATGGCAACATTGTAAAGCGGTATATGAGCCAACGGAGCGCATGGCATCCGGAAGGCGACGTCTCAATTGCGAGCGAGACTGTATACTCGGGATTGAAAAATGGGCCTTCAAATCGAAAAGTGGCGTTTGGTGGACACGTGTACAGCCAAGCGGGAATAGCTGCATCTAAAGCCCTTGGTGATATGCAAACTTTGCGGGCTGGTGCTTCTCGAAAGGAAATCGGTATTCATGTAAGTCATCCAAGCTCGCCAACGTAGTCCATTCTAGCAAATATGTAGACATAAGCCGTAGGAATAGGTTTACTGATAGTTAAACGTAGACTATTCATGGGTACTTTTCGGAAGCTGGCCTTATAGATCGGCCATTTATATACAGTGTGACTACTCTGGCGCCAAACCCTTCATTCCCAAATTTTCTAGTCACAGTGCGACAGCCTCTATCATCAAGCACAAATCCAGCAGGAGATCATTTCCCGCCTGCCGACGCCGAGCTTCCTCTTGGCCCAGTTTGCTTCAATGCTTTAGTATCCTTTAGACCGTCCGTAGTCTCACAGCATGTAGCCCAGGAACTACCAGCGCAGACACGGTTCGCAGATATCCTGAGCTCCCGGCCCCCCTCGGCATGGGATCCGGCGCCACATCTAGATATCGCCAAGACCATAGACGAGTTTCCGATGCGGAACCCTGGGACCTTTCCCGCAGTCGATATGAAAAAGGTCGACCTCACCGCCTTTAATGAGGGCAAACCGCTCCATGAGCGGCGGGAGCTTTTGTTATATCGGCTGCTTGCCCCTTTACCCGCAGATCACCCCGATTCGCACATTTGCATCCATGCGTACGAAGCGGATAGGAATGGGTTGCTCATGATAGGTAACCATGTCGGGTTTGGGTACGACTTCGGTCGCGCCGCTAGCCTGAGCTATTCTTTTGTGGTGCACGTCAATCCCGAGGACGCGGTAATGTCTTATGGCGAAGATGAGTGGTGGATTCAAGAAGCATGCTTCCCTCGACTGGAAGCAGGGAGGGCGGTCATTATGAGCAAGATCTGGAGCCCGAAAGGTGTGCATGTCGCAACGGAATATCAAGACGGCTTATGCCAACGCCAATGGAAACCAGGCGAGAGAAAGGGGAAGCTGTAAATGCTGACTTCCAGGATAACGATATATTACACCTGGTACGATTATTGTTAAAGTTGATAGTGAGGATAACTAGCCATTGACACCAGTTAAGGATAGGTCGGTAGGCTTTCATTTTTCTAGATATTTACAAGATAGACCAATGATTAGAGGTCATCATACGAAGCATACCGACCTATATATACCTGTTTAGCGCCAAATTTTCTTCGGCCATCGATACGCAGTAGAATAGTTCATAGATATATCCAATATCAAGCAGCTATTTCGAATTTACCATTGACCTTAAACTACCTATGAAAGGCTATCGCAGTTATTCGTCGCTTAGATTTTGTTATATACATCGAACGCAGCGGGGTCGCGTACCTTGTTCGTGGTATCCTAAAGCTTCAGTTCTCAAGTGCAATGCCGCTATCGTCTAAGTCCGAATTTTCCTCCTGCGGAATGACAAAGGGGTTCTCGCTAACAACTTTATCAACTTCCACACATGCATCATAACCATATAACCAGGATTGCACCTGGGGACAACACCAGCGAATTGGAAAAGGGGCTGTCTTGACTTCCTTGTCTATCTGCGACAATAGTAACTCATCCCGTGTCCGTTGCTTAGGGCCATCGATCATATGAAATACGTCGCGCTGGTAGTTGTCAGCCAGATTTCTTACTGGGCTATCATATAATCATATATGTAACACCCGGAGGCGATAGTAACAAGAGTCTTGATAGGTATGCCTCGGTCTTTCCGAAAAACATAGGTATTAACTTACTTGTCCGAAGGTTTCTTTTACGATAGCGTCTCCTCGTGGTTTTCGAAGTTGCTCGTACATCCTCAACGCCTTGCCGATCTGCTCCTTGGACTGGATATGTCTCAATAAACGGCCAAGAACGGCGCCGTCTTCGATGGCAGAGTTGGCCCCCTGGCCGAGATATGGCAGCATAGGATGACAGGAGTCGCCGCTTGGATAACAAATTAGTTTAGGTAGGTTATCAAGCAATAGCAAAACTTACACGAAGGCAAAGTTGCCATTGGGAGACTCGTGGATCCATCTTCGCATCTCTTTACCTAGAATCAAACTATTATTAGATTTCCGGTAGTTAATATCAACAGAAATAAGTATCTTATCTGAAAACTTACGGTGCATCAACTTCCATTTTTTAACAGAACTAACGAGTCCAAGGAACTTGTTTAAAATCGGATCCCAATTCCTAAAAAGCGCTTTCATCTCTTCCACAGAGCCTGCTTGACGGCTGACACCGCTTGGTAAGTCATCCGGAGCTATCAGCACCAGATTAAACTCAGTTCCTCCTCGGAGCGAGTATCCGACAACGTGTGACTTAGGGCCCATCCAGATATTACACTTTGGGTTACTTACCCATTCTCTCAACTCAGGGTCCTCAATTTGATCGAGTTTGAGAACTAATCGATATGCTAAATCACCGGTCGGTCTTGGGACGCCTTCAAAGTCTTTTGGGAGGAATTGTGCCCGGCAAAGAGACCATAGGCCATCGGCAGCAATAAATAGGTCTCCCCGTATTTTCGCCTTTGATTGATTTGTGATCTCCCCCGTCTCGAAGTCCACGCCGCTTATTCTCTCCCTAAATCGAAATTGTACGCCAAGTTCTATAGCACGTGCGTAAAGTGCTGCTTGGAAATCAATCCGGTGCAACTCGATGAAAGGAGCACCATATCTTGCTCGTATCTTCTCTTTCCAGTCTTCCTCTACAACTAAGACTTCACCAGAGTATCGGCGAACGGTTAAAGATGTAGGCTCAGCAGCCGAAGCCCACAAGTCGTCCGAAAGGCCCCAACGTTGTAGTATCCGTGAAGAGTTTGGTGTAATCTGTATCCCAGCCCCTATCTACAATTGTGTAAATAAGGAGAAAAGTTCATAAGGTATTTCTATATGATTGTGTTACCTCATGGAGCCCTTCTGCTGTCTCGAATATAGTCACATGGTGGCCAGACAATGCGGTTTCTATAGCAGCCGCTAGACCACTTATGCCAGCGCCTATGATAATAACATCTAGTCGGACAGTTGGATCGAGAGTCCCAGCCTGAAGTTCCCTTATTAGTGTTTACTCTCTTACATAGACTTAGACGGGTATAACGTACCATCGCAAAGCTACTAATATCTCAATAACTTCCCACTCGGAGTTAGTGTAATATTATTGTTACTTTCTACACGACCATGATTTACGAGATGATGAGAAGGGACTAATTACCCCAACATGTTACGCTTAGGGTAAGAATGGTATATACTTGGCCTCTATATTACTGGGCTCCCCCGCTTCCCGGTTAATTCACTCGCGGAAGCTAGGTAACATTGCCCAAAATCATTATCGGAGAAGCACAACCTCTATTCTCGTTCCGCCACGATGTACATTTAGATCAATACAATTATAAGGCACTTAGTTAAACTATATACTCATTTATAAGTTGCTATAAGTGCATAGAGAAGCTAGACATAATACGGTCTAGAGCGGCTCCCTTTGACCTATGATAACGGTACTAGATTAGTCTCGACGGTACAAGGCCCCTTCTTTTCTTCTCGTACACCCGTCCCAGAAATACGGCCACATACGCGTCTAGTACAGCTGGCTCAGGCTCAAATATGAAATTCAACTGGAAGCTATGGTGGTGTGAAACGAACCTAGGTAAGATACTATGTTACGAAGTCAGCATTTCAACATGCGATTAATCCGTAGAGTACCAGTATATAATCGCGAATACTGGAAAATTTGAATTGCCTTGCTTGATGATTATCTATTAGAGTCCTTAATTTCTAAGAACGCGTTATTAACTTCTACTTGATAATATATTTTATTTTATCGACCAGTAGCTACCTAGAGGCAGTATCTAAGCCGCCTTTTGGTCGACAATAAAGGCATCGACAAGTTTAGGACATGAGCTCTGCACCGAAAATAGGCTTACGATCACGATGTAGAATATTCACTCTCCCCGAAGCACCGGATGAGGTGACGGACCCATCATAGCCAGACTATATTACACGAATCTAAACTAAAATTTCTTCCCTGACATACTGTCAGTCTTCTCTTTCTTCCTGTTTAATAGCTCCTCTTCCTCTCGCTGGATATCGGCGTCAACCTTTGCGCCTCGTGAAGGCTCGTTCCCATGCATCGTTGCCTATAGTTATAAATGTAAGCAAGGAGAGACTAGTAGAGCGAGCTTTGACTTCTTAAAATAACATACACGGTAAGTGGGATCGTGCTTATATCGCTCAGCAACATCATCCTGGGTCTGTTCCCAACAAGAGGTTAGAGCTAGTATCAAATAAACTAGGTAGCGTTTTATGGGGTTGCTCGTTGGACGTACATTCTCATCGAGCATCTGGTTCATCGCTCTATTTTGATCCTCTACGAACAATGCATTAGTAGCAAGAGAGAAACCATGGTGAGTTACAACGTACTAGGTCTATAACCTTCGGCATTACCCGTATGATGCTTGTTTTCATTCGCTATATCTGCTCGGCCATAGTTGATCTGGTCGCCTTGCTCATAAACACCAGAACTTCCGTGGCTGCCGGCCATGATGATGATGTTCTCAATAATATATTATGTAGGTACCAGTACCTAAGGTATACGACCGTTTAAGAATTGATAGTTAGCAGATAATTTGACAAGAAATATGCGCTTGGGTTTTATTGAAGATTAATAAAGTTAATTGCTCAGAACGGAGTTTCACCACACTTTTATGGACGTTACTGGTATGTATATCGCCATACTGTGCACAGTTTGTCTTACTGTCGTCGCTCAGAAATTAACGTCATTATTGCGACGTTTCTGGAACAGCTATTCCGTACGGCTTATCGCTTGGATCGATCCAAAAGGTTAAGGGGTAAATGACTCTTATTTAATGCTGATCTGTCCGAACCTAGATGTTATGATTTCGAAATGTTGCAGTTTAATGATGTCATGCATCGAAATTATGACAATACATAGACTCGTCAAAATCCATCCGTAGGACTAGATTGGATCACACAACGCTCACTGTGATTCACAAAAATCGCAGCTCACTCTTCAACTATAGGATCCTTGTTCTGAGTAATGAGACGATTGCTCAAAATGATATTCCCTCCATCTTTACCGACTATACCAACCATCGTTGCCCCTCTTTTCGTTCTCCTCTTATCGGTAGTCTCGGTAAACGCAGAAAGATATATCTCGAGAGTCCAGGATATACCTAAAATCGGCTTGGGCACTTGGCTCTCCGACAGAGAAAAGGTAGCATATATCTATTAAAGTAGGATGTAACTAACAATGAACTTACGGTATCTTACAGGTTGCTCATGCCGTTGAATATGCCTTAGATTCGGGATATAATCATATAGATGCCGCTCTCATATATCGTACGAACTGCCAGTAACCCCTAATTCGCATGGATAATACTAATGCGATGCATAGGAAATGAAGACCAGACTGGAAATGGAATAGCTTGGGCAGGTGCTTCTCGAGAAGATATTTGGGTGACAAGCAAGCTGTGGAATGACCACCACCGCCCTGACCAAGTCCAAGAAGCAATTCAGAAATCGATATCAGACCTTGGCGTGGAGTATTTGGATCTCTACCTCATGCACTGGCCGGTCGCCTTTGTTCCTGGTGAGGGAACTAAGATAGATGAGGAAACATCTATCTTTGACACTTGGCGGGCCATGGAAGACCTTGTCAGAGCCAACCTGACTAGAAAGATTGGCATTTCCAATTTCGCCAAGAAGGACGTCGAGAATATTCTAGCTATGTGCACAATATGCCCATACGCACATGAATTCGAGACGCATCCTTACCTGCAGCAGCAAGATTTTGTTGATTTCCACAAAGAGGTCGGCATCAAGGTCATTGCATACTCACCACTTGCGAATACGAATCCAACCTACGATAGTGGTGTCAGACCCATTATGAAGGATCCACTCTGGAAGTTTATAGCTGCGAAGAAGGAAGCAACCGTGCCTCAGGTTTTGCTGGCCTGGGGTATCCAGAGAGGAACCACTGTGATTCCAAAGAGCGTTCACGAGCAATATATCAAGGAGAATCTTGAGGCATTAAATATAAAACTTACGGAGAATGACATGAAGTCTATTGCTGCCCAAGACAAGAAGACAAGGATGAACGACCCTGGAAAAAGTTGGGGTATAAAGCTGTTCGCAGATTTAGACGATCCTACGGATCTAGATGGGAATGGGAAGAACAAGGAGCTATGAACGGACCCTAAACATGATGTTTCGAATAGTCCTTACACGTTTAGGATCGAGTGTCGTGAAGTTCTTAAAGGAGGGGATGTAATTTAACTTGAGATTGCCTTACTCGTAATAATACTTAGAAGTTCTTCGGTCGGTCCTTATAGTCCGTGTTCTAACTAACGGCCAATGCCTAGTAAATGTTAGTTATAGCTAAATAATATATAATTGTCTATATATAAGACTCAACTGAACAGGCCTCTATCCTACTCTTGACACCCCGACTTCTACGTCCAGGTACTGCTCAACTGGCTGTGTGGTGTGTTGTTTTGACCGTAGTTTCAATACATCAAAGTTCTGATATGTGACCACCTCTTAGGTGCCTATAGGACAGTTCAAGCTATGTTTTTGACTCCCCTTTTCTCTCACATTAGATAGATTAGTTGCCTAGTTCTATAATAACGTCAGTGTTATTTAGACTTAAAGTCTCTAGAAAGGGAAAATTATTTCATCGTCTTACCGTCTCCTTAGAATCAGAACCTACTATTATACATAGTAGTCTCCGTTTAAGACCAGCACGTCCACTTTCATCATTTCCCTTTCTCCTTGAGCATCCCGCTAGATCCGTGTTCCCTTCCCCACTTCGTGACTTTGGTATCCATTTCCCATCTTATAAACACCATCACCACAAGAACGATCCACCCCAGTAGAGTATTAACTAATCCCTTCCAAAATCCTCCACGTGTAGAACCACCTAGTACACTTGTCATCACAAGCTTAATGATGGTGCTCGTAGGTACTAGGTCCTCGCCACTTTCCAAGCCACGAATTGCGCGCCGCGCAACCTCTGCTGGTTCCAGTATCTGATCCCCCTCCTCGAGGGATTTCGTGAGGTCGGTCTTAAGGCTGTTCTCTTCTTCTAAACCCTGAGTGGGCATGGTGGCGGGGAAGACAGTATGCACACGCACACGGGGGATATTGGGGTGAGCCGCCGCGTAGAGGTTCATCTCTTGAGACAACGAGTCAGAAAGCGCACGGATAGCTGCTTTAGAAGGGCTATAGGGTGCGAAGCCGGCAAAACTGTATAATGAAACGAACGAGCCGGTGAAGACGAGATGGCGAGCCGGTAGTGAAACGGCCTCTATCTCTAGCTGAGACTTAGATTCTACACGTATCTCAGAGCTCAGTGCATCTGGATTAGGTCGTATCCAGGCATTGAGCACGGCGTGTGCCATGTATGCACAGGAGAAATAGTTGCTATCCATCATGGTTTGAAACTGCTCTGGCGGAGTATCGATATAAAGTGTCGCATGTGCGCTACCGCTGCAACACCAAACAACATCTGGAGGTGCGCCATGATTCCATGCGATAGATTCAGTAACCACGCGAGCGCACTCAGCAGAAGTGGTCACATCAGCGCTGATGTAGTGGAAACGTTGTGTCTCAGGCGAACGGGCGCCTTTCTAAGTCGCTTATCAGCATAAATTGAATATTAGCAAATTAATAGGGATATTGCCTTACTAAAATATAACTAATACCTTCTTGTAACTTGGCTTCGTTGCGCGCGACGATAATAACATTAGCACCTTTCTCTGCCAATTGGCGAGCGGCGTTTAGTCCGAGGCCTCTAGAGCCGCCAGTGATGAGGACGGTCTATGAAGAATATTAGTTAGGTTAATCAAGATTAGAAAAAGAGAGAAAGACATACTCGTCCTTGGACCGGGAATTCATTCCGAGATAAAAACGACCCCATCTTTCCCAGACCTCAAGCAAAGGTTGCCTAGAGTTAAGATGGCCGACGTTGTTCCGCTTACTTCTAAAATTGCAGAAAAGGGGGCAGACCTAGGTACCTAGCTGACTTCCACTTTCCAATGTTTTCTGGTTCCACTTTTACAAAGCTTTCTATCCAATTAGACTTCTCTATTTTTAAATGAATTCGAAGTACAAAGCTTACGTACAATTTGAGGGCTTCTAGATATAGGAGGTGTGTAGTACTTCACCAAAGGCACTTACACGTAAAAGGCCATTCAGATCAGCGAAGAATATAGTTCATAACATTATTAATTAAATAGGGTTGTCCTCATTTTCCCGGTTCCATGGTGGGGGTTATTTAATAATATAGAATATAATACCAATACCGCAACGTACCGCAACGTACCACAACATGTGAGCCTGTTATTCGATTGGATAACTTCTATCGTAGACAAATATAATATATGTGGCTTGGGGGTTGCGTAGCATTCTATTGATATTAATATATATTTACTAACACACTATTACATCACAAATATAGGGTTATCTCTCAGTTAAGTCTTTGGCGTGGGTGTAACCTCGCAGCCGCACTACACAGCCTAGATTATTACTATAAGCTTATGGTTGCGGATATATCCCCAATATATCCATAGACATTTGTTTCAGAGCTTTCTAGTTATTCTCATTTAATCTTGATCACAGCCAAGAGCTAATAGATCATGGCACCTATCTCAACACCGCCAAAAAGCAGTAATTATGCGGCATCAGTTGTCAACAGTGTTGTCATCGCCCTTGCTATTATATCTGTTGCTCTACGATTCTATACTAGGAAGATCAGTGGATCAGGCTTGGGAGCGGATGACTGGTTAATTTTAGTCGCTGCCGTCGCAACCCTTGCTTCAGCAGTGATTCTCCTCTGGGGTATGTTCAGCAACTACCGATATTGTTATCCTCTTAACATCGAAAATAGAAAACTTCCGTAACCCGAATGGCGTCTGGGTTTCAGAAAATGATACCCGGGAATATGTTTATACAGCCGAAGATGTTTTTTACCTCCAGCTTTTATACGCGTTTTCTATTATTTACTTCAACATCGCGGGCGCTACGAAGTTAGCAATATTGTTGATGTACTACCGCATTTTTTCCATTAGCACATCTTTTCGTTATCAATTGTTATCCTCGTTCGCCTTGGCTATTGTATGGTGGATTGGCTGTACTATTGCTACATCAGTAAAATGTATCCCCCTCGAATGGAGCTGGAACAACAGCTTAACCGACCCAAGACATTGCTTCAACTACAATATCTTCTGGATGGTCTCTGGCACATACGAAACCTTCCTTGACACAGTGATCTTAATATTGCCTATTAGCTTTGTCGTGAGAATGCATTTGTCAGCCAAGCGGAAAGTCACCGTTTCGATTATTTTCTTGCTGGGTGTTATGTACGTTACTTCTTATTGGATTTGCTTTTAGAAATTATACTAACGTTCCATTCAGCACTATTGTGACAGGGCTAATTAAGGTAGTTCTGAGCTACCCACCCGACAGCCGCTTGCCGTCGTACTCGAATACTGAGGTATGGACGACTGTACATGCTAGTCTGGCTATAGTATGTGCCAGCCTACCTATCTTCGGACCCCTGGTTAGGCGCATTTCACAAATATCGAAATTCACGAAAGCCTCAAATCAACTATTTACCCCTCAATATTCTCCAGGACAATCAATCACTATTTGCCCTGAAGCGGTACCTGAGTCATCTTTCTACCAGAAAACATCTACAGGAGGCTTGCCTTGAGATTGCCCTAATGTGAGGCAGGAGAGGACAATATGATATACCCCACTAGTTACATCTATTTAACGTAACAGAATAAATAATATAAGCCACGATTCACAAGTAGAAGAGGCCACTGAGTACAATAAGTACTAACTAATCTATAGTATAGTTGACTGTGTGGAATAAGGAGTATAGAAACAACTACACTGTTCCGCAAGGATTTCTAGATCCATCTACCTAGGCTATGGAAACTGAGGACTATACACATTGAAAGTACCCTTTGTTCCAGATGTCTTATTCACAATTCTAATAGTAATTACTGCTAGATCCTCAGGTGCCTAATGTTCTCGATGCCCTAGATACCTTAGGTACCTATGCAGAGAGACAAAAGTTACCTAGTCATGACTCTGAGGTGTAAAGTACCTAATTAAAGAAAGGTCGAGCCATATTAGCTCCCTCAGTAATTAAGATAGAACCGGACGGCTCCCTTTCTCAGTCAGGCAGTCATATATATACTATGTGTAACCTATGAAAGAATTCTTTCTCCTATCTCAAAACTATTATTTACGAACTTCCTATATCGTGAATCTGCTGGTATAGCAAATATCCATCTTAGTTAACTTGCGGTATCATATCTTTGTTGAGTCTTATCACTTGCAACGCATGGGTGGTATTGTCGGCTTTGGTCTGCTAACTACTAGGTATCAATCTTGTTGCCTTAAGATTAAACAAACCAACTTGACTGCGCAGTGAGGCCCTTGCTTCTTTGCCAATTTATCGTTATAAATAAACGAACATTTACCTATCCAAACATAAAAATATATCATACCTCTACAGAAATCAACACACCAGCATATAAGCCTCATAGTAGATATCAACTTTTACATATCTCACCCGACTACGACATAACGATATGGATAACCTTCAAGCATCTCAGGCTACCGAGCAGGATCCTCCTCCTGAGGTAGTCAGTAGATGGTACGGACGACCTGACAATCAGGGTCAGTTGCAATGGAGCACATCAACCAACGATAGTGAGGAGCTTTCAGACTTGCTGGCCCGTACTTCGAGCATCCCCATCATTCATCGCTTTGCTATGAAACAGGGCATTTGGGAAACCGATTCTATCACCATCCAAGACCCATATATGAGAAAGAGTGAGTCCCCTACGCCATATCTTCACGAGATCATGTTTAGAGCCATAATTCACACATACTATATATACTAAAGTCGTCAGTCTCCTCTCATATGAAATGGATGAGACTTCTACTCGAATCAGACAAAGCTAATTATTATAATATAGTTCTTAAAGCTGCCCTCCAAGAGTATCAGGGTCTCGACTTAAAGAAGGAGGAATGGACTTTCCAGCCTCCTTTCCAACCATTGGTACATCGTTGGGACAAGATAGAAGGATATCCTATTAAACCTAAATCTAGCCCTAAGACCGAGAATGCATTGGCGAGATTGGTCTCTGTCTTGTTCCCGATCATCAAGCCCCTACTATCCTCATCCAAAGACATTGCCTTTGCGAACATCCAATACATATTTCCTCCTGGTACTCTAGTCTTCGCTAGAGAACTTGATGTGGAAACCGTCTCTCGAGTAGTCGAGTGTCAGAAAAAGTACAATAAGTGGGAGATTCACGTAGAGAATGTAGATTGGGATGGCGAGATATGTGGCTATCAAAAAAGTTCATTTAAAATTGATGAATTCGGTGGCTACCGTCAGGTCACAGAGTTGAAGATGTTTCCGATTTCATATTTAGCAGATGAACCCAAGGTTAGAGCAACTCTAATTGAGAGAGGCCGTAAATATGAGCAACTCCGAGGCTATAGGTTCATGGCCTGTCGCAAAGAATGCAGGGTAAACAAATATGGAAGGCGGTTCAAAAAGCCGGTAAGTATTACACTATATATCTGCACTACAACAAACTTAATTGCTTACCTCTTAGCAAAGGCTGGGTCGAAGATTTGTGTCGACGCATATGAGTACTATTGTAACAACGGGAAGGCTAAAGAGCCCCAGCTACGGCCACTTGAATACAATGGCAAACTTCCAGTAGAAGCCGGTGCTGGAGGATTGGAAATCGCGCCTGAATCCTGTCTACAGCCGTTGACTGACGAGCAGCGACTCATAATAGATCCTTGGCTTAAATGCTTCGATCTTCAGACAAAAGAATGGTGTAAGGTCTTGATCGACGACTTAGAGGACGTAATCCCGGACGGCCTGGCCTTTGAGAAGCTCCACCTACCCGACAACGAGAAAAATGTGTTATTGAATCTCGTCAAAGGAAAGCTCCTCTCTCGTAATCTGGGGAACAACGACCCCACCCAGAATCAGGGCCGCGGTCTTACATGCCTCATGTTCGGACCTACAGGAGTCGGTAAAACCTTTACGGCTAAGGCAATCGCTGATAAATTGGGGCTTCCTCTGTATTCTGTGATTGGGAGAGAACCAGGAATAGAGTGTCCAGACATAGAGGTATACGTGGAGCAGGGTCCGGCACTCTGCAGCTCATGGAATGGTATTCTCCTCATAGAAGATGCTGATTGCCTCATCACTGCCAAGGAGAGTGAGTCCATAACATATGATGAGTATGAGTTTGTACCGGCCTTCCTTCAGGCACTTAAAGAATACACAGGCATAGTATTCCTCACTACCAACGAAGTTAGGAATATTGGCTCGGCCCTCCGATCACGTATTGACTACTTTATGCCCTATAGCTCCCCTTGCATACAGGTACGCCGTCAAATTTGGCGAGACTTGATCGAGGACTCCGGGAAGGACAGTTTCATACGTAGTTCTGAAGATATGGATGAGGTGCTCAGCGAGCTATCGAAATTCAATCTTAACGGACACGAGATCAATAATATTGTCAATAGCGCTCGGATGATCGCACTTGGAAGCGAAGACACCGACAACAAAGTATCTTTAGATACTTTATGTCTTCTTGCACATAATTGCGGTCAATGCCTAAGACCATAAACGGAACCTGTCACCTACAGATAGGTAGCTTCTGGAAAGCACCTAAAGTAGTAGGATTGACCCTAGCCGATCATTATTCACTCTAGCCGTCGTATAAGCTATTGTCGTGTTTCGGGTGATTAAGTGTAAGCTGTTTAGATAAGCTGCACACCCACTGGATGTTAACGAATTCATTATCAGCATCAGCATTATTATCATCATTACCAGCCAATTGATGAACCTAGCTAGGTAGTATTAGTTTGTCAATTCTATTCTACTCCTTGCAAGAGAGATTCGAGAACTATGAATGACGTGACTGTGAGCCAGGAGGTAAAAACAGATAATGAGATACTATACTTCAGGTACCTAAGTAGATCTTCTAGTAGTATTCTTCTTGTAATATCAACAACTTCTAGGTAGGCAATACACAACACAGAATGATAATCCGCTGGTTCACAATGTAAATATCTTGAGAAACAAATCATTTGCTCAAAATATAGTTACACATTCCGTAGTATTTCTATCAGAACCGAGTGTTTAACACCGCCTGAAGACAACTCATATTCTTGAAGCTGACATGAACAGATTGTCATACCCATATTTCCTTTGTATCCCGTAGTGTATATCCAGCGAAAATCCCTTCGACATTATACATCGTACATAATTCTCACCCTTTAATGCTCATATAACCCAAGAACAGTAAATAACTCCGAAGCACAAACAAGATCTGTGCAGGTAGCCAATATACCTTACACCCGCTTAACATGGCTGCCCTTCCCGTCTGTCCCGCGCATCTTGCGTGTCCCCGCAGCCTTCTTTCCCGGTCTGCGTGTGATCTTGCCAACCAACTTCTCAGCGGCGCCCTCGATTTTGTCGCTTAAGTGAGGCTTCCGTTTGTGGTGGGTAGCTGGGGCTCTTGTCGCCCCGGTCCGCTTCTTGACGCCAGTGTGATGATTAGTGGTCGTGGTATTGCCACTTTGTCGCTTACGTTCTGGCTCAGTGGATACGGTTAGGTGCACGCGTGGCTTGGAATGGCCCGTCGAAGCTCGTGTAGAGGCTGCCATATTTGTAGATTTACGTCTGAGTGGTAAAGTAAAAAATTTGGTGTTGGTTTCTTTGGAATATGAGTTATAAATGATGATCAGATACAAGAATTGTCATACGATTCAATTTTAGGTTTGATATTGTTGAAAATTTGATGCTGAAATATCCAGTTGATAATATATAGATGAGGTTTGGTGAATGATGTCTAAGGGAAGTTGATATGATCTCGATGGTTGGATTCAAATATATTTTCATGGGGACGCTCGAGGCACCTCTCAATACTCAACCCTCTTTGAGTAAGATATGCACTAGGTATACTCGCATCTAATTAGCTGTCGTAGATCAGGGATGACGTCATGCTAGTTGTCAAGCAGGTTTGCTTTTTGGACACTTATTCTAGTGACATACGTGGCGAACTTTTACATTTATGCCACTTATAACATACTGAAAGTTATTCTGAAATATATTTTGTAGAGCAGTCGAGAACGGCCATTAGTTATCGTAAGAAATGACGATGTTGAGATAGATTCTAAAGTTGTCCAATAGGGGTATCCACATGAGCGTCATTTACAGATTCAAAATATAAAATATGGAAATATGACTTGTTTTTTTGCAACTATTTCCCGTGATATCAATATCAATGCAGTGTAACGAAAACTATTATATTTGGTAGTTTAAGGGTTGCTTAGAAAATAAACCAATGAACAACAACATTGCCACCTATTTACTACTCATTTATTTATTAACCATTAAATAAATTACCGACAAATTATTTAACTAGGTAGTACCTATATGTTACCGGTACTGTAGTTTTAATAGGTAATAACTTGATTTATTACTTAAATACCAACTCAATATTAAATGTCATAAATGTTGATATTGGGTTTTGTAATAAATAGGTTGATATTTTAGATAGGTTTCTTTATGTTAGAAAATGTTAACTACTTTAGGTACTTAGATTGACTTAGTTAGACAAATAAAGTCTTCAAACAGACGAACAGTTCATCAGTAATTTCAATCTCATATAAACCCAATGTCAAGCGCCACCTAGGACATGCGCCAATAGATACATCTGTTATTCAACTTGATAACGGCGCCGATAGGCTGTCTAGCGTAGTAATATTACGCTCGGACCGCCGCCCGACTTATGTGGATGGATCCAGCCCTGCAGGTAATCAGACTTACAACTCCTACAATCAAGAAATTCTAACAATAGTAAATTTCCCCTAATCTCACTTGGTCCTAAAGGTTTCACTCAGGCTCTCGGTGTAGTAGTTGGAAGGACCCCTAACCTCGGCGTTTAGGGCCATAAGAAAAGACTTGGATATGACTGGTTTAACACTATCATATGAACAACTGTGGCCAACTGGCAGCAATTGTATTACATCAGCTCCTGAAAATACGCTATTTACAAGCTCAGATAAACAAATCCAACCATTTACAGCGCTGCTCTATGAATTAATAAAATGACAAACTTTATTGTCCTACATCAAATCACACGTTTCTCCACTGGAAACGCCTCGGGCTACATTAGCACAAGGCTTTCTCTATTCCGATGTCAGATGAGAATGTCTAAGCGAGTAGGATTCAGCATCTAGCATCGCTCCTAACGCCATTAGCTACTCCGCCCCAATCAGCTCGTTAGTTGTTAAAGCTCTTCCCTAAAACCCGCCAATCAGTTATCAGCGGCAGCACACGTAGCTCACCTAGTTTGTTTCTTGTTAGAGATAACCAAGATATGGTCAGGTGCTACTTGCATGTCCGCTGTTCGCTTCATCAGCAGAGGTATAGTGAAGGAGACTGGCACGGAAATACGGCCCACGCTTCGGTGATCGGGGCTGAAGTTGTTAGAGCCGGGGAATCTGTTTTCAGCCCTACTATCTAAATCGCCTAAGTTCCGAGGCAAGTATGTAGCTAAGGGATCTTTGTAGGTTGTCAACTGGTAAGCTTGAGATCACGTATCTATGTAGGTAGCTTGATATCCCACCATGGCTCGAGGTTACCCCCAATATAGCTGCTCTCTTTATCTACCTACATATTGTGTGTTTCCTTGCAGGATTGATATTACCTTGTTTCCTCCTTTCCATGCACACTCAGGGTGTTGTGTTACGGGGGTCGCATAAAAGCTACCAATCAAGCTCTAGAGCATAGAAAACGTGGGGAACTCTGCGGCTGAAACAAGCTCACTGGCGACTTTCCTATGTTTTATGAGGATAACCCAGCAATTCATATCTTTCTGTTGGCCATTATAAGTTGTCAAGTCATACTTTATTTCCGCATGCTGATCATCGAGCCGACGTCCTCCGCGACGGAGGAACTCTCTGATTCACCTGCCATCTTAGTACAGCATCCGATAGGGGAAGATGATGGATTTCCAAAATGGAAAGGGAAAGGGAAAGCTATCGTGGCAAACGTAAACGATGATTCGTTATCGACAAGTTTGCCAAGTAACGAAGTCTCCGTCGATTGGACTCAATATGAACCCCCCGAAGGCCTAAAAGACACAGCGGGTTCCAAATCAGACATAGTTATCCGGATCATCCAGGAATCTATTAACAAGGTTAAGGGGGGGATTCTTGAAGAGGAGCAGAGGCGGAAAGCAGAGGATGCTAAGAAGTTAAAGCAACACGAAAGGCTTAGAAAAGAGAGTGAAGAAGACCAGGATACCGAAACATCAGATGCGCTCTTGGATGAGAGACAAGATCAACAAGACGTAATACTTCAGGCTCTGGTACCGGCCCCAGCCAGGGTAGAATCACTTACTCATGATGTTATTGTGCCGATACAGCCCATCAAGTCAAAAAAGCACTCGTTTAAAAATATCTTTCGACGTTTGAATAATGCTGGAGAAAGGGGTGAGTCCAGCACAACTGGAGCTGCTCGCCATAAGCGGGATCTTTCTTGGGGTAGCTTAGAAATGGGCACCTATACAGCGAAGAAGCGATTCGTATCCGAGGTTTTAAAGAGGACGACAACGAACAGTAATAGTAGCCTTACTTCATCGGTCCATGAAGCTGAAGTGTGAGTGCCTATAACAACCATAAAGTCACTAGGATAGAACTAATATACTGTAGCGAATGCGTCTCCTGCTTAGACGACTTCAATCCTAAGGAGATGATCAAGGTTCCTTGTCACAGCTATTGCAAGCCTTGTTTCATACGCCTTATACATACGACTTGTGAAAATGAGCAGCAATGGCCACCCAAATGCTGTCTGAATCCCATCCCAGTCGCTACTATAATACTCAACGTTGATTCTGAGCTGAAGAAGACCTATCACGACAAAGCAGCAGAGTGGAACCTACCAATCAGTGAACGTGTCTACTGCAGCCAGCAAAGCTGTAGTCTCTGGCTCCGACCGGATCAAATCAACCGCGCCCGCAATATCGCAAGGTGCTCGACAGGTCACTGGACCTGCATCATCTGCCGCGGCCAACAGCATGAAGGAGACAACTGTCCCGAGGACCGCGATATGATGAAAACTGACGAGCTTGCTGAAGAAGAGGGTTGGAAGCGATGCTACGGTTGCCACGCATACGTTGAACATAGGGAAGCATGCCAACATATGACTTGCCGATGCGGTGCCGAATTCTGTTACGTTTGTGGTGCACGCTGGCGAACTTGTGCTTGTACGATGGAACAGTTAGCTGTCGTCAAGAGAGGTGCAGAAGCACGACGCCAGGCCCGTCAGGACAAGGAAGCTCAGGAAGAGGCCGAGATCCAAGAGGCTCTACGACTGGTAGCCGAATTCGAGCGCGAAGAAGCTCTCAAAGCTGAGCTGTTGCGACAAGAGCAGGAACGGTTGGCCGAGGAACGCCGGGCGAGGCTACTTGAGGAGCGCATTAGGCGCGAGGGCGAGAGACGGCGAGCGGTAGAAGTCAAATACCTAGAACTCCGCGAGGTATTTGTAAACGTACACGAACTTCAACGCATCATCGTACAGCGCGACCACGGCACCGAAGAAGCCAGACTGAAAAACCAAGGTGCTATGGCACTAGAAGAACTACAAGAAAAGCAGAAAGAAGAACGTGAGAAGCTAAGCGCCGTTACAAGGACGAAGTTAGCGAGGCGGGAAAAGGTGCTCAAACGGGAATACGTAGCACGAGTAGCCGAGGAGCGTCACATCGAAGAACAGTACCATACCCAATTAAAAGAATACTGGTCTCGCAAAAAAGATGGCGAAGCTAAAATAGAGGCTGCTATGAAACAACTGAAGCGTAAAATGGACGCCAGCTTCAGGAAATGGGAGAAATGGAGAGATAACGAGTTAGACAACTACCATTGGAGCGTTAAGGAAGAACAAGGAATCAAAGAGGAGCTGATGCAGGAAGCGGAACGAAGGTTGGTGGAGGACACACGGGAAGCACAGACTGCGTTCTTGTTACGCAAAACTGCCGAGCTTCGGTGGGTGGACGTCTTAATCGAGGAGCGCAACCGCATGCTCAACGATATGGAGATCGACGAGATTGAGAATGGCGAGAATGTCGATGCTTGGTTTGATGAAGAGGTTCTTGACGAGGATGAGCCGGATGAAATGGATTTTCCAGAGGAGTTTCGGGTTCCGGGTGCGTACGAACAATACTTAGATAGGGATTGAACTTGGTATATCATGTCTTTTGTGTATATTATATGCGGTTAATGTTAAGGTACTAAATTTTATAGTATAAAGAATTTATGTGATTTCTCTGTAAGTTGAGTGTCAAAAGCCTAGCTAGACGATGTTGCCTGTATGAGAATATGTATGAGAATATTCCCGAAGCATTCAGAATAGGGGTAGGTAAGGGGAGGAGTGAGGGGGATCAAATATATGGATGGAAACTATCACCAAAATGTAACTAACTTCACTTCTCTATTGTAAGTGCCTTAGTCAGGTATATTACGGTTTCTCGTCTTGAACTTTGATAACCTTAGGTACACACGTAACTAATATTTACATGCCGTAATTTTCATTATCATAATGGCATCAAGCCAGAAAGCCAAGCTTCACTAAACACTCGCTTTAAATAACTACCCAATTCTTT